CACCGCAGGCGCCGGAGGGTAAGCAGGCGGCGCTGTAGTGGTCTCCGGGCAAGGGGTAGAGACTGACGCTTCAGGGATGTAAGGTGTAGCAGTGGTAGTGGGCTTGCCAGGGGCAGGAGGAGTTCCAGCAGGAGGGTAAGATGGTGGGGCCGATGAGGCGGGCTTGCCAGGAGCAGGGGGAGTTCCAGCAGGAGGATAAGATGGCGGGGCCGACGAGGCGGGCTTGCCAGGAGCAGGAGGGGTTTCCACATAGGGAGGGGGAGGAGCATATGTCGTCACTGGGACCACGGGGTGGGGAGTTGAGGTAGTCTCCTCCTCGCAAGGGGTGGTCTCGGCCGGGGGAGCTGGGTAAGAGGACGTCATCTTCATGGGGACCACGGGGTGAGGAGTCGAGGTGGACTCCTCCTCGCAAGGAGTGGTAGTCTCAGCCGGGGGAGCTGGGTGAGACTGAGTCGTCATGGGAACCACGGGGTGGGGAGTAGAGGTGGACTCTTCCTCGCAAGGGGTGGTAGTCTCAGCTGGGGGAGCTGGGTGGGAAGACGTCATCTTCATGGGGACCACGGGGTGAGGAGTCGAGGTGGACTCCTCCTCGCAAGGAGTGGTAGTCTCAGCCGGGGGAGCTGGGTGAGACTGAGTCGTCATGGGAACCACGGGGTGAGGAGTAGAGGTAGTCTCCTCCTCGCAAGGAGTGGTAGTCTCAGCTGGGGGAGCTGGGTGGAAAGACGTCATCTTCATGGGGACCACGGGGTGAGTCGAGGTAGTCTCCTCCTCGCAGGGAGTAGTGGTCTCCTGAGGAACTGAGTAAGTGGAAGTGCCCTTGACGGGAGTTGGGCTGCTCGTGGTCACAGGAACCGCGGGGTGCGTCGAGGTGGACTCCTCCTCGCAGGGAGTAGTGGTCTCCTGAGGAACTGAGTAAGTGGAAGTGCCCTTGACGGGAGTTGGGCTGCTCGTGGTCACAGGAACCGCGGGGTGCGTCGAGGTGGACTCCTCCTCGCAGGGAGTAGTGGTCTCCTGAGGAACTGAGTAAGTGGAAGTGCCCTTGACGGGAGTTGGGCTGCTCGTGGTCACAGGAACCGCGGGGTGCGTCGAGGTGGACTCCTCCTCGCAAGGAGTAGTAGTCTCCTGAGGAACTGAGTAGGTGGAAGTACCCTTGACAGGAGTGGAAGTAGTCTTGACGGGAGTTGGGCTGCTCGAGCTCATGGAGGACGAGGATGTAGAATAGGCGGGAACTGAGCTCGAGGCGGGGTGGGTTGGCGGGGCGCTGGACTCCTCGTCGCAAGGAGTGGAAGACTCCTTAGGGTAAGAAGGCGTAGAGCTGGAAACAGATACGCTGGTGGTCTTCACGGGGGAAGGAGTGCTGGACGACGGCGGAGGAGCATGCGTGGAAGAAGGAGGGGTCGAAGTAGCAGCCGGGGGAGTGCTGCTCTCCTCGCAAGGAGTGGGACGTGGGGTGGCTACCCAGTCTGTAACAGTTAGTATTGTACCCGACAAGTATGTATTCGAAGAGGCGTCGTACTCCTGAAGGAACATTGTATCCGCCTCCATATCCGCCACCGTATCCACCTCCATAGCCGCCTGATGGTGTAGGTGTGTTTGAAGGCGTGTTGTTGTCACCGCCGGAACCGTATCCGCCGTATGGGACAGCGTAAACTGCGCCCACAAGGGCGAGAGTTGCCATTGAGTACTTCATCTTGATTATTACTATTAAGGTAAATTGGTGGATCGATTAGAGTAGATCGAGAGTAGAGATGCAGAACGAGGGTAACAATGCAACCGTAACGAGAGAGCTGCTAATGTTGGAGGTCGAGAAGCGATCTGTATTGTGATGCACGACTGAAAAGAAGAGGCTCGGGTGTTCCTGATATATCCTTCAGGAGATAACCTTACTCCGCACTTGATCAGCCTTCTGGGCAGCCCACCCAGGATGCCCCCCTTCAAAGTCAGTTAGACTCAGGGCGGTCTAACGGTGGTCCAAAAACCTTATCCACAATTACGTGATCGACATTCGCTCGGCACTCTCAACATGGTGGTTATTCTCGTAATGGAATCGGCGTAATTCTAGAAAACGAGACTTGTCCAAAAACACGATTATATTTTAAGAACCTCGTTGGTCAATGTTACCCCTGCAACGGACCAAAGACAGGGATGTTGGCGGGCCATTGGCTACATCGGCTGTTGGCGGATTACCTAGAGATGGCTGGGACAAACTGGATAGTAAACTTTCGGGAGAGGCTACATCCTGCATGATGTAAACAAACGCGTTGTTGTCAGAGGTTGACATCGATATCTGTGGCTGGATCCCAACCACCGTACTGAGGGGTGCTGATGTGGCTGCTGGACATGCCAAAAACGTACTCGACAAATTGTGTATTCGTATATGTTCGTGTATGCAGCATTGAACCTATCAGCAAGTATGCTCGGTTATCGGAGCATGAACGTGCATTGCGGGATTTGGCATGACATGATGACATAGCATGCGCGCTTCCACAACCCGCGCACGTGCACGGGTGGTGGCTGTTCGCGTGCAACCGTCGCAATCGATGTGGAGCCCTGAAAGCTTGTTGCCAATCACTTCGGCCATCTAGCTTATTTTGTCTGTAGGCTGGGAGCTACAGAGTTGCTGTTCACCCCGGTACTTGGGCCATCTTGCGAGATCACAATTCCGGAAAGTCTGAACCTCCGAGTTCCCTGCGTCCTGCGTTGTCAGTGCGATAAAAATCTGACTGTGTGGCCCAAGTGCACGGCCATCTAGGAACAAGTCCATGTGTATTGGGCGGGTCTGTTTTGGGGCGGCTCACCCTGACGGCGTGGCGTTCAGGTCATCGTATGGCGTTGGAAGTTCAAACAGGCCAACGGTAATGCTATCGGTTGCAGAAAAACTTATCGAAAGCCATGATGTAGTGATATCTTCCGTTTTTCTGGGCAATACGGTGGACGAGCCGATTAGAGGATGGTAGTGTTCCAAGAACCTCTGCCATCAATTGAACGGTGAAGTTACCCCGCAGTATTCGGGTTTTCCGTTTGCGTCGCCGTCCTACCAGCTCTTGCTCTTACTGCCTCTTACGGAACTGGGGTCCCACCGCCCTTTTCTTTGAGAGACCTGATCCGGTGTCAGCTAGCTCTGAAAGATTGTACCTGCAGCAGACGTAGATGCCGCCCCAGTTGCTGGGCTGTTGGTGAGTTGAGTCAATCTGCCCACAAGTGCCGGTTTACGGGTCGGTCCACTCAGCTACTGTTATGACAAAAATAAGACTGGTGGCAAGACGAATCACTCCGGCTTACAGTCTAGCATCGGCATGCCGCTTTGCACATCAGCGGCCGCTTACCCGGAGAATTCAGCTCATCGTTCCCCTTGCGCTTGCGCAGGAGTAGTCTTGTTGATCTCGTCCAAGCTCGTAATCGGGCTGACGACTCCACGCGTCTCCGTCAGACCTCGGCATGCCATGTATGTATGCATGCCATGGCAACCAACGATACAACAACACTATTATCAGAGTATTTAGCGACAAGCGCTTTCCTCTGACCGTCACCAGATACTAGGTGTCGGCTGTCACAACACCATAGATGGTTTGACCGTGACGTAATCGCATCAACCAGGATTTCCGTGGGACCTGTGCTTCGTAGGGCCGAACGTATTATTGATTTTTCGTATTAATGCACCCTCCATTTATAGCGTGGACTCGTGCATACTAGTACAAGCGGTGTCGGACAGCCTCGGAAACCAACACATGATGTACCTACCCTACTTGCCGTACTCGTATTGATGGCTCGAAAAAATGAAGCTGGCTGAGTGGTTGAGCGTGCGAAATTAATATAATCCAGCAATAAATTCCTGCTTCTTCCAGAAGGGTGGGATGAGTCAGGCGGGCGAAATTAAATCTTGAATACGAAAGTCGGCTGCAACTACTCGTCGTCATCGCTGTCTGTACCACTGTCCCAGCCTTCATCATATTCTTCTGCGAGTACTTGCAGGCCATTGCAGAGCGCCTCTCTTTCTTCGATTCCTACTAGCCGCTTGACTAGCTGCTCGACTGCTCGTATCTGCTCGGCGACAGCAGTGCTTGTGGTGATGCCAGTGTGAACTGCGAGTTTTGTGGCGTTGCCGGTTCCTACGTCGAATATCAATTTGGGGAAGCTGTCGAGAAGCGGGAACAGTAACGGAGCAGTATACCTAAGTCTGGTTAGCGCGTTCCTAAGCATAATATACCCAGTCGTACGCTCTATCAAGACCGAGAGAGAAAGAGGTGTGAAAGAACTCTCGATGACGTACCTTTGCACTGCAGGCCCACTATAGAATCTGTCATGAGGGTCACGTTCGCTGGCTTCAGATACCGACCATTCTCCTCGAGTAGCCTCGGCTCTCCCAAAGATGTGCTCTTTCTTCCCTTTTCCACGAGCGGTCCTATAGTCGCGAGTGAAAACGTCAATGTCAAACTTGGCCAATTCGCTGTCCCCCTCGCTCGTTTGTCTCGATGTAGTCGACCCAACTTTTTCCGCATTCCTGGCTTCATCAAAAGCTTTATCTGACAAGACGTCGGGATCTGCTATGTTCATCTCGAATTTCGCTATGCGCCGTTTCCCAGTACTGTTGATGGTATTCTCCAGATCTTGCAGGGTGCCACGCCCGCCCAATGTCGACCTCAGGCGAGAGGACATGGTCATACTCTCCAGGCCCACAACCTGCAAAGCAGCAATATGCCATAGGGAGGTCGCGTCCAAGGAGAGATAGCTTGGTAACTTGGCTGGACTGTTCGACATTGGTACATATACTGATGACTGTTCGCCTAGTATCTGCAGTGATCGTGCCGAGTTCGCAATTTGCTGCAGTCTTCTCTCCTATATCATGTCAGCATTTGTCTCCTTATCGCATTCAATTTACAGGAACGTACCCGAGGAGTGCTTGCATTTGCACCTTGATCGCCCAGACCCCAAGTCCAGATGCTCATCTTGCCGTACTCGTCTCTTAGTCTCTCAATCCATCCTGACGCCCAGCCTCCCCAAGCATCGTCGACGCCTGTGAAGATCTGAAGTCCTTGGATACCGTCACATTCTTCTACAAAAGGCCGCAGATCCCTATCGACAAGATCGACCTCTCTTTCGAGCTTCTCAAAGAGTTCCATGCCCACGTCCCAGCTTTCGAAGGGCATGAGCTTGTCGTTGACATCGAACTCGGACAGCTGGACAATTGACTTTGGGTGGTAATAGACGCGACTGTAATCAGACCAGTAGCGAACAGATGATGTACTGAGTTGGGGAGGTTCAATGCCGGCATCCAGGTGCTCCTGATAGGCAGACTGTGGGATAGTCTCAGCAGCGCGCTGTACAATAGGCTTGGAAGGCCAAACGCCGGGTTGATCTAGAATGCTTCTATCGTCTTCGGCCTCGTACAAGGCGTTGATCTTTCTCATACTACCAAAAGCGCCCTTGAGGTCATATATGAGGGTCCTTGGTGTGAAAGTGTCGAAACCATCTGGGGCAACTCCAGGCCTGAAAAGGATGTCATGGTTGACAGGTGACTCGGCTTCAGGTGGGTATGTGAAGTAGGACTCCTAGAAAAGTTAGAGAGTGTCGGGTTAGATTTCGCATCAAAGTGTTTGGAAATGGTATTCAGCGGTAAGTAGAAGATGTGTTGAGCAAGTTTAAGGTCAGGAGAGCACACCATCCCAATTTAATGATAACATGATAAGCAAGAAACACATCGCAATATGCGCAAATTGGTAGGGTGCTGTGAAATTGGGTGTTCAGTAATTCGCCGAAATTTCGCACTTGCCTGTGTATTCCAGAAATGAGTTCCGAGATAGTTGCTCTGCTTGCCGAACTGTAGAGTCACGATCTCGTGCATGGTGCGAACGATACTTTACCGAACAACTTGACAAGATAGTGCAGCTGCAGTAGCTATCATTCAACGCAACGAAAAAAACAGATGTTGTGGTTTGGGTGGAGATGAACGGCGATTGGATAACGTCAGGCTTTGTTTGCCCCGCACGTGCACACGCGATATGAGGAAGGAGCGATTGCTACATTCAGATTACAGTCACGTCATGCAGTAATTATTGGCTACTCTTACGTCTGGTTAGACCTGAATGGAATCGACGAGATATGGGCTAAAATGTGTTGATATCATTACTATGTCTTAACAAGTGCCTAGATATCTACGAATCCACCTAACCCATGAGCTGCAACTGATCAGTAGGCGGCCACCTCGTCTGCGCAAAACTCAAACATCTCTTGATACTCTGCAAGTATTTCCGCGTCATCTCATCACTCATGATATGCGCCGCATTCTTATCGCTCTCATGCAGCTTCTCTCGCGCACTTCTCTCGTGGATACCCACCATGGTAACACCAATCGGCCACGCAGCCTTGCCAATACTAAGACGTAGGTAGCCGTCATTCGCATCGACATATCTTCGTTCCTGTGCGGCATGTACAATCTCTACGACAGGCTCAACGATGCTGTCCGGGAGATCCAACTTTTCCAGCTTCTTGAACAACGGGCGCATGTTTTCGCGCGCTTGTACCATGGCGGCGTAGGCCTGCTTGCCTTGATACGACTCCTTGACATCCTGGTCTCGGCGCGCAAGGGTGACGTCCCACTCCTTGAGTACCATTGTGAAGTAGCTTACCAGCTGTCTGAAGAGAAATTCGCGGCCTTCCTTGTCCTTTGGTATACCAAGTTTGACCTTCATGTCCTTCTCCGGAACCAGTTGTAGTGTTGTTGGTATTGGTCCGTCTGTCATGATGGCTGCTAGGCTGTCTGCACCGACGCGTTTCTTGTATCGCTTCAGACGTTGCTTGTGTGTCTCGCCGAATAGTCGTGCTGGTTCTTGGAGGGCTCGCAGCCTTTCGACTAGCTCCTCGTCTGGGACATCTTCGTCTTCAGGTATGGGGGTTCCATCCTCATCCCCATCCTTTTTCTTGGGCGGTAGGTCGGGTAGGCCTAAGCGCTTCCTCCGCCGCCTCTCTTCTGCTTCCTCCTCCTCTTCTCTTATCCGTCTTGACTCTTCCGCCATGCGCACGCGCTTCTCGCGTCGCTCTGCTTCCCTTTCTGCCTCATCTTCCTCGGCCTTGCGCTTTTTCTCCAATCGCTCCTTTCGTGCCTTTTCCGCGGCTTCTTGTTCGGCCACGTAGGCTGCTTGTCGTTGCGCTTCGATTTCGCGGCGCTTGAGGTACTTTTTGTCTTGTGACTCGGGGGGCGCTGCTGTCTCTTTGCCCTTCTTGATGTGCGCTGACATGAGCTTTGCGAAATCCATGGCTGCGATATTCTTTGTGAGTTTGGATACAGTCCTGTTTGTTGCCGAGGGATGAATGTAAATTGCGACTTGATGATCCCCAACAGGGTAGTTGCCGCATGACGCTAGCGCAAGCTGTCCGCGTCGCGTACCTTCACTCAGCACTTGTGCTCCTCAACTTCTCAGCAATGTGCACCTGACGTCACTCTAAATATCACTGAGAATCGACTTTTCAATTACAACGCGTTTCCGCGATTACTGCAACATACATTCTCAACATGGCAGCTCCAGCCTCAGAAAAGGTTGACCGACAAACAACGACGCCGTTTCTCTTGCGCCTCTTCTTCAAACAAGGCGGATTTCACAGGTATGCATATTTTCGCCTATTCGTCGTCGTCGCATACTAACAAGCTGCAGATTAGATGAATTTGACCCTACCCTACCCCGCCTTCCAACCAATGTCCAAATCTACACATGGCAGAGCTGTAGCCTGAGCGAGCTGTGCAAGCTGCTCTTCAGCGCCGTACCAACTCTGTTACCACAACCTTACGCCGGATCGCGCATTGCATTCCGACTCGTATACCCCGACATACAAGGCTCCAATAGACCTGGCGCCCCAGGACGCTTCATATCGCGAGACATAGGCTCAGTCATTGTAGGCGCACGGTCAAGGAACAACGACGATGACGACGACATGGATATGGAAGTCGCAGATGCCGCTACTGTAGCAGAGGCGCTTAAGCAGCTCGACGGCGACCCAGAAAAGACGCTTGCAGACGTCAAATTCCTCGTTGGCGACTACATTGCATGTGCAATACTCCCACCACTACCTGATGGCAGCGTGTCAGCTGCGCCTCCACCGCTAAGTGGGCCTGGCAGAGGTCCGCCTCCTGGAGGATATGGGGGTCGAGGACGTGAGAATGGATTCGGTGGACGAGGAGACTATGGTGGCTATGGAAGGGGTGGGGGTAGTAGATTCGACGATCGGAGAATGAGCAACGGACGTGTGCCGAACGGCGAATGGAGAAGAGGTGAGGCGCCGCCCGAGAGGGAACGAGAACGAGAGCTAGGCTTTGGCAGGGGAGGGGCAGGTCGAGGGCGCGGGGGTGGAGACGACTGGCGCGAACGCGGTCGTGGAAAAGGACGGTGGTAGACACAGCATCCTTACTGGGAGCACCCGGGTAACATGAACTACTTGACATACTAGCATTTCATGTCGCCCAGGTGGGAGTTACAAGGTGATTCCAGGGAAAATGGACATGGAGTCATAAAAATTTGGCTTGGGTGTATGGGAACCAGTTACTTGAGGCACAGTATTACTCAGCAGCATTAATGATGAGTTGCCCTTGGTCAGTCGAGAACTACTAGCTGATACCATGAAAAGAATTCATACCACATTACCTACATCTTACTCCCTTTAAGTCACCGTTGATATTCGCCTTGTCTAGGTAAAATCAGGTTATTCGGGAAAGAGACGACTTACAAAGTCGACAAAGTACAAGCTTGCACCAGCTTGAAATAATCATATTTACAATTATGCTACTTTGTTACCCCCAAAATCATTATTACACGTTACACTTCAATTTTCAATCGGAACTGCCTCTCTCGGGCCAAGTACTAGATATATCCTGTTTCCGCCCGTCAGCAACTAAAGAATGGAGACATATCTGGATAAATTCACGTTACGACTTGTCCGCGACGGCTTAGCAAACAGCATTGGTTAAATTCTGGATACCTATGGATTAATTTTGCGTGACTAAAATAAAACTCAAAACACTATGACAGTGAATGATGGCGATATCAATACAAGCACCGACAAAGACGGAACCCCAAAGAATGACTGTCGAACACTTCAAAGCAATACACGACACATAGCTGATGATGATGACTTGATAAATTTGGTTTTATACGGGCACCTAGTCCCAGAAAATATCCATTAGGATTAGCAGACACTCAATGTCTGAAGAAAAGCAGATGATGAAGAGAAAACGCCAAACTCCATCGCAATGCATAACGTGGATGGCAAGCGAGTGGGCCAGGCAAGCGAGTGGGCCACCCCACCAACTTTTTGCATCTACCTAACTTCAATCAATTATGGCTCCACCAAAACAATCCCAAAACCCTTCTTATGAAGCTGATATACAGCTAGCTATCTCAGCTACTACCCGAAACCAGCTCCAGTCTAATAGAGACGCTGCGCGGACATTTGAAGTCGCCCGAATGACACTCACGCGCCGACGCGCTGGTATACCTGCACGACGCGATTGCCAGCCTAACTCAAGGAAGCTTACCCAGAGAGAAGAGGAGGTGATTATTAGCTATATACTTCACCTAGATCAGCGCGGGTTTGCGCCTACCTACGCAGCTGCACGCGATATGGCTGATAAGCTGCTGGCTGCGCGCGGCGCTGGCCAGGTTGGGCAGAAGTGGCCAGCCAACTTTGTTAAGCGTACAGACAGTCTTCGGACGTGTTTCAACCGAGCGTACGATAGGCAGAGAGCTATGTGTGAGGATGCGACATTAATAAAGAGGTGGTTTAAGCTTGTAGAAGAGATAAAGGCTGAGCAGGGTATCTGCGATGAGGATGTCTACCAGACTCCGCAACAATCAATCGGATCGGCATGATTGATTCCTATCTAGGTTAAAGGCTGCCTAATAAAGTAACTCTTTAACCTATATAGGAATCAATCATGTCGATCGATTGATTGTTGCGGAGTCTGATGTCTACAACTTTGATGAAGCTGGCTTTATGATGGGCAAGATTACAACGCAGCTGGTTATAACAGGATCAGAGAGAAGAGGCCGGCGGAAGAGTATTCAGCCAGGCAATCGCGAGTGGGTAACGCTGATTGCTGCCATCAGCGCTGGTGGCTGGTCAGTGCCACCGTTCCTCATCTTCGCTGGTCAGTACCACCTATCAGCGTGGTATGAGGAGGATATCCCACGCGACTGGGCGATCGCAGTCAGCGATAATGGCTGGACGAATAATGAGCTTGGAGTTGAGTGGCTAAAGCACTTCAACGCTCACACGCAGGCTCGTACTATAGGCGCGCGTCGCCTGCTTATTATTGATGGCCATAGGAGCCACCAATCTCTAGAGTTCCAGGAGCTCTGTAAGGAGAACAATATCCATACGCTCTGTATGCCTCCTCACTCATCTCACCTACTCCAGCCACTTGATGTTGGCTGCTTCTCGCCATTAAAGCGCGCGTATAGCCGTGAGGTGGAGAGCCTCATGCGCAACCACATCAACCACATCACCAAGCTAGAGTTTCTGCCTGCGTTTAAGGCTGCGTTTGATCGAGCGTTCACGCCAGCTAATATCTACTCAGCCTTCCGCGGCGCAGGCCTTGTTCCTCTACAACCAGAGGCTGTTCTATCAAAGCTAGATGTACAGCTGCGTACACCTACTCCTCCAGCAGCTCTACCAGATGCTCCCTGGGTAGCTCAAACGCCGAGCAACGCGCGTGAGCTTGAGGCTCAGTCAAGCCTTATACGTGAGCGCGTGCGCCAGCATAAGAGCTCATCACCAGCTTCGATCATTGAGGCGATTGACCAGCTGAAGAAGGGCGCTGAGGTGATGATGCTGTCTGCTGAGCTGATGCGCGATCGGATCTCTAGTCTTGAGAAGGCTAACAGCGCAGCCTCAGCGCGTAGGCAGCGCTCTAAAAGGCGTATACAGAAGCATGGAGTACTCACAAAGGGAGCTGGAGAGGATATACTAGCTCAAAATGAGGCTGACCAGCAGATTGCTCATGAAGAGCGTCAAGGAGGAGCGCGATCAGGCCTTAGCCAGCGCGCTCAAAGGCGCTGCACCAGGTGCAAGGAGACTGGGCACAACTCGCGCACATGCAACACTAATACTCTTAATATAGAGTAATCTACTGTATCAATATCTAGCAATAATATTATCGCGTTGTTGAGATAAGTCGCTTTGAAGTTACAAAAGTTGGTGGGGTGGCCCACTCGCTTGCCTGGCCCACTCGCTTGCCATCCACGTTACAGAATTTGTAGTTTAGATGATGACAAGGAAAGATGAGGGAGAGGGGGGCGAAAGGTTGGCAAGAGTCGCTGATTAACAGGCCATTCCTTTTTTGCTGGTTCGTCGTGAACTCATGACCTTTGCATCTAGGCCTCCTCGACAGTCTTGGCCGGCTTCTTCATGTTGTTCTTGTACCACAAAGTAGGCAAGAGAGCGCAAGACACAGTAAAGAGAATGCTATGTCATATTAGTAAGATGCCAAAAGCCATGTATGATGAACGGATAAACTTACCAAAGAGCAATAGCCATACCCCACACGGTCTTGGCCTGGAAGCAGTTGCTGCGAGTAACACCAGCCCAGTGACCCAAGCTGGAGACAGACTTGTTGAGGTTCTCAACCGTGGCAGTGACAAAGGCGCTGGCGTACTGTGCATCGATTTCCGCAGACGACTTGCCAATGACGTAGCAGTTGAGGAAGGACATGGGCTTTCCGAGAGTAACTGCGCAGACGATGAAAGCGATGAGGAGGAGGGAGTCGACGCCCGTCATGATGAGAAGACCGAGGTTGGCTTGCGACCAGTAGTAGCCGATGCTGACTATGATGTAGAGTGCTGCAATGCAGGTCTAGAGAATGTTAGAATCGTCTGGTTTGCTGTTTCATTGCACTTACCACACTGAGTGTGCCGACGAATTCCTTGGGTGGTTCAACACCGGTTGTGACAATCATTTGGACAAAGTTGGAGCAGATGCCGATGACGAGGATCATGCAGATGGCCTGGAGACCGCGGACCACGACAAACATCTTGGAGAGAGGCATAGCGTTGTAGCTTGGGACAGGCATTTTGGCTGATGTTTTGGGCTGTTGATAGTCGAAAGAGTGTGACTAGAGTCGGGATGTCGAAATGAACGGACGAAGTTTTATTGTGCAGGAAGGAATGGATGGCGATCTGCACAGCAGAGATGTAGTTGTTTTGGTGTTGTAGTAAGAAATTGAAGAATGAATGAGACCCAGATAGGAAACAAGGAAATAAAGAGACAGAAAAAAAAAGAGGAAAGGGAAGTGAGTTGTGTTGATTTGATTGTGATGCGTTTGATGACTATTTTATCGACGTCGTCCAACTCATCTTATACATTTCAGATGTTGATACCTACCTCAACAAGTCCTCGAAAACGGAATAGTTAATCGCGATGCTATTCTTGTTCATCGCCTGTCTGGACCACAGTGGTTTCATGGTATCTCGAGTAGTCGCTGGACGTACCAATGAGAAGCCCGGAGCGGCCATGGCGAGAAAATGTCCGAGCGGCGCTTCGGCGGCTACAGCATGACAAGTGCAAACATCAAATCTGGGGAAGCCATTCAGGTACGGACATTTGGAAAGGTACCTGGGGGATCTAGAGCCACTGTTTGATGTCTAGATCGACTGGCTGTGAGGTCTTGTTGCGGCTGTCGCTTTGCTTCCGCGGTCCCACATCGACCTCCCGACCAGCCTCGCGCGCGGGAGCTATGCACGGGAAATGTTGAGGCTCAATCAGATGCGCGAACAGTCGAAACATTGCTGCAAAGGATGGTTCTGTGCTTTGGTGATGGCGTTGCTGAAGAAACGCGTGTTCAGATGAGAGGACGGTTGGCTGGCACGAGGTTATGCTTGCTTGCGGAGCCGGTCCACATTTCCATGGACTGGTCAATTGACTTTAGACCTACGACTCAAGACGCTCGATGCGCCGCTATCTACAGGGTGGAGTGTCGCTGCTGTTGTCGGATGTCTGATGCGGTAGTTGTTGCTCCTAGTGCAGCGCGCGTGCGATAGCGGCATAACAGGACCTGGTGAATAGCCAAGCCGGTACGTTGGAGTTTGACTCCACGTGCTCTTCTATATTATAGAGACACTGGACACGTCTTTGTTCGCGGTAGGGCGTATTTGACATGAGGCGTCGTGATAGATGATAGGGAGCTCCCCGCTCTCGACCTCGGGTTTACTCGGATGCGGCAGGTACAGCCGAGACAGCTCTCCGATAACGAGAGCGTGATCGCATACTCACGGCTTTTTCATGAATATATGTATCCGGTCACTGCCAATGATAGTGGGGGAGCGTGAGTTTTGATTCTGTGCCAGATCTTCCGACAGCATCTACATAATTGTGAACATCATGGGTCTTCTGGAATATAGACAACATAAGGCCGACTGGTAAGTTGGACCAAGCTTGATCAACCCCACACAACTCCGACATGACGCGAACTGACCTTTGACCAGTAAACGAAAGCAGTCGGAACGAGCCTCTAAGATTGCGACACTCCCCGCACCGTACCTGTCCCCTCTGTCATCTCAAGAACGGTCTATCCTCGGAAGACCAATCCAAGAGCTTGTCCAGGATGTACACAAGCAAATCACCAGTCCCGTCGACATCTTACGTGCATACGGCAAAGTTGCCATAAAAGCACAGGAGAAGACAAATTGCCTGACAGAGATACTATTTCCAGAGGCAGAGGAATGGGCAGAGAAGGAAATCAACCTCAAGGGTCCGCTTGCTGGTATTCCGGTATCATTGAAGGACTCTGTACATGTCAAAGGCTTTGACACCTCTGTTGGTTATACGAAGAATGTAGGAAACCCAGCAGCCGATGATGGCATAATGGTGAAGATATTGAAAGATGCTGGAGCAGTACCGTTTGTCAAGACCAATCTGCCTACGACTCTCCTCTCCTTCGAATCGACCAACGACGTCTGGGGCCAGAGCAAGAACCCACACAATGATAAATACTCTCCGGGTGGCTCAACAGGTGGAGAATCGGCGCTTTTGGCATTTGGTGGCAGTCGCATTGGTATTGGGTCAGATGTCGCGGGCTCAGTTCGCGCACCCGCACACTTCTCCGGTTGCTACTCGATTCGATGCTCAACAGGACGTTGGCCAAAGATAGGCGCGAACACGAGTATGGCCGGTCAAGAAGGCATTCCCGCCGTCTTCAGCCCAATGGCCAGGACACTAAACGATTTGACGTACTTTACACGCAGTTTCATCCAGATGAAGCCTTGGACATACGACTACAGTGTTCACCCAATAGAATGGAGAGAGGACGTGGAGACCGAGTACAGAGAAAAGAAGAAGCTACGCATAGGCATCATGCGCACCGACCGCGTTGTAGATCCATCACCAGCATGTGCACGAGCTCTAGACCAAACAGCCAAAGCACTTGCAGCTGAAGGCCACGAAGTCTTTGATGTCGAGCCCCCATCGCCATACGAAGCTCTGCAGATAGCCTCTCAACTTCTCATAAGCGACGGCGGTGATACATTCATGGCACATTTCCGGAGTGGAGAATGGAACGATTACGGTGCTGCGCAAATGGTGTCGTACATGAAGCTCCCTCGCTTCGTCAAGTACGTACACTACCTCTACGTAAAGTACATCAAGGGCGATGAAATCTGGGCTGGCTTACTCCGAGACTGGAACCCCAAGAACACAACCGAGTATTGGAAGCTTGCTTTCAGGCGCGAGGCTTTCAAGGCAAAGTTTTTCAAGTGGTGGGCTGAGGAGGTTAAGATGGATGTCATGCTCACTCCGCCGAACGCGACACCGGCTGTGCCGCATGGTGGTATGCACGATGCAGTCAGCAGCTGCGGTTACACGTTTTTGTTCAACTTGGTAAGCGTCGTCATCTTTCCCATACCCTTGGTTCATTGCTAACGTTGGATCAGCTCGATTACTCTGCTGGTATCATACCAGTAACACATGTTGACCCGGCCAAGGACGCGCTTCCTTCGACTTTCAACGCAAAGAAGTTGAACGGTGTTGCACAAGGGGCGTATAAGCACTATGATGCTGACAAGATGGCTGGTCTACCGGTTGCTGTGCAGGTGGTGGGCAGAAGATTAGAAGAGGAGAAGGTGCTTGCTATTATGGAGCGAGTGGAGGATGCCCTTGATAAGCATGGCGGACGATATGACTTGCTCGAGGTTGAGTGAAGGCGATTAAAAATGGTTGATACAGTTGCTGGCTGATTGTGTTTTGCTTTTGATTCAATGTATATCGCGGTGGAGCATTTGACTTTGGGAGTAAAATCAGACAAGGAGAGAGATACTGAAGTTTCAATTCACCTCCCTTCCCATCTTCTAGCGTGTACAGAAGAAACATCATGGCATTGATGGCATCGATCTAGCCAGACGCGCTTACTCCGATTCTCGAACACTCCATCCTTCCGCCCTGTCGTGCCTGGATCCGTTACTGCATAACATTTGGAATTCCGTCCAATCCCGCTACATCAATGGGAACACGCGTAGGACCGACCCACAACAGCGCAGCATCGAGCTACCAGCTAACTACTGCTGCCGTCTGTCCCGCTTTCGTCATGGTGCCGATCGCGTCCCGAAGCTCTTTCCCCCACCTTCAACATGGCCACAGCTCCCTTCAGCATTCCAAATAACTCTCAACCTCGGGATGCCGTGTAAGCTTGACTACGGACCAGCGGGCCCGGAATATGGATTCCCGTATGCCGTCTGTATCTGCCATTGGAGCGTCTGCTTGGGGCTGAATGTTAAAGTCCGGGTCGCACAGGCCTGAGGATGCATGTACGATGATGCACTACGCCGCTCTTTCTTTGACAAATACCTGCATCGGGCATTACGGCGAGTGACTCCTGATACGCTGGCTGCTTGAGCCTTCCGATAGGAGCGCGGGTCTGATTGGGAAAGGAAAGAGTAATTGAGAAAGCAGCAGCAGGCTGGCGGGTCTTGGTGGTAAGAGGGAGCCCTCCCTCTTACCTGGAGGTCCACGGGTATATAAGCTCCGCAGCCTCGAGGACCTTGTTGTCCAACTTACATCACACTCCAAACTTCATCACTCAATCCGGAAATACCTAGCACCGATTCGACAAGATGACGGACTTTATGGGACACTGCCACTGCAAGCAGACCGAGTTTACTGCTACGCTGCAGCAGGATCAGCAGGCCCATATTCTTTGGTAAGTGGTATTCCTGGTCTTTTACATTTAATGGACGGTATGCATTACTTGGTTGGAATTGGTTCTAACCATATACGCCAGCCATTGCAACACCTGCAAAGACCTCTCCGGCTCAGCCTACACACTCAACCAAATCATCCCCGCCAAAGCGCTCAAGATCACAAAGGGCGACGACCTCGGCAAATACACATACAAGGGTGACTCTGGCAAGAGCGTTCACTGCGTATGTCGCATTCCATCCCGGCATGTTTGGCATTTTCTTCATGCTAATGCTTTCTAGTACTACTGCAAGAACTGCACCACCCATGTCTACCACGTTCAAGAAGCCCTCGGCCCTGACAACATTGTCTTGAGGACAGGATTGCTCGACGAGGGTGTCAAGAACTTCAAGCCTGGTGCGGAGATCTACGGCAAGGACCGTCTGCCATGGGAGAAGGAAGTCGCCCACACCTTCGATGTCCTTCCACCTTCATAGATGCATGAGGTTGTTGTATGACACATGTCTATGCCAAAATTCAACCAATGAATAACATGACGTCAAAACCAGCAAGCCTTTTTGTGAGAGTGCACCTTGTTCGCCGTGAGACATTGGTTGAAATCTATTGCTCTATGTTGAATATCCAAAATTACTCATCTCCTCTTCCGAAGTCTAGGTACCTAATCCTGTAGCGGTGGGAACTTCCTCAAAAAGTGGCTCGGGCACTCATAACCGCCTGGGTTATGGTCCAAGTACAATTGATGGTATTGTTCCGCGTCCCACCACTTGCCTGCAGGCAGGATCTCCGTCGCCACATCGCCCTTCCACCACTGCTTGTTAACTTTGTCCGTAACATCTCTCGCAATCTTCTCCTGCTCGGCATCGTGGTAAAAAATGGCCGATCGGTATTGTGTGCCAACATCCGGGCCCTGGCGATTTGCAGTCGTAGGATCATGCATCTTGTAAAAGAACTCCAACAAGTTGCGATACGTGACTTTCTCGGGGTCGTAAACTACTTGCAGCGCCTCGGCATCTACCCTCAATACGTTAGCTTCCTACATTTTAAACAAGAAGAAAGAAAAGGAATAAAACTTACGACCCGTCCGTCCACTGCACACGGCCCTATACCCCGGGTTCTCCGTATCACCACCAATATACCCCACGCGCGCATCATAAAGGCCCTTGCCCTTGTACTCGCGACGAAACATGTGTTCGACGCCCCAGAAGCAGCCGGCGGCTACGGTGGCGGTTTGCGCGCCCGAAGGCACCGTCATGGGTTGTGCGGGCGCGTTTGACATTGTGGTGAAGGGGCGGAAGAACTTTGTCAAAAAGGACATGGAAAGGTAGGAGAGGAAGACTAAGAGAAATATAGATAGGAGCTTCAGGTTGGGCGGTTTGGTGGGTGTGGGTTATAGATTGGGAGGAGTGTGTTTTATGCGCTTTTTAGGAAGTTTGCCGCTGGGCAATTGGACCGCGGCGATGATGACATGGAAGAGAGGGACTTACAAATCGAGGGGATGGATGGGAGCTTCAGCCACGCGGGTGGCGGGGTATTTCTGCCGAGGCGAGGAATACGGGGAGCGGCGATGCGATACGCCCCGAGTTCTTTACCTACTTTTGTTGTTTTCTCTATCTTGCGACTTGAGTTCGTACTTTTTTCATGCTGGTGTTGATGTGACACGTTGTACCTTCCGTCGTAGCGTGAGCTTTCAGCCAGCCAGCCAGCCAGCCTCGACAACGCGCTTGGCTCAGTAACTTACTCTTTTACCCGGAAATCGGTCACCTCAACCACTTGTCCGGTCGCAGCTAAAGCGAAGAGCGCCCTCTCATCTCGGTCTTCGGGCTTGTTCCAGATGTCCGGCTGGATCCGCTGAGCTGTCTTTCTTACCCAGGCAGTCCTTGCCACTGCGACGAGCTTGTCGAACCACCCAACCTCAGTAGTCCAGAGCCATTATCGCCAGGAAGTACCACGACACACCTCGATCAGCAAATATCCACCCATACTGAGGGACAAGCCATTGTGCTGCCTTCTCGGTCGATTTTCCGTGGAGTGGTTGAACAGGCAGGTTGTCGGCACGGATCCTGCGTTCAGTCTCATCGCATGGACTTTATCGTGTCTGCGGGTTCGAGTACTATCACCATGGTACAGAATATCCTCGCTCGTCGTCACCAACATGAGTGGAGACAGCAACGCACTCATATCCAGCTCGATGGTCCAATGGACTTGTCTCCCACGTATCGTTCGACCGGCTGGACTTGTCGCAATGGTCTGACACGATGTGTGTAATCAACACTCAATCTATCCGGCTTGTAGCTTCACGCCGGCTGCACTTCTCCCTCTTGAACCGGCAGTAGTCGTGCGAGTTCATACGATACATCCGGAGTCGTAGCCTAGTCCCATGTCACGAGCTGCAGCACTACCATGTCAGCAGTTATTTTTGGGTATTTGGCTCTACCACGGCAAACTTCATATGTGCCCCTGCAGATTATTCTCTTCGCTAAGATTGATTATGACAGGGTCTCGAGCACCGATGGAACGACAAGCTTTAATATAAGGTTAATCTACGCGCCAAGAGCTGTATCCCGCTCACGAATCCACCACCAGGCACGTCTTATAATTCACTAGCAAAGCCACTCAACCAAGAAAAAGACAAAACTTTCGGCCTTCTGTTCCGCAAACTCTCCCGTTATCGTATTACTTACGGGATCGCTAAATGAAAATCACCGGCACTGTGGAGAACCCCTCACTGCTCACGGCGTCTCGTCAACTCTCTACATCCAACACCCAGGCTCGATGTTGCTATTCTGAGCTCTGTACCCTTGAACTGATATCTATTGTAATTCAAATTCAATCTATTTCCCTGTGCTGGCCACGAGAACCTCGGATGCAAAGCACAAGCGAGTATGCAACTCGCTTCCAAGGGAATAATCCAGTACCCTATCTGTCAACTGATACACGATAGCCATGCATTCTACCAACTACAAGCCCGGAATTCGTATCTGCCATCTAGAAACTATCAACCCAAGCAACAGAAGCGCCTCAGAAATAGAGATGTTCCCGTCGGCAAACAACATCCGCACCCAGGTCGCTAATATGGCAGAATTCTATTGGCAGAACAATCGCCTTTGTCAAGGTTTCGATACAGCATGCTTAGGGATCTCGATATGAATTTTACCCATCACTTTTGTGGGTGTGGGTGCGGCATACCGAGCGGGATGTACTTGGTACAACGCTATCGCGTACCCCAGGTATTGGCACCTAGCGTTCAGGCCAGCTCCAGATGCAACGTAGTGGAGTCATACTACACCTTGTCAAAAACACGAACTCACCTGAGCAGCCTTGAAGATTTTGGGCCTATGAGCATGAGCGACCCGTCGGTTCAGCCGTACTCGATATTGCCAGTAGGTCTTGGCAAGTACTGTAGTTCTCGGTCGTAGCTCGTGTCTGCCAGGAAGGTGGTGCCGTAGGAGTGGTTATAGCACATGGAGTAATAATAGGTTGCAGACGATAGGTATATAACCTGGTTCATGTTCCTCTGTATAATCCTCACCCAGCTTTTACTCTCGGTATCACCTCATCCATCTGCACTGTATATCTCCAGGCCATCATCATCTAAATCATCAACATGAAGTGGCTCTTCACTCTACTTTCTCTCGCAGCTGTGGCCCCTGCTCTCCCCACACTTGATCTCGCAGATGCTCCTCCACCAGGCTCGGTATGTTGTCTCTCACCAACCAAGTGTAGAAAATGGGCTTAGACAATACAGGTCACGATTCGCGGTGTCAGCTATGGAGGAACCGGCTGCCCCCAGGGTACCATGAGCTCCCAGATCAGCAGCGATAGGACTATCGTAACGCTCATCTTCGACTCGTACATCGCCTCAATTGGCCCCGGCATTTCTGTAACCGAGCAGCGAAAGAACTGCCAGCTCAACGTCGACATCAACTACCCCGGAGGCTTCCAGTACTCTATCCTCTCCGCTGACTACCGCGGCTACTCTTCCATCCAAAAGGGTGTTACTGGTACCCTCAAGTCAACCTACTACTTCTCTGGTCAAACTGCTCAGGTAAGATACCATATAATCCCACCTAGCATAAAGCAACTCCTAACACAAATTCTAGACCAGCACCGAGTACACTTTCCAGGGCCCAGTCAACGGCGACTACCTCAAGCACGACGAGGCCGACAGCACGTCGGTTGTATGGTCGCCTTGCGGAACCACTGGCATGCTCAACATCAACTCTCAGGTCCGCCTGACCAGCTCAAACGCCAGCGCCACTGGTCTCCTCACCACCGACTCTACTGACCTGAAGTTCACCCAAGTTGTGTACGTCCAGTGGCAGAAGTGCACCACCAAGGGTTAGATGGCTGATTGTGAGTCGATGTAGGCCCAGCAACATGACTAGTTTGCTCAGTGTACAGGGGCCCTGGGTATTCTGCACTGATGACTTCTTGTGGAGGAGGTGCCCTCAAAGGGGTTGATGACTTGGTTCTGCTTTTTCCATGCTTTTTGATAGTTAGGATTTGTCTAAATGAGATGCGCATCTCCCAATCCGTGGTTCAAACCTTGAATATTGTGGTGTGGTGATGTTCGGATCAGCGCGCCCGACCAGTGAAATCAGAGGCCACGAGACCATTCAGGGCCGCCACGTCGGAAATTATGGAGATAAACATCAGGGTCTTGGCACCAGGGTCGCGGTTTCCGCTTTTAGATCCCTGTCTGTTTACTGTGTAGCCGTGCGTGCAACAACAGAAGTTACGAGGTGGCTCGTCGTCATTGAGCACAACAGACCGCACCACAACACACACTCCTTTGCCGCTCTTTCCACTACGCTCTTCAGCTGCACTCTGCACCCGACAATCATTTTCTTAATTCTAGGGCGCAATCATGGCCGCCGCGGGCGCGTCGTCCATCTCCGTCACCGTACGAGTCCGCCCTTTTACAATCCGAGAGGCGGCGCAGGTGACGCGGAATGACGACCCAACTCTGTTCCTCGGCGATGGCTCTCTGGCGGGGCTGCCGGCCCCAAAGATACACAAGGGCATTCGACCTGTCATCAAGGTCATGGACGAGAAATGCTTGTAAGGGTACTGGGATACCGTCTCGAGTATTAGAGGCTGACATGACGCTAGGATTTTTGACCCTCCTGAAGATAATGCCGTTCAAAGGTTTGGACGATCGACAATAGGGCCCCAGGGAAAGCGAGCAAAAGACGTCACTTTTGCATTCGACCGCGTCTTTGACGACACAACTTCACAAGCCGATGTATACGAAGCCACCACCAAGCCTCTGCTGGACAGCGTGCTGGACGGCTACAATGCAACCGTCTTTGCATATGGTGCTACAGGTTGTGGAAAGACGCATACCATCACGTAGGTTCCAATACATCACTCAAGCCTCTGCGCCAGACTGACTCGTCACAGGGGTACATCGCAACAGCCCGGAATCATCTTCTTGACAATGCAGGAATTGTTCGAAAAGATTCAAGAAGTACAGGAGGAAAAGGTCACCGAGATCACGCTTTCCTACCTAGAGATTTACAATGAGACGATTCGCGATTTGCTAGTAGAAGGCGGGAGTAAGCAGGCTCTTATGCTGCGCGAGGATGCAAACCAGGCCGTCTCAGTCGCTGGCCTTTCTAGCCATCGACCACAGAACGTGAGTGGGTAGCAAACGTGGCCTCTAGAGAAACTAACAATGAGCAGGTCCAGGAAGTCATGGATATGATTGTCCGTGGCAACGAATACCGAACCATGTCTCCCACGGAAGCGAACGCAACCTCGTCACGATCACACGCTGTGCTCCAAATTAATGTCTCCTCTAAAGATCGCAACGCTTCCGTCAACGAACCCCACACCATGGCTACCCTCAGTATCATCGATTTGGCAGGAAGTGAGCGAGCAAGTGCTACAAAGAACCGTGGAGAGCGTCTGACGGAAGGTGCCAACATCAACAAGTCCCTCCTCGCCTTGGGTAGTTGTATCAACGCTTTGTGCGACCCCCGGAAACGAAACCACATTCCGTACCGTAACTCCAAACTTACACGACTGCTCAAGTTCTCGCTCGGAGGCAATTGTCGGACCGTCATGATTGTTTGCGTTAGTCCGTCCAGCGCACATTTCGACGAAACCCAGAACACGCTGCGATATGCCAACCGCGCAAAGAACATCCAGACCAAGGTCACCAAGAATGTGTACAATGTCAACCGCCACGTCAAGGACTACCTTGTCAAGATTGACGAGCAACGCCACTTGATTGAGGAGCTGATGAAGAAGCAGAAGGATTTCGAGGGCAGCGCATTCGTCAAGTTCCAGAAGCAGAGTGAAAAGAAGGATGGTGTTCTCCGGGATGCTGTGATACGCTTACGCCAAGCTTACGCTGATTCGGAGCCCGACCGCAAGGAGCGGATGAATATGTCCAAGACCCTGAAGCAAGCGGAGAAGCGTATTTCACTCATTTCATCTTGGATTGCCGCATTCGACAACGTTAAGGACGTTCGGGAACACGAGGAGATGCCACCACAAATTACGGCGATGCGAGACACTGCAGTCGGCATTTCGGCAGAGCTCGAGCAGACGCGCCAACATTGCCACCGACGATTGGAACGTACCGTCTGGACCAGCAAGATGGACACTGCGTTGCAAGTTGGATTGAGGGCGCTAGCGGAAATTGACGGTAACACAGATGGTCATGATGCTGCCAATTTGACAAGAGAGTATGAGCTGCTCAAGTCAAACGCCGACCGCGAACTTCTCAATGCTTTGTTGGATCAAGAAAGAGGAGGTGACGCGGCGATTGTCCAGGTGCTTGTCCAGGCGCACATTGAGACAGTCACAATCCTCAGCCAGATCACTCAGATGGATGAGACCGAGGCAGTTGATGCTGCACGGAAGCTCATCACCAAGATCATGAACTCGTGCACAAATGCGACTTCACAGGCTATTCGGCCAGATGGCGGTTTACCGGTAACTGAATTCTTCCAGCCAAGCTCCAGGGGCACACCAAAGCGGAGGAAGCCTGTAAACATCATGGCCCCATCTCCGATGAGGCCATTGGCTCTGCCAACACTAGCCGACGCATCGCACCTTACTGCGTCACCTGTGAAAGCATCGCCGCGTCGAAAGAAGATCCTAGGAATAGCGGTGAAGAAGGGTGTTCAGTTCTCGCCAGCAAGGAAGAAGTCGCCATCCAAGACCAAGCGCGGAGTACGCTGGAGGGACGACACGGAGAACGGAACCCTTGCCGAGTTCCAAAAGACGCCTGAACCCATTCAAAGCTCGCCCGCAAAGCCAGTTAGGCCACCACCAATGTTTTCCACGGGTATTCCTGTACCGACATATGACTCGGGTGGCTCTTCACCCATACCCACACCACCAAAGGCCTCTGTCGACCTCAAGGGTTCGTCAAGATTCGCACTTGGCGCCCTCTCGAAACGCTCGGATGGCTCACCTGGTTCCCGTGTCAACACCTCATACACCTCAGACTCTGATAACGCGTCTCCGCTGCGCGAAATCGCCAGCAATACGCGTACCTCGGCGTTGAGTAATGTAGAAACTGCCTCTTCAGAACATGTTCCAGAGGGCAACAGTGGCCACTCCAGTTCCGAAGAAGAGAAGTGGACAGCTGCAGATGCCCGCCAGATTGGGCATGCTATGAAGAGGCGTTCATCAACAAATGGGGGTTCAGTGCCCATCAACCGTGCTCAACGGCGGCGCAGTCCAACAGCGGCAACCGTTGGTAGTCCGCCTAATGAGAACTCTCTTCTTTCGGCGGGTGCGGCACGTCGCATGGTCAAATCAAACCACGATACTGACTGGAAGAATAGCGTACTCAGCCCGCGGGTCCAACCCATCATGAAGGCTGCCGTAAGGCGCACCACCATGGCCAACGTTGGTGACGATCGACCACGGGAAGCACCACTCGGTTCGAATACACGTGCGCATGTGCGCGTTATTAGCAATTCGTCGCAAAGAGGTAGTCTAATGCCCAACTCTAAGAGTGTCTGGCGTTGATTGACCACTCTTGCTGACGCCCAACCTCAGGAGATTGGAGAAGACACCGTTGGGGTTTTTAGCATCTTTCTCTTCTTGCTGTCACGTCTTTTCTCGATTCCACTCAACGGGTTGTCGCGTTACACAGGGTCTTTGCAATGTCTATCAAGCCCATGGATGTTACTCCCTATAAGCATTAATGATTGTATGGGACGGCGTTTGGATTAATGTTCTGCCCATGGCAGTGATTAGAGTTGTTTTGTTGTTTTTGGCTTCGCGCTGCGTTGAGAGACTTCGTCTCTTCGTCGCGAATTTTTGATACGTTGTATACTCCTTGTGTTTTACAGCATATTTTCAAGTCATGATCAGATATCGTCTTCTTTTCTGCTGAAATTTCGATTTCCTCATTTTTTCTTCGATATGACACGTTACCTATGATTTCTCAAATGATATACCCTGGGGCGACCGTGAAGGATTGGATACGAAGGCACGGAATCGGCCAATCTCGGCCATATGGCCGGACTTGGTACTCCTCATCGACTAACCAACACTCCACCCCTCTACCCCACATGCGTCATTGATTGTTAATACATGCCCATCAACGCCTGTCGTGGTGTGATAGAGTCCGGGAATACTCCGGACGAATGAATGGACGAAGGAAAAGAGGAAATAGGGCGAAGAAAAGGACCTGGTGTTTGCGTATAAAGATGTCGCCGTTCCCCGACGTCTTGCTACTACTACTAGTCCCTTGAAGACGTCATTACTCAACTATCTACAGTCAATTCAGATCACGGGACCTACAGCAATATCAATCGAGGCTGCAGAAAGAGATATTTGTTATAGACGACAAGATGAAGGAAGCACAGGTTGCACAGGACCTAACGGTCACTATCAAAGATGTGCCAATGCCCACACCAGGACCCGACCAAGTCGTCATTAAGGTCATAGTCAGCGGTAGTAACCCCAAGGACTGGTACGTTCTACAGTCGAACCTCACGATCTCCCCCTAGAACAATAAAATGAATAATCTCATCCAAGAGTCAACCCCCATCTAACCTCACGCCCCAGGAAAATCCCCGCCTACAACATGGCACCCAACACAAACTCGGGCGACGACATCGCAGGCTACATTCACACCGTCGGCTCAAACGTCTACGAATTCAAGCCGGGTGACCGCGTCGCCTCCTTCCACAAGATGCTCACCCCAGGTGGTTCGTTTGCCGAATACGCCGTCGGCCACGCCCACACCACATTCCACATCCCGGCGTCCGTCTCCTTTGAAGCCGCTGCCACCATCCCCCTCGCCGCCATGACAGCGGCTATCGGTCTACACCAACGCATGGGTCTGCCTGATCCGTGGAGTGCTGCAACATCAACGCCAGAGAAAGAAAAGACGCCGACGCCATTACTCGTCTACGGCGGCGCCAGCGCCGTCGGCGCATTCACCATCAAACTCGCCCGCCGCGCAGGCATCCACCCCATCATCGCCGTCGCCGGCCGCGGCATCCCCTTTGTAGAATCCCTCATCGATCACGCCGCCGGCGACACAATCGTCGATTACCGCGACGGCGACGCGGCTGTCGTTTCTGGTATCCAGACCGCGCTTGCTGGGAGCAAATTACACCACGCCTACGACGCTGTGAGTGAACATGGGTCGTATACTAATATCGTGCAAGTGCTTGAGCCGGAGGGTCAGCTTGTGTTGGTGCTTCCCGGAAAACAGTACGAGGGTATTCCGGAAAGTGTCAAGATGCGGGTTACGAGTGTGGGCGAGGCGCATGGCGGGGATGCGGATTTTGCGTTTGTTATGTTTAGGTATCTAGCGAGGGGGTTGCAGGAGGGCTGGTTTGTGCCGCATCCGTACGAGGTGGTGCCGGGTGGGTTGGGGGGTGTGGAGACGGGGTTGAGGAATCTGAAGGAGGGGAAGGCGAGTGCGGTTAAGTATGTTTTTAGGGTTGGGGAGGAGTGATAGTGCGTTGGATGGGGAGATTGATGGAGGATGTGGGTGCAAGTCATGTATGTATATAAGTATATTGAGATTTATATTTTATGTGCCGCAGGGGGATATATATGCCATTTCGTCAAAGAGCAGCAACACAAAGCGTGAGATATAAAAAGGTATTGAGAGAAGAAGAGAAAGAAAAAGAGAAGAGAAGAATGCCAGTCGTCTTCGTCGTTTTCTTCGTCAAAAAAGAAAAGGCGACAAGAATCATCATCATGGTTGTCTCGTAGACCGCATGACCAAAAAAAGGGTGTGGGGAGAGGGAAGTTGTGAAAGCAAAAAAGCCCAACAACACCCCAAGCAGGCCACCAATCAACAGCCAAAAAAAACCCCAGCAAAACCCCGAAAAAGGTATACATGCAAAAACACCGCGTAACCCCAGCCCCAGCGCCCTATTGTAGCGAAACCGCATATCTGTCATCATCCCAAACATCATGTGCCCATCTCCACCACCCTACCCCACCTACCTCGAACCTACTCATCGCGGTAAAACTTCTTGAAAATCAAATGCAAGAACAAATTAACATTAACCCTCGCGACGCCCTCACCCGCGGCGGCACCCCTCGCGCCCTCACCAAACAAATTCATAAATTGGTGATTATCGAACTGAGCCTGCAGCAGCCCATCAAGCGGGACCTCAGCAAACGCACCAGGAATCATCATGGACCCTTGGGAGCCCTGAATCTCAAAGATACCAGTCTGGTTGCTTGAGATAGTCATATCGAGGCGATCCCACTGGCGCTCGTGGTAGCCAGACCACGAGATGAGGATGCCCTTTTCAGCCAGGTTGCGGGCCGAGTACTTGAAGGAGCCGAAGCGGTATTCGCGACCAGAGTTTTTGAGCTCGCGCTGGTGGTTGTACTGGCGGGTGAAGGGGAGGAGGAATTTCTTTTTTCCCTTTTTCGATTGCAGGGTTACCATGGCTTGCTCGATGTAGTCGTTGTAGGATTTGAGTTGGGATTCGAGGAAATGCGCCTTCTCGTCTAGCGCTGCGAGCGTGGTGCGCACGCCTTCCAATTCCCTGGCGCGCTGTATGCGTCTTCGGTGCTTGGTGCGGATGTCGAGGGCGATGGCGTTGAGTAGATCTTGGTAGTTGTTGGTGTGGGTGATGCGGCCTGCGCGTTGGAGCTGCACCATGTTCTCAAGACAGTACTGCTTGAGTGTGGGGTAGTCGAGATCGAGCACAGAGTTGGAGCCCATGTCGGTCGTGTAGGTTGAGGCGGCGGAAGAGCGGACTACATTGTTTTGTTTCCGTGTTCGGTCTTTCCGTTGTGCAATTATTTCTTCGCGGACAAGCGCGTCCCAGCGGTCTTCGTCCTCGGGGGTGACGGGCTTGCACATGATTTCTGTAAGGTTCGCGCCCGTCTGGACACGGATGATGTAGAGGACGTAACGCTTGGTCTCCATGAAGAGAGACTTGATCGCAGCATCGGGATCTAGACATGTTAGCAAAAGCCAGTAAAGTAGAATAAGAGTGCTTACCCTCTTGCTCGTGGTACTTGGGGTTCAGAGTCAGGGTGATTTCGCTAGCGCTAACATGCAACAACTCATTCTCGTTGTTCTTAGCGCTACCAAGCTCACGGATGACCTCACGAAGGGGATCGTCTTGCGAAGGGCAAAGGCTCGATAGATCGTCGATGACAAGGTTGTGGATGGCAAAGACATCGGCAAGCTTGATGTAGAGAGTTGGCTTTGTCCTGGCGAAGAGATCGTTGAACTCGTCAATCTCGAACTGAGCTTCTGCAGGACGAACGTTGATCATGTTCGACCAGATGTCTTGCAGACGATCAATGGCCTCGGTGATGTAGCTGTTAAGAGGTTGTAGATAGATGTCTTCACCACCAAACAGCTTACCAACCGCGATCTGACTCAGCACCTTACCGACGGCTCCAAGGTTCCTGTTCATGACTGGTGACAACCCGCGGTCTACCACACCCCAGTGCTGGGGTTGTAACAGAGCAGGCTGGATGTATGACTTCCACGCCCAGTGACCTGTTATTTGCAGCAGCTGCTCTTGTGGCTCGTAAGGGAACTTTGCCCGGAGCTCCTCGAACATTTGCTGTGCAATGTATCGTACGCCGTACGGCATGCGATGAAGGACCTCCTCGAACGTGGTGAAGTACTGGTCAGCAACATCTCGCAAGTCTTGTAGGTTGTGAATGAAGGTTCCACGCGTTTCGGGGTCCTTCAGAGCTACGTCACGCGAAACGTTAGGGTCACGACGACTCCGTTGACCAGTTCGCAGCTCCTCGTTGTTGATTGCTGAGCGGTAGATTTGCATGGGGTCGCTCTCCAGATCTAGGTGCTCGTTCTCGATAATGTTTTCGCGGATAACTGTTCCAAGGACCTCCTTGAGGAACTTCCGGTCCCTTGGAGACCGAACGTAGTTGGCGAACAGCTTGGTCCAGAAGAAGTTTCCGCGAAGATACTCGTGCAGCGACGCGCATCCCTCAATCTCCTCTTTCAAAGACCGTGTCAGGAGCTTTAGTAGCCAGTACTCTTCCCTGCGCTTCTGAGCCAAACCAAACAGACTCATAGTCAGCTGTTCAATGCGCTTAGTATCACCATCGGCCAGACCTTGTTCGCGAACCCGCCTGAAAAGTCGTGCCAGATATTGCGGCTGGGTTTGCAAAACAAAGAAGAGCTCCTGGTACTGTTCGAGCTTCCGACGAGAGTTCTTGTTGAGGGCTTTGAGATCGAAGGGGTCCTTTGATGAGATGTCTTTGCTGCTGAGTAGAGTTCCGACATTGCCACCAAAATGCTTTTGATGCTTGACGACTTCATCAAGAGTAATCTTGTTCTTTACAAGCAGCGCAATCTTGATGTCGAGTTGATCGACGTACTGCTCGGCGAGTTCGTTTTGTCGTACATGCTGTACAACCGTTTTGCGCAGCCGCTCAAACTCTGGAATTACGTTAGCTGGGGGCCGTCTGAAATCACAAGAAACAACTTACCAATCTCTTCATCAAAGTCGATGTCGTTATCGTTGAGGAGATGTACAAAATTCTTGACTGTCGAGACAGGAGGGTTGGTTCCGCTTGTCAAGCTCTTGTAGGCCTCACCCTGTTGTCGTCCACGGATGAAGCTCTGTACTTTGATGACCTTCTCCATGTTCTCCTTGTAGAACTGCTGCTTTTCGGCAAACTTCTGTCGGATGATCAAACCACGCGCCATGGTTTGTAGCTCCACGATGGCTTCCTCGTGCTCCTCTACCTGACCGAGCTGCAGACCAATGTGCATCCGGAGGAGCATACCCCGTGCGATAGACTGGAAGTCGATGATTTCAGGTTCCTGTGCGTTGAGCTCGCACAGCGTATCGTACGTGCGTTGGCGTACCACGAATGCCCGGCAACCTGATTGAAAATCAAGTATAGTGGTGTTCTGTGCCTGGAGTGCTTTGAGATCAGAAAAGTGCCTTTGTCGTGAAAGGAAACCACGAATGACTGATTGTAGAGAAAGAATGGCGCCTTCTTGGCCGTCTAGTTGGGCAAGGATATCAGCGACTTCAGAACGCATCTTTCCTCCTCTTGCAACGGCTTGTAGATCGGTGATTTGAGGAACTTCAGCTTGAAGTGCCTCTTGAATCATCTTGACAGAGCTCCTCAACACATTGGCACGAACTTGAGACTGAAGACCAGACCAATTGACATTGGTGCTTACCAGCTTCTCCTGCATTGCGGTATTCTTACTTCTAGCGAGGAGACCTCGCGCGACAGATTGTAGAAGAGTGACCATGGATTCGTTTTGACGAAGACCTTCTTGCTCTGTACGCATCGTCTTGCGAATCAGTAGGGCTCGTGCAGCAGACTGTAATTGAGTGATCATGGCTTCGCTTTGGCCGAGGCCTTCCTGCTCCGTACGCAGGGATTTGCGGAGACGCATTGCCCGTATAGCGGATTGGAGAGACGTGACCATGGTTTCAATCGGACGGAGACTTTCTTGTTCAGTGTGCATGGATTGGCGGACAAGCATTGCTCGTGACATGGCTTGTAGCTGCACAATGTGAGCTTCGTATTGTTGTAGCTCGGCCCACTCCCGATCTACGTGGAGTCGAAGAAGGGCACCGCGAATCATAGCTTGAACGTTTACGACAGAGGGTTCAGTGTCGCGAGTTTGTTCGTATCGGTCGCATACACGCATTCGTTCCAATGCTCCTCGGATCGCCGCTTGGAACTGCCGTATACCATGCTCGTGTTGCTCGATTTTCGACTTTGTGTACTGAACTTGCGCCCTGGCCTTGCGTCCACGGAAGAGATTCTGCACCTTCAAGACTTGGTATTCCTTGTCATGCCAATACTGCTCTTCACCCCGTAGCTTAGACCGAAGTAGGAACCCCCTGGCAGCACCTTGCAGGGTGACGGCAAACCGTCGCATGTCCATACGGTACTGGGAAATTTGCCGGGCCCAGTCGCCGCGAATGCGCGCTTGTAGATCGACTATGAGGTGCTCATGGTCCCAGAGCTCCTGCATCAGCATTCCAAGGCGTATTCTTACTAGTGCACCCCGTATCTGTGCCTGTAAATCTAGTATGGTATCTTCATTCTCGGCTAGTTCGCGATCGACGCGATCTTCCTCCGACTCCACCGGCTCCGGCTCAGGTTCCGGCTCGACCTGAAAGTTTGTATGCATGCCGGAGAAGTTGGGCATACTAACGCCAGATTTGTCCAAGCCCTTCTGTGTAGCCTCCAGCTCGTGGTCTTCGAATTGGAGTTTACCAACCAAGTTACCGATACGGAAATCTACAATGCCTTTTCGGAACAATAGCCACGACAAGGCGTGTATACAGTAGATGACTTTTGGCACATTCTTCTTCTCGTATAGATCAACCAGCTCAAAGCGAAACAAATCGGGCAATTCGACTTCACCCAAGAACTTGAAGAAATGCGCGTAGTTGTTCGAATGTCGGTACTGCAACTTGGGGTCGCGGAAAATGCGCAGTGGCTGCCCTTTGATAGCCTGCACAATCTCGGCCAGAGTAACACCGTTCCGTAATGCCTCTTCCAGTTCTACCACAGGCGGAAGATCGGTCTCGATGATGTCCTCCATCCACTCCTTTGCTTCTCCGATATGACAAAGATATTCGTACGCTTGCAGAAACTGCCGTTGTTGGTCCATCCAGTTCCGATTCGACCACGTAGATGCCACCTTCTTCCCCCGATCAGCATCGGTCCTCTGTAGCCTCCTCCGCCCATTGAGACCCACAACCTGCTGCTCCGGCGACTTAATGGCGAAGTCCTCATCGTTTCCCGCCTCGGCGAACTTGGACAGGGTACGTAGATGCAGCGTAGACGATTTTTGGAAGCTCTTAAGTTCCGGTCGTTCCAGATGAGTTGACAAGGGTCGTGACGAGTGATCTCGAGTTGGCGCGCGTACAGAGTCATTTCGGGACACTGCTAATGATAGTGGGCGCGGTTTCGATGGCGGGGAGATGGTGGACCCATCGAACGGGGAATAGATGTTCTCGATACTATGCGATCGCATATGGTTACTGGCGCGGGTCGGGCTGGCTGTGGAAGGCCGCAAAAGCTTTTCCGGGGACGGTGGATTCGAGAATGTTGGCGGTCGTGATAATTTTTCGGGCGACGGCGGACTTGAGAAAGTCGGCGTCCGTGATATCTTTTCAGGCGACGGCGGGCTCGAGAAAGTGGGCGGTCGGGATAGCTTCTCGGGCGAAGGCGGGTTTGAGGCGGTTGGGGACCGGTAGATCTTTTCGGGCGAGGGCGGGTTCGAAGGGGTCTGCTGAAGTGGTCGCAGCGCCTTTCGCATGCTAGAGTACGTGTCGCCGGGGTCAGCATCTCCCGATCCAAAGTAGTCTTCTGAGCGCGGCCGCGAGAGTGCCGTGGCCTCACTCAGGCCGCGGCGATGTCCGCCCAACGACGCAAATCCACCCGACGCATTGCTAGACTGCGTGCTCGACCGGCTCGGGGGATATTGGGCGGAGCCGTTGGACGAGCCGTTGGAGGCTGTCGAGGTCTGGCGCAGCGGGGAAGGCGCTGTCGATGGATGTCCCAATCTTGTCCGGGGTGTAGTCAGGTAACTCATGGCGAGCGCAACCGTGGCAGCATGTGTCGTACAGAACAAAGAACAGCGGGTAGGCGGGCGTGTTGGTGGAGGCTCAGTCGACCGTCATGGAGGCCCACGATAATTACAAGAGATAGGTATGGGTGCGCCTGCCGTGAAAACAAGGATGTCGATTTCGATTGGGACCAAGCGACAATCCAGAGCCCTGCGACCAAGCGCGCGACCTGTCTCTGCACGGGCAAAGAAAGTAATGAGGAAAGCGAAATTGGGTATACTAGATGAAAGACGGCGGCGTCGAAATTGAGCGCGGACTTGTGCTGTCCAAAGCTTTAGCTCGTGTTTACTTCGGGCTGGAAGTGCTGTTGTCGAGTCAACGATGTAACGTGGATTCAGAACGCCACACCTGCCAGCCCACCGCCTTACCAGCCCCACGCCACGCCACGAAAATCTCCCGTCTGCCGCCTCGCCTCACGTTACGTGCATCTGCATCGGAGCCTTTGATGTCTTGCTGATGTTTCTGCCCTTGCTTTTTCTTGTTGTTGACCACGCCGCCGGACCGCGGGGACGTGTGCACCGTGCAGTCCCAATGACCCCTAGCATCGCATCACGTGCATGCCATCACCCGGCTTGCAGACTCTCTCCCAGCTGTTCGTACATGTATCGTCGCAATGACTATGGGCAGACTGTAGGGCGACAAGTACCGCACTTTACCGCCGCGGTCATCTGCAACACCACCCTTTGCACGGTCGACTGCCGCACCCGACTCGATGTTAGCGTACCCCTTGGATAACGTCAAATGTAGGCGCACTGGCGTCCGCTGACTCTCGTCTTTCCCATCACCACAAACATTACCGCTTTCGACGCGGCTGTGGACACGCTAAAAGGCGGGGTCACCTGATACGTAATCCTTGGCGCCCGAGCCCACTGAAATTCTTTCTGGCCCGACTGAACTTTTTCGCTTTTTTCTCTTGGGAAAGCTCGCAACTTTCCCCGGCCAGTGTCTTTTTCAAAGAACCACGGTCTGTTTCTTCAGTGATACCCCTTACTTATACCCTTTCTTTTACAATGCCCATTTCCAACGGCGACGCCATGACAAACACGGCTTCAGACGCCCTGGACCACACCAAGGCTCTTGAGATTCTCAAGAATGAGTACCCAGAGCGCGATGGCATTGACGTCAAGACGCTCATCGACTCCAAGAAGAACGGTGGTCTTACCTACAATGACTTCCTCATGCTTCCCGGGTACATCGGTGCGTTGTCCTCGCATTTGCCGCATGTCATTTTCTAAGCTGGGATACGTCATGACGGGAATACTGCGTCGGCAGTAAACCGTACAGACTTCCAGTACTGCACATGGTCTTCTATGGCTTCGGTTGTGCGATAGGCATTCGTACAGCATCCTAACATGCCATAGGCTTCCCTGCCGCCGAAGTCGCCCTTGATACCCCAATCACGAAGCGCATCTCCCTCAAGACACCCTTCGTCTCCTCGCCCATGGACACCGTCACCGAGCACAACATGGCGATTCACATTGCGCTTCTTGGAGGTCTCGGTGTGATTCACCATAACTGCTCTCAGGATGACCAGGCCGAGATGGTGCGCAAGGTCAAGCGCTTCGAGAACGGCTTCATTCTCGACCCGGTTGTCATCTCTCCTACTACCACTGTTGGAGAGGCCAAGGCGCTCAAGGAGAGGTGGGGATTCGGAGGTTTCCCTGTCACTGGTAAGTCCGCCTCAAATCTTACCCCATACTCGCATTGTGATGATTACCTTTTATTTTTAACTTTCGTTCATCCGCAACGATTCCGTCGTGCTGTGGAAAAAATACCCCTGACATGCTCACTATTGCTCTGTTTCGCATAGGCTTTTGGAGATCATATGCTAACAGTTTGCAAAGAAAACGGTACTCTCCGATCCAAGCTCGTCGGTATCATCACACCCAGAGACATTCAGTTCCACGACAAGCTCGAAGACCCAGTCACCGCCGTCATGTCGACCGACCTCGTTACTGCCCGCCACGGTGTGGAGCTCAAGGAGGCCAACGATATCCTCAACAAGTCCAAGAAGGGAAAGCTTCCCATTGTTGATGAGAGCTTCAACTTGATTGCGCTCCTGTCGCGATCTGACTTGATGAAGAACTTGAACTTCCCGCTTGCATCTAAGCTCCCCCACTCGAAGCAGCTGATTGCCGCAGCTGCCATCGGTACCCGACCAGAAGACAAGATCCGTCTGCAAAAGCTCGTGGATGCTGGTCTTGACATTGTCGTTCTCGACAGCAGTCAGGGCAACAGCATGTACCAGATTGAGATGATCAAGTACATCAAGCAGACATACTCTCAGCTCGACGTGATTGCTGGAAACGTAGTCACTCGCGAGCAGGCTGCTGCTCTCATCGCAGCTGGCACTGATGGTCTCCGTATTGGTATGGGTAGCGGAAGCGCCTGCATTACCCAGGAGGTTATGGCTGTTGGACGGCCGCAAGCCACCTCGGTATACAACGTCACATCTTTTGCCAAGCGCTTTGGCGTACCATGCATTGCGGATGGTGGTATCCAAAATGTCGGTCACATCGTCAAGGGTCTTGCCATGGGCGCATCAGCTGTCATGATGGGTGGTCTTTTGGCTGGTACCACTGAGTCGCCTGGAGAGTACTTTGTTAGCCGTGATGGTCAGCTTGTCAAGGCCTACCGTGGTATGGGCAGTATCGCCGCCATGGAAGACAAGAAGGCTGGTGGCGGTGCCGCTGACTCCAAGGCCAGCAACGCTGGTACTGCGCGCTACTTCTCTGAAGGTGACCGTGTCTTGGTTGCCCAGGGTGTTTCCGGGTCTGTCCAAGACCGTGGCTCCATCACCAAGTTCGTTCCTTACTTGATGGCTGGTGTTCAACATTCGCTGCAGGACATTGGCATCAAGAGCCTCGCTGAACTCCACGAGGGTGTTGACAACGGCAATGTGCGATTTGAGCTCCGAACTGCCAGCGCACAGGCCGAGGGTAACGTGCATGGCCTACACAGCTTTGACAAGAAGCTCTACTCATAGGTGGCTGTTACAAGTGGTGTACGAAATGCATTGGTAGGGCGTTAGTTGTGGGATTATTTCTTCCCTCATTCTTAGACATGTGACACGCGGGTACGATTATGGAGCAACGGATAGGCCAAAAGCAATGATACCACGAACACTGTTCACATTTGTTGTACACTATGTATCTTCTGCAATCTTGGAGTGATGAGAGATGCTGCCGAAAGTTGTTGATGTCTTTCGAGCCTTGCCTGCCCAGGTAACGACGTCAGTGTAGTGGGTGGGCTGCTTTGTAGCCTCGGCATCTCCCCGCGCCGCAACCCATCCCTTCTACACGTTGCCGGTCATGACGCGCGCTTTGCTACTGCTGCCTCAATTGGTGGCTAACCATGCCAAAGCCGTGTCGAAGGAAGCTTCTTCTCTTGGCTGAATCCAAACCTATTAACTTGCACCTTCCACGACTTTTCAATCTATCTACACGCTCCTTCTCGCGTCTTCAGTACGACCAGTATCGACCGCGACCTGCTTTTACATCGCCAACAAGGTCGCATCTTCGAGGCAAGCTGGTTGTTAGGAACAGCTTTCAAACGCGCAACATGTCTATGCCCGCAGATCATAAGCCGTCCAAGACGCCCCTGAAGACCCCAGCAGTCCCACGGCCGAGCGCGAGGTATGCCATTGTGTCATGAATCCGCATCACCGCACACTAATCAAGTACCAGTGTACTCTTGATATCGCCCACAAACCAGATCCTCCTCCTCCATCGCGTCTCCAAGGCCTCCAGCTTTGCCTCTGCACACGTCTTCCCCGGCGGCGCTCTGTCCAAGACACACGATGGCGAGATACCAGATGTAAACGACCCAGCCAGACATCGAGATGGACCCGCATACCGCATGGCAGCCGTGCGCGAGACCTTTGAAGAATGCGGCATCCTACTTGCCAAAAGCAAGAAGACGGGAAAGCTGTTCACCGAGATAAGCGACGAGGAACGTGAACAAGGCCGAAAAGATGTGCACAGCGGCAAAATCAAGTTTAGAGACTTACTAGAGACTTGGGGCGCTGTGCCCGACACGGATGCTTTGATTCCCTTTACACGCTGGGTAACACCTGGTAACGTGCCCAAACGCTTTACAACGCAAATGTACATCTACTTCCTCCCCCTCGGATCCACGTCGCCTACCAAACGCGCTGCTCCCAAGGGCACCCCGCCATTAGCGGGCTTGGAACAGGAGGATGAGATTGTGATTCCGAAGCCGACGCATGATGGTGGTATCGAACACACCGCAGCACGATTTCTTCCTCCAAACAAATGGATTGATCTGGCGCGCCAGAATAGGATTATCCTCTTCCCGCCGCAGTTTATCCTTACTTTGCTGTTATCTCCTTATCTTGCTGCCAGCGTCACGTCCCCCTCGTCACCTACACCATCACTTTCCGGACTCCAGGCCGAGCGCGACAGGTGTATCGAGTTCCTAGAGAAACCACGTGTGTATGATGGTACGCCAGAGGTTTCCTTTGCAGAAGCGTGTATCTTGCCCCTCGTTTTGGGCAAAGGCGAGTATGGGCAAAGTGGCCAGGATGGGGTTGGGGGTGTAGACAAGCACACTGCGGTATTGGCGCTGGATAGGCCGGGCAAGGAGGTGGAGGAGCAGGGTCAGGATAGGAGGGGGCTGAGGGAGTGGGTTGTTACGACAAAGTTCAAGAAGGAGGGGCCGAGGGATGTAGATGTTAGGCGGAGAGATGAGGTGTTGGGGAGACAGAGTGGTGTGAAGTTATAGATACATATCTTTCTGTCTTTCCAGTACTGGTCATGGACTTGTTCCATTTTGGCAAACATGGATGAATTCAAAACGTACATTGGTTGCATTTAATGTCTCATTTCATCTATGCTGCCAATCCACCACAGTACCAGTATCTCAGATATTTTCCTGGGGATGACATTCACCCCCTCAGCTATCAGCCAGACCAAAGCCTACCCTCCTTCCTTTGTGTTTTAGAAAACTCAAAATCCACCTCTCCAACATACATTACTGGAAAGACTCCAGCTCAACATACACCTTCCCTTCGTATTATCCCAACCGACAATTCCATACGCCTCAACCCTCACGATTCGCTCGTTTCTGCAGTTTCTCCCACTCCGTGTTTTCCGTGTTCGACAAGTCCTGCATCGAAAGAGGCGCAGCTTTCGACGTCGAAGCGAGTGAAGGCGAGAAAAAGAAAGCATGCAGAGGGGACGAAGGCTGGAGGCTGGAGGGGAGATAAGAAGGGAGTATACCCAAGTCTCCTATCCTTTTCCTCCAAAACCATCATATTGTAGCGCCGGTCATGTTCTAGAAGGCATGATATGACCAACCCTCGGTATATCAAAAGTGACGAATATTGAGATCGAGAAGTCATGCCTAGACAGATGTCAGATGACAGACAGAAGCAAGGATATCCCCTCAAATTCCCCACCGGAGGTGACAGTTTCCGGTAAGTACTTAGCAGAAAGATGAGATGGTCCGTCCCGTCTTACGTTAGCATGCTGTAACACGTACAGTGGTTTGGGCAAGGCAAGGCAAGGCATAGCATGGAAGGAAGGGAGGGAGCGTCTAGACCTGCCCAGTCTACCGTCTTACTGTACCGACGTGGAAAAATCAAGCCATGGATGCGATTGCGGCAAAGGTCTTCCTATCTGTCCGAACTCTTATTTCCTTCGGTGCTTTTACGTGCATTTGCTGCTTGCTAATACAACTAGACGACAACCTGAAACGTTGGGGTTGTCGGGTATCTTTGCGGCATATATTGTGGCGCCATGTTGGTATTGGTGTTGTTGTTGTTGTTGTTGTAGTAATATCCGTGTATATGAGTAGGAAGAGGAAGGAATGGCGAAAAGAAAAAAAGACGCCGCCGCTCCGATATCGTACGTTGATCCCCTCTTACGCCAAGTCGCAGTACTGTAATTCCAAAGAGAAAGAATGTCACCACAACAACCCTAGATAATCATCTCGCCATCCTCGCCATCCTCCCCACCGGCATCATCCGCATCCTCTTCATCCAGGTCCTCGAGCGGATACGTCAGGATAGCAGCGACATTGCCCAGCCCTTCCAGCCGCTTACCGCTCTCATGTAAGGAGCTGAGCACGCGGACTTCTCCGCCTTCTACATCACGGACCTGGTTCACGAGCTTGACCCAGCGCCTGCGTTCCTGCACGTTCTGGGCGCGGAACAGCTGGTTGTTGATCATGAGGACGCCGCCGCCGCGTCCGACGGCACCCTTGGCGACGGCGCGTTCGACCTCGCGGGGGCCGTACCATGCGCGGCCGTCGTCGAGGCGGACAAGGGTGTTGAATTGGTCCATGAGGGCTGTTTCGCGGGCGAATTTGGTGTTTGAGAGTTTGTTTGTTATGGCGGGGGAGGAGAGGACTTCGTTTAGGGAGTGGACGTGGGCAGAGGACGAGTGTGCGATTGTGATGTTGGGGATGAGCGCCATGAGGGTTTTGTTGGTTGTTCGTGTCGCTTCCGCTTTGATGTACGTCAGGAATGCTGTGGCTACGAAACCTGGGCTGGCTAGTAGTATTGGTAGTGTTTTGCCTGGCGCGGTGTTTGTACTCTCGATTTGCCGGAGAAGAGTGGCTAGTGTTGTGGAGAAGAATCTATCCATGCCTTTGCTGTGTCCGTCTACGCCGTTTTTTCGCTTTCGCGGTACTGATACCTCGATCCTTTGCCGTAATATGGTTTGATGCTCGGTAATCATGCATATGTTTGCTGTGCCTTCTCCCAGTACAACAGACCAGAGTTCGGCCTTATTTGCCGTGTCGCATGCCTCTTTGAGTTGCTCGAGCGCGACACTATCCCAGCCATCTGCCTTTTCCAATGTAAATTTTCGGTTGAGCTCCAAATCAAGCGTATGGTGTTGCCCTAGCTTGACATGCTCATTCTCTTTTGCCACGCGACCCGAGACGTGGAGTTGTTCTGATCCAATATCAAAGTCTGTGGTTGTGACGGTGATGGTGAGGTCGAGTGCGATCCGTTGCGACGATGTAGAGCCGGCTTCCGACGTTTTCGATACGCGCCGTACCGCTTTCGCTCGTATCTGATCATGTTCTTGTATGAGATTGTATGCGTGCCACTGCATCGCAAATTAGCATACAGGCCTTTGCGGCCTTGTGATTCTCGTACCATGTCCTCTGCCTCCTCTGGCAGCAGAGTCACGAACCCAGCGCCAGTTTTCTGTTCAATCTGGCTCTTGAGGAGCTTCATGGTAGTTGATTATGTATTAATGTCGCGACTTTAGCGCTCCTTTTAGTTGTGTGAATGGAGACGCGGTGTTTTTTCGTGTGTAGCTGCCGTGCAGCCTTACAGGACCAACTTTTGAGTGACGCAACCATGGCTGGAGGGGCACTACGTAGTGGGGTCCTCGCTACCAACGAGCTTATTCACGATTAGGTTTGGCCTCTCACGCGGAACGTATTACCTGCATATCTTTTGTTCAACCCAAACGTTTTGTATTATGCAACCTCAGTTAAACCAAGGTCGGCATTGGTATATACTGGGGTCTGTCGCAAATCAATATGTAGATCAACTCGCCAGCGACCAGGTTACCGTCGACCCCTGACATGGAATCGGATAGCGCATTATATTATAAAGCACCATCTGCGCAGTGCGATCATCGAAGTAAAGAAGGATTATACTGTACAATCTATTAAGAATATATCCGCCGGTAGTCTATAGTGTTGAAAGGAAATGAGGGTATATGAAACAAATAACTGATAATCCGCCGCCTCTACCTGGCCTTGATAATGTCTGCAGCCTTCTCGGCGATAGCGTACGCAGTAGCTTGCGTATGGGCGCCAGGGATGATGGGAATGATGGAAGCATCAACGATAGATAGATGCTGAGTGCCATAGACCAACAGCTTGTCGCTGACACAGCCACCATCCTCCCTAGGCATCATGGGGCATGAGCCACATGGGTGAGCAAGAGAGGGCGCCAACATCTTTTGCTTAATGAGAGCGGTGTAAAGCTCTTCATCGGTTTTGAACTGGGCGCCAGGAACCTTCTCCGTGATCTTGTAGCGGGCGAGTAGGGGACTAGCCCAGATGGTGCGGAAGAATCGCACACTGGTAAATAAGACCCGGCGATCGATTGGATTCATGAGTGCGTTGTATGTGACAATGGGTGGCCCTCTAGGGTTCTTGGGGTTGATGTGCACAGTACCGCGGGACAGGGGCTTCTCTACAGCAGCTAGGACATAGGTGCCATCAGCAGCACAAGTCAGCTCAGCGGCAGCAATGTCCTTGCGACCAAACGACTCAGCAATAAACTTGGCTTGCTTTGCAAAGCCCCTGGTAAGCTTCTTGTTGATCTTGTAGATATTTGGAAGGTAATCGGTCGACCTCTGGCTGTTCAAAGACTTTGTCAGAGACTCCGTGTCGTTGGTCATGTCGGGCAGAGGGACAAAGGCAAGCGAATTGCCGCGGGCATATGTGTAGGGTCCAGTCTTGGTCTCCTGGTACTGTTTCCATGCAGTCGCATTGAAAGTGGCGTTGGTAGCTAGCGAATTCTGGTCGGGGAAGAATTGGTTGGTTGTGTTGAAAATCAGGGTAGCGTAGGGGTGGTCCTGGAAATTAGTACCTACAGCATCGAGTGCAACCACGGTACGAATACCTGCAGGCTTCATGACAGACTCGGGTCCAACACCGCTGAGTTGGAGCAGCTTCGGTGTCGCAATCGTTCCAGCCGCAAGTACAACCTCCTTCTTGGCATTGAAGATTTGGCACTTGCCCGTCTTGTCAGTGGTCTCGACACCGATAGCCTTTGGAGTCTTGCATGATGTGTCGAAGTTGATCTTGTTCACAGTTGTACCAGTGATGATGTGCAGGTTGGGACGCGTCGCTTTGATGGTATCGTAATATGCGTAAACGGCGTGAGCTCGACGTCCGGTTTTTACATCCATAGTGTTGGGAAACCAGGAAGGACCAATGGCCTCTCCGTTATTGCCATCCTGTGGGACATGGACACCGCTTGCCTTCCATGCCGCGAAGTATGACGTGATATCCTTGTACTGGTTGGAGGTGATTGAGACTGGGAGAGGGCCGTTGCCGTACACAGATTCATCCCATGTAATGTTGAATTTCTTTGCGGCCTCAGGCGTAGGTGGTTGTAAAGTAGTGCCTTTGATGAAATAGGGTAACAGGCCTTTCCAGTCCCAATCATCGTTACCAAGAGCCGCCCAGCAATCGTAGTCACCAGCTGAGCCGCGGTCGTAGATCATGCCGTTGACAACTGAACCGCCACCGAGGACCTTGGCGACGAATACATCGAAGGAGCCGTTGCCAATAGCTGGCTCAGGCAGCGATTTGATGCCATCCCAATACAGCCCGGCCGCTGCAGTCAAGTCATTGGCCTTGTATGGAATCCTGGTTCCGTCGGTATCGACATTGTCACCTGCCTCGATGACTAGAACAGTCTCTGTGTTTGATGTTAATAACCCCCGTTAGCGGCCTCGTGGAACTTCAAGTTACGTACTGCTTTTGTCTTCGCTGAGACGGTTGGCAACGACCAACCCAGTGACGCCACCCCCTACGATTACATAGTCATATTGCTGACCAGCGGCAGCACCGAGTACAGGCGACAGGAAAACAGTTGAGAGCTGAAGAGCTACAGCCAAGCGTGAGAATGCAGGCATCTTTCTTGGGCCCAGTGTGGTAAATTAACGAGAGTACTATGAAGTTAGGACTGTTGGCTGCTTCCATTGCAGAGGGTGCAGCCACTAAAGGCTTTATACGGACCGAACCACATGGCTTCTCCTTGCGCGGATTGGCTGAGAGAAAGCTCAACACGTGGAAATGCCGTTATTGCGGTTTTATCATGCCGATTTCATGGAGAATAGGTCGACCCACCGACCCTTGGGGCGATGGTAACGTCGGTAAAATTGGCTGTATGCGTGTGGCCTTGCGGTGCTGAGTACCATGTACGACGTTCTAGATTGTGTACACTATGCCCGCTCTGGTAGGGGCAGAGCTAAAAGTCATATCGCAGACCACACCAGGTTTAGCTTCTTCCTGGGTCCCGGTGAACATCAGGGAAAGGTGGGCTCGGTCCGGTTCCGTACAAACCAGTAATGCTCTGCCATACGAGACAACATCATCTGCAAAAGAGAATTACCTTGGAGCGCGACATGTTCGGTTGGCCAATGATGCAGGGGCCGGCTCATCTTCAATCTCCCCGGCTTGCAGAGTGCCATAGATAGACTATGTACAAGGTATGGCGGCCGCAACCTCCGCTTTAAGGTGGGACCGAAAGAATAGTGCTCTTGGCCCCTGTTCCAGTCTATGATCGAGTTTGAGCTACGTGTGCGGCGCTCGTTACAGCGGTTGAGGCGCACATGGCATGTTCATAATCTGGGGAACGTGTGGATATCTCAAAGGCAATTATGCTCTCGGGAAGTTTTCTCTATGTAAGGATGAGTTCAGGGACGGCATACCCCTGGAAGGGGTGTTGTTTTAGTTGGGTATACCGCGGTACGTAAGGCGACCAGCAAGATCCGATGGCCCGTTTGCCCGCCTCCGGTGACTAGGAACGCGTGACTTTCGGGGGACAAGCGCCACTTCAGGTTGGATGTCCGCCAGGCTGACTTTTTCGTATATGTAAGTACTGTATGCTGCTCAGCGTCCGATCGGCCAAATGTCCCGCTATTTTAGGGTATGTTCGCAAGAAACTACTCCAATAATTGGGGTCGACCAGGTGGGAGCGGACAGACTATAACTTGTATGTCTTAATAGTTGGGAAGGGACTCAAGGGACTGGTTCGGCCGGTTTATGCATCTTCGGCGTGGTCGAAACTATCACAGGGCTATCCCTGGAAATATATTGGGCCGCGACAAGGTGTTCAATCACGCGTCTCTAAGGGAGACAGACGGTGTACAAAGGATGTGCAGGACAGGAGCATCGGTATAGCCGGCCCCGGAAGCTTATTTTCCGTCTTGTACCTTGTAGCTGCAGTTTAGGACTCTGCTAGCGCTTCAGCGCCACCGGTCCATGGTGGCCTTTACTTGCAAGATCGAAATATGCTCACCCTAAACAATCACATGTTCTGCTGCGCGTTAGTGAAATGATGAAAAATCTGACAACGCAGTAGAGTGCATCTCCAAGCCACACTACCATCAGGAACGGGAAAGTTTTCGGACGAAGGATGGGAAAAATCGAAATGATCTGAGGACGGCTTCGGCTTTTTATGCCGGCACCGGCGTCAATTGTTCGAGAGAGCCGCGTTCTAGCCTTTGAGCTAAGCATTGCGCTAGCGTCGTTAGCGCCGGGCCGGCAGGCACTCGCTCTCGCTTCCAGAACTCGACTTCTCCCATCTCATCGAGCAACAGAGATCTTGCAACGGACTGCAATGTGAGCCCTGCTGCACTCTAGAACTGTTTGCACGTACAAGATCGAATGTTCATCTCCCGCCATCGGATGGGTCCACAATCCGCGAGAAGACGTCCCACCAACGTTCCATATCGCATCCTGCAACAAGACGAGGTTTAGTCCACAAGATATGTACAAATTTGCTAAGCAGTGGCAATGTCGATGGTCGATGTCTCAGCACCAGCCCAGACGTATGTCGCTGCTCATGGATGACCCGTGTATCATGTCCGAAATCTTGGAGTTTCGCAGCCGATTGACTTCTCCAATTGGGCTTCGTACGTGACTGGGGTGGGGCCTCAATTTATGCGGGATTACTGCTCGATCAGCTCACTGGGCCCTGGCACAAGTTGCTACCAAGATTTCCTTACTGGACGTTTCGAATACGTCCTAAGCGCAGCACCTTCTGCGATTGATCTGGCGGCTTATTCTTCTCAGCCACAGCGGCATCATTTAGCTTTCGCTTCGGTCTTCGCTTGGGCTATTCGGACGCAGTAAAGCCGACACCAGTGATGAATTGGAATGGAGGAAAGAATGCCTGAAGTATCTTAAACTTACCACAGTCTTTCCGTGCTCGAATCATTACCTCCCATTTGTTCAGTCTTTCCCGGCATTCTCGTCTCAAGACACCATGGCAGACGCTGGACCCCTAGCTGGACCTCAGGAATGGCCAAACCAACGGCTGAAGATTCTTATTCCAACATGGACCATGTGTGCCATCAGTACTAGCTTCATGTTATGGAGATGTGTGTATGGGCTGATGCAGAAACGCAAGTTCATGATTTCTGATTATCTGTTGATCATTGCCACTGTAGGTACTCCCCCCCATCTGGTCAATTTTTTCACAACACTGTCGATCACTACCCAACTGTGCTAACATGGATATCTTGTAGGCCCTTAATATCACCGCAGCATGTACGAATCAAGTTGTTGTCGATAACGGCCAAGGGCGCCATATCATGGACCCTTCGGTTCTTCCGCATCTCAGGACGTACTCCTATTATCTATGGCAGACACAAATCTTGAGTGAGAGAATATCCTGTTCCACTCATTCGTCTGCTAATTTCTGTCACCAAGATATCCTAGCAGTTGCCTTCTTGAAAGGGGCTATCTGCGCCTGGCTCCTTGTTCTCAACTTCTCGAGGGTGTACCAAGGTATCGTTTGGCTGTCCATAGCGATGGTCGCTGCGTTCAACTTTCTTGCTCCCATACTTACGCTATTTGGTTGCGCACCGCTCGAAAAGAACTGGAATTTCGGATACAAAGGGGAAAGCCATTGCTGGGCAAGAGGCACTCTTCCACTTTCCTACACACAAGGTATCAGCAACATTATCACAGACTTGGTCTATATGGCTGCGCCTATCATCTACATATCGAGGGTGCAGTTGAGCAAGCGCACGCAAATGGGCATCCGTGTTGTCTTCTTGCTCAGTATACCGTAAGTTTACGCCCTACACCCAGCTATACACGACCACATCCACTAACGGTTTGGTTCACTAGCGCGACAGTATGTTCGATATTCAAGACTGTCGAACTCAACAACATCACTAAAACAAGAGATCCCACTTGGGATGGCGTAGCGCTCGGCATCTGGTCCAGTGGCGAAGCCTCAATCGGCATTCTCATCGCCTCTCTCCCACCGCTCCGAAAACCCTTCGACTACTTCTTCTCAAAGCTACTCCCATCAAGCTTTACCGGCACAGGCAAAACCCCAACATCGAGCTATCGCCCCACCGGCGGCAGAGCCAGCATCCACCTGCAGAACCTCAGCAACAGCAAAGCCTACCGCTCCAGAATACCCGGCGAAAGCGTCCTCGACGACGAAAGCGACCGTGCAATTCTCGATGAGGAGCACAAGACCGGCGGTATCATCAAGAGCACAGACGTGGAAGTCAGGATCTCATCGGACATTATCGACGGCGTGAGTGACTCAAAGGGTACTCCGAGTCCGCGAATGATGAAACACCCAAGTGTGGATTGGAGGTTGCATATGCAGAACGGACCCGGCCCCCAGGTTCCGCGGTAGTGTGGTCGGGAAGATTATGGACGATGGAGCGATTGGTGTTTTGTATATAGATGGCGACCTATACCAGGCCGATTACGTTTACCGTTGCGATTGGATACCCTGTTTGCTTATGTGTGGCAAGGCCGCCTGCCCGTTGTAGTCTGGACAAGTATTGATAATGAAATGCATATTTCGTATGTTATGAACAATATCTTACAAGCAGCTCGCGTTCATCTGTCGTTTGTTTGTGGACGAATATCCACGTCTATAGTATGGGAGATGGGCTATAACAGACGACTAATGTGTACGAGTCCTCCGTGTCACGTATGAGTTGCATATAAACGTCCGTCCGAACCCGAGGCTATATTTCATTGTGAATATGAAATGCGTGGACTTGATACATCGATCGTCAGTCTTTGTAATACAAAGATGGATCCGATGAACTGATTAACGGTCTTGCCCGGACACTTCACCTCGTTTCTCGATGGATCTTTGGAGTACTACTCCAACTCTGCTTACTCTTCTCATAATACTTTCATGTACACAAACAAAACGTTTAGAAAAGAAATGTCAAAGAAATGACCAAGCATAGGTATGCATCGAGTTATACATTCTGCACATACACGCCACTTGTGTATGTATGACTTAGTATCAGCATGTCAGATATTCACTCTTATCTGGAATACTGATGAAATGGGTAATGATCGTGATGATATTGATTATTGATTGTGTTTTTGGTTCTGTCTACGGTTGTGGGCACACCTGGGGGGTGCCAAGCCTTCCTGTGATCCGATTGGCTCTCTCAGATGCCGGGTCGCGCTAGTCTAACCCAGCGTCTGTACGCTCTCATCTTCAACAGTGCTATTATCTGACACACCCCTTCAGCTTGGACGCTCTTCACGCTTGCAAGCTGGGCACTTAGTCCTACTCAAGGCTTACCACGAGATTTTCAAGTTTCTCTTGAATTTCTTCGAGCGGTGCCGAGTTTCTCGCCAGGATTTCCTTAGCGGGGACTAGTCCTAGTTGTTCTAGGAATTCTGGCCATTTGTTTGGTGGCAATGATTTGGTGAGACCGTCGGCGATCATATCCGCGGTAGGTATGTACTCTACGGAGATCCGGCCTGTCGACACCTCCTGTCTGATCCAGTGATTGTGTATGTCGACATGTCTGAGTTTGGTTTGAAGCTTTGAGACCTCCTCGGTGACTAGGCGAATAGTCTGTTTGTTGTCGCATTGAATAGTGATACTAGGGGTGTCAAGCTGGATATTCAGCTCCTTGAGGAGACGGGACAGGAATAGAGCTTCCTTGGCTACTTGAGATAGAGCGAGGAGCTCGGCTTCTGTCGTTGATGTTGTGACAGTGTCTTGTTTGTTAGCTTTCCATGCGATGAGTCCATTGAAGAGCTTGATCGCGTAGCCCTGTGAGCTCTTCCTGTCTAGGGTATTGTCGGCAAAGGAAGCATCGCTGGCTATCTGTAGTCCAGCGCCTCCTCCGAGTTGTAGCGCGAGGTGCTTTGTCGCTAGTAGATATTGGAGGACTCGGTCGGCAGCGTCATGGTGCTCCGGTCCTGGGTTGGAGAGAAAGCGGGCGAGCCGCGACGTCGCAAAGGCGATGTCTGGTCTAGTGGTCACGGCTGCGAAGAGGAGCGAGCCTATCTTGCGCTGGTATTTGTTGATCTCTGATGGGGAGGCGAGGCCGTCTCTTGGTAGTAGTTCGGCAGTCGCCATCGGCGTGTCGTGTCTAATGTCGGTACGGTCGGCCAGTCTGCTGATCTTGTCTGCGTAGGCCGCCTGCGATAGCTGGATCGTCCGCGCCTTTCGGTCTCGGATAATCTCGACGCCGAGGAACCATTGTAAGTCGTTTCCCCCAGTAAAGAGGTATCTGTCCTGGAGGCGGGCAATTGCCTGCTGGGCGGATTGCTCCATGTCTTTGTGGTATGCGAGTATGATGTCGTCCACGTAGAAGAAGATAATGATGCCGTCTTTGATGAGACAGCAGGGTTCGTGCGGTACTTCCTGGAACCCGAGTTCTTTGAGAGTGCCTGTGAACTCTTTCTGCCAGAGGAGCGGGGATATGCGCAGTCCATACAATGCCTTGTTGAGCTTAAGTATAGTGCCTGGCTTCTGATGGCCGCGTGGCATTCTCATGAATACTTCTCGGTCTATTGTCGCATGCACGAAGGCGTTTGCCACGTCGTACTGTTTGAGCTCTAGGTCGTACTTTGCCGCAATTGCGGTTAGCATTCGGAACGACCGGCTTGCGAGTGTTGCCGCGTAGGTGTCTTGCGATGTGATGTTTCGCTGCTGATCACCGCGGACGACTAGTCGTGCCTTGCACTTGAGTAGTCGGTGATGCTTGTCAAGTTTGTAGGTGTATACCCACATGCAGCCCAGGATTTGTTGTCCTGTTTGCTTGATTTTCTTTATGGGGAACTCTGTCCATGAGTTCATTTGATAGTGGCTTGCTAGATGGGACTGTTCTGCTTCTTTGAATAGTTCTCCCATTGGGTGGTCCTCAAGCTTAGTTCGGCATGTTGGCAGAGGTGGTAGCTGACTGCGATGGGGCTTCAAGCCTTTGGCGAGCATTCTCACAATCGCAGCCTTGTCCATAGCTACTCCTCTGTATTCTCCAACCTTTCCGGCCTGGGTACCCGCCATGAACGCTGCTGCCCATGGGGCAGTCTTAGGGGTTCCTTGTCGATCCTTCTCATCTAGCGATGCTCCTGCCATTAGCCGCGCGAGCAACGCTGCGGGTGGCGGTGTCGCCGGAGGTGTCGGGTAGCTGTCCCGGATTTTTCTCCCTTGATAGTATCCTGGCTGGTCGCCCTCGCTGTCCTGAGCGAGTGACTCCTCCGGTGGACTGTCCTCATAGAAGGACTCCGTCTCTGGTTGCTGCGCTGGTGTTGGCAGCTCAATGGTCCTCACGTGTGTCGCGATTTCTTCTAGCGTATTGTGCATGAGGTTGTCCATTAGGTCTTCGGTTTTGCCATCGAAAATTGACTGTTCGTCGAAGACGACGTCTCTAGTGCTCATCACTTTGGCGAGTGACGGTATCCAGATTCGGTAGATGTTTGATGACCGGTATCCGACTAGGTATCCGATCCATGCCTTTGGGTCGAGGCGTTGTAGGCGCGACTTCCCTCTGTGGGTGTCGTCTGTCATGGCGAAAGCTTTGCAGCCATATGCCTTAAGGTGAGTGAGGTTTGGTTTTCGGAGAGATGTGACTATTCCGTTGCTGAAAGCTACTCGTGTGAAGAAGACTTCGTATGGTGTCTTCCAGTGATTGTTGTAGTTTGGGGTTCTGTTGTAGAGATAGACTGCGGCTCGAGTGATTTCTGGCCACAGTTCCCAAGAGAGATTGGCGTCAAGTCGCATTGCGCGTGCCTTCTCCTTGTTTACACCCCCTGAGCGCTCGGCTCCACCGTTTTGTGCCTGTGTGTCTGGGGCTGAGGGCTCGACTCTGATGCCCTGTGTTGCCAGCCATCGCTCGACATCTGGCTTAACAGTTGTGATCTCGTTGTCAGACTCTATGGTCTTAACGGATATGTTGTAATGGTTCTTCATAAATAAGAAGAAAGTTGTGAGCAGCCGGATAATGGACTTGGCTGTCCGGTTGTCGGTAAAGTATAGGTCCCATTGGAGGCCTGAGAAACGATCGGTAATGAGCATTTGGCTCTTCTCTTTTGTGATCGCCTGGACTTCGTATGTATGGAAGTCGATAGCAAGTCGCTCTCCTGGGCCTTCGTCGTTTGTTCGTGGTAGGCGTCGTATCTGTCTCTTGGACTTGGCTCTTCCGCAGGAGTCGCATTGTACTGTCGTCACCCCTTGAACTCGCACCCCCTCAGACTGCTGCACGAGATGCTCGATTGCTGCTGGTCCTGGGTGGCCGAGTCTCTTGTGCCATAGCATCGCTGAAGCCTTCTTTGGTCCTCTCTGCGTGCGTGTTGTGATGGCTCTTGTATGGACAAATGCCTGGGGTAGAGGACTGTACTCTAATACCCACTGGCCAAAGGTTTCTGAGAGGTTGCCAATAACTTGATCGTCTGGTCCTCGTAGGTTAGTTGGGTTTGATTTGGTATCCCACCAGATTCCTCTCTGCCGTAGCAGTCGGAAGGACACTAGATTGCATACGATCTCTGGGCAGATTGCCACATCTCGCAGCACTAGCTTTGTTGTCCCATGCTGATGTTGCAGCGTGATGTCTGTGGTCCCGTATCCCCGTATCCAAATCTTTATACTACCAGCCCATATGTAGTCTCCTAATGATGACGGGCGGTAGTTGTATATCCGATCTGGATTGTTTGTGATGTGGCACGTCGCTCCTGAATCGAGAATGAATGATCGTGCGAGAGGGTACGTGTGCTCGGCTGTCCCACTCCGTGCGATGGTAGTGAGCGCGGCGTCTACGTCCGTAATCTTTCGGCCTTCTAGTCATTCGATTGGTGACTGAGAGAGATCTGGGGTCGGTGTATGTGATTGCTTCAGCACTGGTGTGCGAGTACGGGGTCTGCTTTGTCCGCGGATTAGCCCTTGAAACGATGAATCATGTATGCGTCTGAACTTAATGAGCTCGCTTATTGTCTCATTAGGTTGCCACCATTCTGGGGCAGTCTCTGGGTAGAGATAAAAGCATGTTCTGATGCTATGATGTTGTCCACATGCTTGGCATTGTACTCCAGCAGTGGTGAAAGAGTCTTGTTCTGAAGATCTCTTAAGCGTGGACTTTGTGCTTCCAGCTTGTACGTTGGTATTGGGGTCTGCCCCAGTTCGGCGTTGTTTACGAGGACGTCCCCGGTACGTTGTTAGCGGGGTCTGCCCCGGTTTCATTTTTGTCGATGGCGCGGATTTCGAACTATGAGGCGTCCCTGATAGCTCCTGGTCGTATTCACCGCCAGCAAGAGTTGATCCATATGGTCCATCGTAAGCTGCCATAGCTGCTTTGTGCTTCCCTGATCTAAGGGGATGGTTTATCATCATATGCTCTCGGAACCGTTTCATCATCTCCTTCCGGCTCATGCCTACTGCCCCACGACCATTATCCTGAAAATTGGTGGCCCATATGGGTGCAGTTTTATTGACGGCTGCCAGGAAGTCTTTTGTTGTTGTGCTAAGCTGGGATAGCTCGGGGACATTGTACGTCTCCGCGTGGGTTGCGGCTTGGTCATACTCAGCCAGCCACGTGTCCCATTGCGCCGCGCTTCTCATGGGCCGTAGGGCCGCAAGATAGCGCTCGCGTGCTCGGTCTTTCTCAGTCTCGTCATCAACCCCAACGGTCAGTTGTAGGTTGGCAATCCACTCGCGTAATGTCTTGTCTGGGAGACAGCATGTGCGTAGTAGGTGTGGTGACACGCTTGATTGAATCAAGGTCATGATATGTTGGAAGCTCGATTGCTCCTTTTCGTACCGGTGTCGGTCGCTCTTGTACTGCTCCATCGACATACGATAGTACTCAAGATCTTCTTTGAATGCCTTTTGCCCGCTGCTAGACAGCTCGCTTAGGCGCTCTGGTTCTCCAATGCCAGCAGCTGCTTGGTAGTTAGCGAATACTGGGATTCTAATGTCTTTTGGCTCCCGTAGGGGCTGAGTGGTAGATTTTGGGTTAATCTTATCCCAAATATTGTGCGCTACGCAACGCGCTTGTAGTTGCAGCATCCATCCGGTGTAGTCTGACTGGTCGCGTAAAGTCACGGTCGCGTCGCGGGTGGTAAATGTGGTCATTTTGGTAAGTAGGTAAAGGTAGTGAGACTCTTAATTGTCAGATATTCACTCTTATCTGGAATACTGATGAAATGGGTAATGATCGTGATGATATTGATTATTGATTGTGTTTTTGGTTCTGTCTACGGTTGTGGGCACACCTGGGGGGTGCCAAGCCTTCCTGTGATCCGATTGGCTCTCTCAGATGCCGGGTCGCGCTAGTCTAACCCAGCGTCTGTACGCTCTCATCTTCAACAGTGCTATTATCTGACACAGCATGACCTAACAGCCTCGTAGGGAACAAATCCCCCGGGAACAAACCCCCTGGGAGCGATGTCATCAGACGTCATCTCCAACCTTGTGCCTTTGGACCTCTCATCGATCTCGTATAGTGACATTCCGAGCCTGAGGTTGATGGTTCGTATTAACACGTGACACCAACGTCGCACATAAAGCGGAGACATTACTATTTTTTGCACACAGCTACGTATCACAATTACCGGACCAATGTACTGGAAAAAGATCAATGCAGGGGAAAACAGCCCTACATACTACATTCGTCATGGTGCGACAGCGTTGAACCACAGACCTCGTAATCGGGAGTCTTATCGGTAGGATTCGCGATGACACGACGTCTTACTCATCGCTTGGAAGAGAGCATATACGTATACGTACGCGCTGTTCCTATAAAGGTAGAAAGCTCTGGCCATGATATACAGCATTCGAAAGGCTTCGCTGACCAAATTATTTGGAGAAACGAGGCGCACTTTGATCTTATGTGGGCCTCTGATATACCATCTTACCGCCCACCCATGTCTCTCTCACAGTGACCTTGCGCAAAGCCTCTACATCCAACAACTCCAGTTCTTCGTCGACAACGACCCAATCTGCGTATGTACCCACTTCTATGACACCGGCCTGGTCTTCCAGAAAAGCCCCGTATGCAGGGTTTACCGTGAAACCTTCCAGAGCTTGTGAGAAAGTAAGTGTCTCTTCTGGGTACCAGCCAGTTTTTCCACCATTGGGATCTAAGCCGGTGTGTGGACTTCGTCGCGTGATGGCTGCGTACATGCCTTCGAAGATGCTGGCTGGCTCGACTGGGAAGTCGCTGCCGAGCACTGGATGGAGTGGGAGCAAGGACCGCATTCGGTACGCTTCGTGCTTTGTTCGTTCTGGGCCGAGTCTGCTCTCTGCATATCCCATGTCGGAGGTCGCGTGCGTAGGCTGTATTGATGGTATAATGCCAAGCTCGAACATTCTAACCTGGTCGTCGGGATGAATTATCTGTGAATGTTCAATACGGAAGCGGTATTTGGCCTGACACTCGCGTGGTGTGATATCAGGGCATAAACTCTTCAATGCATTCTCGAATGCATCAATGGCCAGTCTGTTCGCAAGATCGCCGATGGCGTGAATGTTTACTTGGTAGCCCAGTTGCGCCCAATCGTGAGTCACCTGCGACAGCATAGTTGCGTTAACAAGTAGGGAGCCAGAGGATAAGGGTTTGTCGCTATATGGTTCGATCATCGCACTACCCCAACTGCCAAGGGCTCCATCTGCGACATGTAAGTATAAAGTCTCCTTGCTGACCGGTTAACGTACCTCCGAAGAGCTTCACGCTTTTGACCTGAAACTTCCCGTTGGCAGTGGAAATCTTCTCAACTGCCTCTGGGCAGAAGGTGTTTCTGACGTCACACTCAATCATAGCATTAACTCTGACAGTCCAGTCGTCGTCGCTGGCGAGCTCCTTGTATAGTTTCAAATCTCCTGGAGTGACTCCGGCGTCGTGCATGCCTACAATACCATATTTGTTGAGCTCGGTCATGCCAGCTTTGATGAATGCTGTCTTGCGGGCACTGTTCGGCTTGGGATAGAGCTCCATGACGATATCCATGGCATTGTCGCAGAAGATACCTTTTGCAGGTATCTCGCCTCCAGGAACATCGGGCAGCAATGAAGGAAGAAGACTGAGGACCTTTTCGGAGACCCAGATGCAATGTACGTCGACGCGGTCGAGCATTACATACAGATCCTTGAAGTCTTTAGAAATTTCCAAGTCTGACTGACTCAGTGTCAGTAAAGATTGGAAAATGGAAGCGAGAAGCCTGATGATTGGTATGATTCATGAAGCTTGATGGGCATGCATACCGAGGTAGGCCATTTCCCGTTAAAGTGCGCTTGGTCCCAGCCTACACCCCTCAGCCACTGATCGCTCGTTCCCCTCTCAGGCCGTTTCTTTTTATACTCAACCAATCTTCTCTTTACCTCGTCCATTGAGTTTGCCCCAAAGATATCAACAGAGTCCAAAGATTCTCCAAACTGTATCAAGTGTCCATGGCCGTCCCAAAAGCCGGGATATACATAACCGGTACGGGCTTCCCTGACTTCATCGTCTGACGTCTCATCCACGAAGACACTTGAAAATATTCCGTCATTGGCAGTGAAGCAATGGGCGGTGGGAAGCCTCTCTGATAACGTCTTCACTGACTTGTAGCAGTGTGTAGTCAGGAACAAGTTCGGAAACAGCTTCCAAGGTACATTATCAGTAAGGACAGCCGGTATCCCCACTTGATAGATCAGGGCAGCCAGGAGTACCGGAAGCGATGCCCATACAAACGCAGATATAGAAGGCATGATCCCTTCTCAATTCTAGCCGACAATTTTGAAGATTTGGAGCCACAGACGTTGGTAGAGTGTTCGGAGTAAGGCGGGAGCGATAAGCGACTGCGGAAGGACCAATGACGCACGAACAACTCAGAACCATGTCCAACCCGTTTCCCCGCCATATCGGAAGTGATTGACAGCCATCTTTTTCGTCGGATGCGCAAGTTTTCACAAGACTCGACCATGTCCTTGCCAAGTAGAGTACGTCGGTTGTTCTGGCTTGCTTGGCATATCTAGGTCCCACAGGTGGTGAAGACCCACTAGTTTTAGTGCACTACTCTGGGGTATTCACCGGATTTTTACTGTGACGACATTGGCTTCACTCCGCCTCTGTAGGCGACGCACAGGAGACGATTATGGGCATATTGCAAAAGCTAATACGTGCAACATGGCGATGTGAGTTGGCATGCGCCATGAAGCGGGAAGATGGCGAATCGGAAAGGGCGGTGAACGGGGGTCGCGACCAAAAAACATTCAGGCGTCGACGAACTAGGGTAATGGCCCCTCTTCTGGTCGCGGCTCTCGCTCAAGTTCCACCTTGGCCCAGATGAGCATTGGACGAAGGGACGTATTAGGATCAGTGGGTGGCTGGGCCGCCTGCATGGTTGAGTGTGGGGGCCGGAAGTTATCTACCTACACATCAACATAAGCTGTGAGCTGTCCAACTGTCCAACTGTCACTTTCCCTGGGCCAAGGGGAACTGCTGTAGGCATACCAGATGACAGCTGAACTTGATGAACTCCGGAAGAAGTTAGAGTCGCTTCAGCACTCTCACGATGCGCTGCTAAAGAGTTTGTCAGCAACAAACGACACGTTCAAGCCGTCAGAAACTTCACAAATCCGCCGCGGATCAACACGGCACAGCCGTGATGCCATCTTTGCAGATACTTCGACTCTATCGGATGATAGCAGCGACGATGAAGATGACTACTTTGTTCAGGGCGAACTACCGTCACATTCATTTGACCATGAACACCTACGCGACCACCTAAGGACGCACAACTGGACCGATCATGGCCGACAGGTTCTTGCATCTATAATCTCGGATCCCGCGAAACTTTCCAAGGAGCCTCATCTATTTCATATGGGGCCAGGACCAGCAGAAGACCGATCACATTACTCGCATTTCCAGGTCTACAATGTCGGCCCGAACGGGTTACCAGAGCCAGTCGAGGTTACTGCCCCCGAGAACAACATGTCAAAAGCTACGGAGATATGGCACAGTCTAAGGGATATTGGCAAGCGGCAGGACGAGGCGGTTGTCGGACGTATCACAATTGCGCGAGAGCCATCTCCTATCTTATTCGGTGCGCTCCATTTGACCCTTCACGACGCTTTCGACATGGATGAGTTGTTTCAGCATCTTGTCGAGACCGAGGCATCATCTGCACACATGTTCCGAGCCTTCAATTCAAACCCCAAGCATCAGCGAACTTTCTTCTTCAACTTCGAGTACTATACGATCGTTGGAGATGAATGCAGACCAATGGAATGGCAGCGGGCCGATAAGGTGACAAGCGAAAAGGATCACCACATTCCGCTGAGTCGATGTAGTGCTGTCATTGCACTCGTCTTGTATGACGATCAACCTCGCCGCATTCGTAACAAGGGAAGAAGGGCAAAAACACAGTTTGGATGGGTGCACGATGTATGGAGTCCTTGGCAGGTACTTCAACTCGAGTGCTTTCCCGATTGGAAATCTACGCCAGCAGATGGACGACCCTACACCTTTGAAGCTGGCCACAAGTATCTCAATGGAGCGGAAGCATTCTTACATGCCCTTTTGACCGAATACCGAGATGCCAGGAAACGGTTCGACGAAATATACAAGCGTATCACCGACCTGGTCACTCCCCCTTTGGGCTTCTTGTTCAGCGAGGAACTACGAGAGAACCGTCTTTTCGAGGACAAAGATTTCACCTGGACGCGTCGCTACTTCTACGCCCACCAAACTCTCGGCAATGTCAACAACAGTATTAAATCGATGATCGACTCATTCGAAGACACATTCACCGATGACATCTGGGAAGGCGAGAGCAAAACCCTCTGGCCGCTATTCGACGAGTCGCCACGTAACGAGCACTGGAAACGGCGGTTGCGGTTACTCAGACTACAATTCGAGCGACAAATGAAGGAACTTCGCATCATCATCGCCGAGAACAACGAAAGGCGACACGAAATCGAGACGTTACAGGAGCAGTTGTTCTCTGGAACCAGCATCCAAGAGTCGCGGAAGTCTGTTGAGTTGGCCGATGTCACAGTGCACCAAGGCTACAACATCAAAGTCTTGACTATTGTCAACCTCTTCTTTATGGTACGTCAAAACCATTCTAAACTCTCTCATATACGCACTAAACAAACTCATAGCCCCTAACTTTCGTAACCTCCGTCTTCGGCATGACAAACATGCCCGGCGACGGCTCCCCCTTCTGGCCCTTCGGCATCGTCCTGGCCGCAATCTGTATCCCCTTCTTCAGCATCATCGGCTTCCTCTCGACAAAATACGGCTACTCGATGATGGCGCAAAAGTCAAAGCAGCTGTGGCGTTGGATGCGGCCGAAGCGCGAACCTAGTGTGCCTGATGATACAGCCCCGAATCCGCTGGTTCGGCCGCATAGGAGCTTGTCAACGGAGGAGGGGATGCGGTTGAGGTTAAAGGATAGAGATACACCTATGAATGATGCAACTGGTACGGGAAGACGGAGATCGAGTCAGCGACCTGCGCCTAGTCATCCACATATTCAACGTATGGTGGAGCGCATGGGCGAGGGGAGAGAGAGCGGACTGGCGAGGATGGGCACAGTTGCGGACGATGATGAGAAGAAATCTATGAGTTTAGGTAGAGACGCCGTTATTGATATCCATGAGTCATGATAAAGGAGAATCCAAGAATATATAACTATATAGATATATGCATCATCACAACACGCCCCAGAATACCTCTGGCTCCAACCCCCACTTCTCACACAACTCCCTATACCTCTCCGTATACCCCTTCGCCCTCTCCCTAAACGCCCCCGCAGTCTTCATCTGCTCCCTTCCCACTTGATGTCTATGCGCCGAATCCGGTCCGTCCGCCACCCTCACAAACCGCGCGTACGTCCATAGCTCCGGCAACGGCGTATGCTGCGTAAGCCCTTGTCCGCCATAAATCTGCATGGCCTCATCAATCACCTTGAGCAGCGCATTCGGCACCATAATCTTGCTTTGAGCAATAGCATATTTCCCCGCCTTATTCCCCTGCAAATCCATGGTATCAGCCGCGTTCAGCACAACCAACCTCATGGCGTCAATGGTCATGCGCATATCCGCTATCCGCTCTATATTGCTGTCGAACTCGCCGATGAACTTGCCCCGCGGTTTCTTCCGCGGCTCCATGCAGCGCACGAGGGCGAGTTCGAAGGCGCGTTCCGCCTGGCCGATCAGCCGCATGCAGTGGTGTATGCGACCGGGGCCGAGACGTCCCTGAGCGATTTCAAAAGCGCGGCCGGGGCCTAGTATGATGTTTTCGCGAGGCACGCGTACGTTTTCGTAGACGTATTCGCCGTGGCCTTCGGGCGCCCAGTCGTAGCCCATGATCGTCAAGTTGCGGATTTGCGTTAGACCAGGCGTGTTTGCGGGGACGACGAGCGTGGTGTGTCTGTTCCAGGCGTTGGGGTTGTGGGGGTCGGAACAGCCCATTAGGATGAAGAGTTGCATTTCGGGGTTGTATTGGCAGTTGCCGTAGAGCTTGCGGCCGTTGATTATAACTTCGGTGTCGGTGATTTCCATCTTTATGCCTACTTGGGTTGCGTCCGAGGAGGCGACGTCGGGCTCGGTCATGCTGTATGCGGAGGACATGTCGCCGTTCATGAGGGGGTGTAGCCATTTTTGCTTTTGCTCTGGGGTGCAGTATTTTGCGAGGAGTTCGATGTTGCCAGTTTCGGGGGCGTGGCAGTTCATCGTCTGGGGATATGTCAGGAGCTGTCCATGGTTGTGGTGTAATGGAAGCTCACCTGTGCCGCCCAGTACACTCTCCCCATGATTTCAGCACAGCATGAGTACTCCAGGTTTGTCAGACCTGGACTCTCGACAAAATGCTTGGGCAGAAACAAGTTCCATAGTCCCTGTGCCTTCGCCTTCTTCCGCAGGTCGTGGATAATGGCGGGCGTATTCCATCGCGTCTTGCCATCTTTCAATTGGGCCTTGTAGATGCGCTCAGCAGGTATACATTCCGTCTCTACCCAGTCGTAAACCTGTTGGATCTTCTCAATTGCGATTGGGCGAAGCTTGGCCTTTACCCATGGTGGTATGCGCGCGAAAGCTGGACTACTGTCGATATCGATGTTTGCAGCCATGTCGAGATCGTACCTGCTTACCTACGTAAGTCCTATTCCGCTGCTAAGTCTAAAAATGAAGATATGAAGATCGAAATTGTGTGCATGATTACAGCAGACATGACTCGTCGCGCCAGTCGATGCCGACGCGTGGTGTCGAGCGTGTAAGCCGAGGCGCGGTTGGAGTTGGCGGGGACGTCGGAGTTCTTTAAGCGTGGACGACAGTTGCGAGTCGAGCCCTTTACCACATCGTTCCGACCGGCCAGTCGCGATGCGTATTACGCCATACAAGCTGATGCGGGCGCCCTAGAGGGGCAAAGTACCTCACCTTTGATCGCTTCCAAGGTGGAAGAATTGACTTACTGCTTACACGATTTGAATTCTATAGTCGAAGATGATAGGCATAGAAGGATTCGCGAAACCATGGCTGGAGGTTTGCACGTGTCCAATCTCATCCGTCATAGCTGTACTGACAGATCGGCTGTATAGTTTGAAGAGGAGTTTGGCGAGCGCCTGAACTTACAGCCACCATTCAGCCAGATGATAGAGCAATTCACTAAATGGGGCGGCATTGCTGCATCCAGATACACATTCCCAGCGCCTGACCCGTCCATCAAGACCGAAGACACTACGACTGCCAGCGGTATGAAGATACGCATATACACCCCTGATGGTTACACAGGGAATAAGCCGGTGTGCATGTACTATCATGGTGGCGGCTGGGCCATGGGTGATATCAACGCCGAGGATGCAATTAGCAGGACAATCTCAAAGTTGGGCAATATTGTAGTGGTTTCTGTCGAGTATGGACTTGCTCCGGAAAACAAACACGCGGATCTGATGAACGAGTGTTACGAAGCTCTGTGCTGGGCATTGGAGAATCCGATCAAGTTAAATGCTGTAGCAGGAAAGTTCGTCGTATCGGGGAATTCGGCGGGTGGCCAGCTTGCCTTTGCGACGGCGTTGAGGGCTATTGATGAGGGTTTGGGAGACCAGCTTGTTGGTGTAGTCACGCTTATACCTGCGACTGTTCATCCAGATGGAGTTCCTGATGAGCTTCGGTCCAAGTACACGTCTATGGTTGAGCATGACCAGCACACCGTCAACTCTGCGAATGCGATGAGAGGCTTCTGGCGTAAGTATAGTGATGGTGTATGGAGCTTGACCATACTGATGATTGTACAGAGGCTTTTGGGGTGCCACCCACTGATCAATATGGGTCACCCCTTTTGCATCCTAGACTAAAGGAGTTGAAAAAGGTTTACATGGCCGTTTGCAGCCATGATACACTCAGAGACGATGGCTTGCTCATGAAAATGAAGCTCGATGAAGCTGGGTAAGGATCATAGTTCTCTCAGAAGTTCTGATACTGACTCCTTTAGTTGTGACAACAGAATTGACTTTTACGAGGGTTATCCGCACTTCTTCTTTGGCTGGCCATCGCCGAAACTTGAACAGCCAACGAAGCAGTTATTTGCAAATATGGGCCAAGGTCTAAAGTTTGTGCTGTCATAGGGCTTTGGGCTTTTTGTTTCTTGGATATGGCTCGGCAGGACTGTGTGGCTTTGGAGTACTGGTATCGAGAAGTCTCTCACCTGAGTTTCAGGGCCAGAAGAAAGCAACATAGCATAGTCACATAATGGATCCACCAAACAAGCTTGGAGCAGTGTGATATCCGCCAAGCCAGCGTATCTAGAAGGATTCAACCCCGCTTTATCCTCCGCACACTACGCCATTTCATGATGCCAGCCGCTCTTAGCTGCCTTCGCATTCTGCCGGCTTTAATTTTCCGTCTGAGTGGCAAGCAGAGCCGTCACACAAAACATATCCAGGTATCGCCGTATTTCGTGCGGTATCAGATAGAGATCAGCTTACTATAGCGGGGCCGGCAGGGGGTACCGCTCAAGCACGTGACTCCGGATGAACGATGAATCGTAGCAATTGTTAATACTTGGCTATTCATATGCCGACGAGTCATGTCCGGTGTAGAACAACCGACATGTGTAGCCTGAGACTACGGAGTGACGCGCGACACTACACTAGCGTCATTCCCATTCTGTCATCCAACTCATCTTCGCATAAAGTGATTGATTGGTATATTGTGATCTATATATTCCTATCCAACCAAGCCTACATAGTACCTAAACCTTACAACATCAACAAGTGAATTACCAGCAACTATCGCAACAATGAAGGCAGGCCAGTGGGACCCGTAAGCACGCCCATCCTCCATACACCAAATACTTACTCATCAAAACACTAGCAAACAACAAAAAGTCGTCATAAACGATATCCCTAAGCCCTGCGAAAACCCAAATCAATTCCTCGTTAAAATCAAATCTGCCTCACTATGCCACTCAGACTTGATGATGCACATGCGGCCCCCAGACTACGCTGTGACCATGGGTCACGAAGGCGTCGGCCACATTGTCTCTATGGGCACCTCCGCCGCCACCCACGGCTTCCGTGTCGGAGACGCCATCGGCTTCGGCTACTTCATCGACTGCTGTTTCGAATGCGAAGGTTGCATGGTGCACAACATGCACTGCGAGACCGGGAACCAGAAACTGCAAGGTGTGGTTGTCGATGGCTATTTTGCAGAATATGCGGTTGTAGATTGGCAGAATGCTATCAAGTTGCCTGAGACGCTGGATATGAGTTGTACTGCGCCGCTGTTTTGTGCGGGGATTACGGCGTTTCATTCGGTGGATGGGTGTGAGTTGGAAGAGGGAGAGTGGTTGGCTGTCGTTGGCTGTGGGGGTTTGGGACAGTATGCTATTCAGTATGCTAAAGCGGTAAGTTGCTGTAATGAAGTTATATTGAGATTGGGGTGCTTGGTAGCTAATGTGAACGTAGATGGGGTATAAGACCATTGGTCTAGACATCAGCGACGCTCAACTCGATATGGCGAAAAAAGTCGGCGCAGACGCTGTCTTCAACTCTATGACGAACAAGAACTATGTGGAAGAGGTCAAGAAGCTCACGGGTGGAAAGGGATGTCATGCCGCTGCTGTTTACAGCGCTTCATACGCTGCATATGCTGGTGCGCCAGATGTCCTGCGTATAGGTGGCTTACTTATGGTTATTGGTATCACACCCAAGGGACTCGATTTTGTGTCGACTCTCGATCTGGTGCTAGGTAAGTATCGCATCAAAGCTGATAGTACGGGGATCCCGCAGCGGATGAGGAAGGCGGTTGAGTTTACTGGAAAGCATCGGTAGGTTTTTTGCCACAACTGATTTTCAGAAGAGAGATTGAAACTGATTATACGCAATAGGATCCAGCCGGAAGTTGAGCTTCGCAAGATTGAGGACTTGCCGCAAATGGTCGAGGATATGGAGAATGGGAAGGCGGATAAGAGGCAGGTGGTTGTATTTTGAGAGATTCATAACTCAAGAAATTGGTGCAACTATCACTGCACCATGATTTTCTTAAGACATTACTTAGAGACTTGCGATGTGTGATGTTTCAGTGACAAGTGGGAGCACAGTTTTGCCGATGAATAGCCGACGTCATGGCGCGAGTGACCCCTGCTTCAACATCCAACTCAATCTCATGCGAGCTCCTTCCAACATCCTCCATCACAGCCATACATCCAGATACACGCAGACGAGCCCACCAAATATCTGGCCAAAAGTACAGCATACGCTGAGCCTGGCGGGAAAACGCCAGAATTGCTTCCGGTCTACCACGAATCAACCATACGTAAACGAGGAGCTAGAATGAATCGAGCTTTGCGGACACACCTCGGCCGCTTTTTGGGCAGTTCGGCTCACATTCCGACCTGGTGGCTAGGCCTTCGAACTGGCGCCCTGAAAAGGTCATCTATGCGAAGCCCTGCATATGCCTACGGTGAATTTCCTGGTCTAGTAGCCCGAGCAAAGACAGCGGCTTCTCGACTAGCGTAACACCATGTGCCATCCCGCAAAGATACCCCTCCATGAGTTGAGGTCCATGGGGCTTGAGTAGCGTAGCAGAAAGTCGAGACGCGGTCTTTTCACAGTAGTCTAGCCAGACCTAAGGTTCTCAAAGCAAATGTGCTGAGGGATAGGTACCTGAGCACGCAGTAGGTAAAACGAGCGATCGTCCTCTAATACCGTAAACAGCAGCGAGCAGATTCGAAGCATCCCGTGTCTCTACATCTAGAGCTCAGTCTCCACCGACTACGCTGGCCGGTGGACCCCACCTTCCTTGTCAGTATGTATTCTGACCAACGAAGCGATAACGGTTTGTCTGTCGTCTGCGCGCGTAGGCCGTAAAAAAGAGTGGTCTAAAACCCCACCCGTTCCCATTCCTTTTGATCTCGAACAGTCCCATCTAGTGTAGCGATGTCGAAATCCGCTCTCGTGTTTGGCGCCTCAGGCGTTACTGGATGGTCATTCATCAATGAGATCCTATCCGACTACCCTGCGAAGAATATATGGAAGCGCGCCCATGCCCTTAGCAACCGTCCCCTCTCGTTGTCTCAGTCGCAATGGCCCGAAGACCCTCGCCTGCACATGGTGTCTGGTATCGATCTACTCGCCCACGATCAAAAAACCGTGGAGAAGGAGATGCAGCAGAAGATCCCTGATATCAGCGAGGTGACGCATGTATACTACTTTGCGTACAAGGCAGGCATGGATGTGGTGAAGGAACAAGAAGAGGCATTGGTAATGTTCTCGAAGGCTGTAAAAGCTGTGGACAAGTTGTGTCCCAACTTGGAGTTCGTGGTGTTGCAGATTGGCACAAAATACTGTATGTTGCGGCTCTCAGTCTATATGCGCTCTACTAACTTCTTATAGATGGTTGCCACCTCAAAGCCTTGCTCCCATGGTACGACGAAGCCGCTCCCATAGGCACCACCGCACCGCCGCTACCCGAACCGCCTCATAAAGAGTCCAGTCCGCGCATACCAAGCCCATTTGCCGAGGTGTTGTTCTACCATGTGCAAATGGACTTCATCGCCGACTACTCGAAAGACAAGAAGTGGAAGTACGTTGTCACTCTACCAGACCTGATTATAGGTCTGGTACCGAATCAGAACTTTTATTCCTTGGCTACAACAGTGGGAATATACCTGAGTTTGTGGAAGGAAGTCCATGGAGAAGGCGCGGATTGTCCATTCCCCGGAACAGAGAAAGTTTGGAAAGCGCTCAGCAATGACAGCAGCAGCGATATGATAGCCCGCCAGACAATCCATCTGACACTCTCACCCGATACACCAAAGGGCGCTTTGTACAACGTGGCCGACAGCAAGACACCGAGTTCATATGTTGAGAAATGGCCCATTCTGTGTTCCTACTTTGGACTCAAGGCCACCGCTCCTCGGCCTGAGCCCATCGATATTCGGGGATTCATTGCCGATAACTTTGAGACTTGGACAAAGACCGAGGAGAAGTATGGACTGCAGAAAGGTCATGCGCAAAACGATAAGGCTTTGTTCTTGTCTGAGAAGCTACTTATGACCAAGTTCGATTTCGATCGGCACTTTGACATGAGTAAGATATACAGCACAGGCTTTACAGAGGAGAGGGATACAGCGACCGCATGGTACAGCGTGTTTGATCGCATGAGGAAGGCCAAGATCATTCCGTAGATTTTTGCGACGGAGGTAGTCTCTTTGAGACTTTGCTTATTGGAGTAAATCGTTGAATTATTCAAACTATACACATCTGTGGTGATACGCTAATCCTCTAACTCTAGTAGGTCATATTGATCATAATCGTCTTCGTTTCCGTAAACGCCCTAAGCGCATGAACACCACATTCCCTGCCCAAACCCGACTCCTTTGACCCACCAAACGGCGTCGTGGTAAACATCATACTCACACAGTTGATGCCCACCATACCCGAGTCAAAGTCCGATGCCACCCGTAGCGCCTTGTTGATATCCTGTGTGAAGACACCGGCCATGAGCCCAAAGTTTGTATTGTTAGCCACCTTGACAATTTCCTCTTCCGTCTTGAAAGACTTGACAACCGAGACCGGACCAAAGATTTCTTCGCAATGGATTTCAGACGCGGGGTCTACATCTGTGAAGACGGTCGGCTCGATGTAGTACCCACTGGTGCCGATGCGTTTGCCTCCTATGGCGAGGGTACCTTGGCCTTGCTGGCCGCGCTCAATGAAGCCCTGGACGCGCTTGAATTGTGCTTCGTCGACGAGCGGACCAATGGTAGTAGTCTGTTCGTCTGGGTCACCAATTTCCTTTGCCTTTTCCTTCATGGCAGTCTTGTACTTTTCGATGAACTGGTCGTAGATACCTTCCTGGACGTAGACACGGCTAGCAGCGAAGCACACCTGGCCTGTGTTTGCAGTGATGGCGTTGGCCGTCCAGGTAACGGCGTTGTCGAGGTTAGCATCGTCGAAGACGACGGCGGGTGACTTGCCACCTAGCTCCAGGGTGACGCGCTTGAGGTTTGATTTTGCGGCCATTTCTTGGATCTTCTTTCCTGTGGTGATACTCCCTGTAAAGCTCACTTTGCGGATTCGCATGTGGCTTGCGAGTAGGGCGCCGGTGCTGCCGTCGCCACTGAGGATCTGGAAGACTCCGGGTGGGAAGCCGGCTTCTTTGATGAGGGTACCGAGGGCTAGTGATGAGAAGGGTGTCTTTTCTGAGGGTTTGAGAATGAAGCAGTTGCCGGTTGCTAGAGCAGGTGCAGCTTTGAGACCAATGGTGCCGATAGGTCCGTTCCAAGGGACGATACCTGCTGTTACACCCAGAGGCTCGTTGCGCACGATCTTGAGGAAGCCGTCTTCTTGGGGCCATGACTCCCCGCCAAACTTGTCGATGAACCCGGCATTATATCTGAAAGTCTTTTTGCACTTTTAGTAACCACACCTCAGATAACCTAATACGTGGGTACATACCTCAGCACACAACCCAATCTCGAATGCCCCAAAAGCCGATGGTTGGCCCAGAGAGATTCTTGTCAGCTGTGCAATATCGTTTGCATGCTTCTCAATGAGATCCGCAAACTTGTTCATGATGCCTCTTCGTTGGTTGGCGCTCATCTTCTTCCAAGCTGGAAACGCCTTCTCTGCTGCGTCAACTGCAATGTCTACATCCTGCTCCCCTGCTGATGGTACATCGTCGGCCAATAGCTCTCCGTTCTTTGGGTTGTGAAGAGTGAGTTTCTTGGATGACTTAGCATCAACATATTCATTGTTGATGAAGAGCTGCTTGGGTAGGTTCTTTGCCGAGTATTCGAAACCCATGATGAATGAAAAATGAGAAGTATAGGATCAAGTAGAGAAAGAATAGTTACGGGATGAGTATGATATATATGTAAGTTTGTTTCATTTCAAGATGGTCTCTTCTGCTGTCTAAGCAGTCGCACCTCTTTACCAAGTCTCTCAACTGACTAGTCGGACGGTCGCTATAAGCCGGTAGCGGCCCCGTCCGGATGTGCAACTGCGACGCAAGCCACACGTAGCACTGCATGAACAAATATTGGCCTGTCCGCGTCATGATCCGTGAGTGTTTATGACTTGTGCTCTCGCGGTTTGTTTTCCGCCGTCTTCATTCTCTTTTGGTGGCGAGTCAGGTTATCCACTTTCCCCGCACCACACCGCGTCATGCGAAGATATGGCAACTCGCGGCTACTTTTCCTTGTAATTCGTATACTTTGTTAGAACTAATCGGTGGTCATCACCTAGTGCTCTATCCGGTATATTGTTCTCATTAGACCGGCAGCGGGTTCTTGTGGTGCCTGCTATCGTGAATAAAGAGATGTGATACTGCTAAGTATTAATGCACCTACGTACCTCCACATCTTTAAGCGGGGTTGTTTCAACCAGATAAGCTGAGCACATGATAAAGCATAACAACATAGACGTGAGAACCCCTTGAACAATGACATGTTAAGGCCTTCAAGCCACGATAACGGCCCGAGAAACATCATCCCCGGCCCCTCCATTAATGACAATCGGTGCGGGGAAGTATTCCGAAAAATCAATCGCTCAGTCCTGGAGTCAATATCCTCGTTAAGTCTATCGGTGTATTCCGCCAGGTTAGCGACTTCGACAGCGTCTCTTGGTTGTGCGGAATATATTGAAGTTATTGTTCTGCTCTGAAACATCGTCACCGCCAAACGGAACGCTTCAACGAAGAGTTTATCACCTCGAATATGCAAAAGAAGGTCGCCCTCATCACCGGCGGAGCATCTGGCATGGGCCTGGGAGTGGCAGAGGCTCTCTCATCCCACCCTACTGTCGATTGGGACGTTCACCTCTTCGATTTGAATAAAGAAGCTGGCCAAAAAGCATCGTCCGAGTTGAAGAACGCACATTTCCACGAGACCAGCGTCACAGACTATGACTCCCTGGTATCGGCCTTTGGGGCAATATGGAATACTCATCAGCGCATCGACTTCGTCTTTGCGAATGCCGGTATCGTGGAACGCGACAACTTTTACAAAAAGCATGACCTAGATGGTCCTCCACCCCCTCCGCCAAACCAACTGAGCGTGGACATCAACTTGAAAGGCGTGATCAACACCGCACACCTTGCTCTACACTACTTCCGAAAATCTCTGGCTAAGAATGGGAGAGAAGGGTTAGACCCTGTACTTATCATGACGGCATCCTGCGGCGGCCTCTATCCTTCTGAGTTCTGCCCCATGTATAGTGCCAGTAAAGCCGGCATCGTGAACTTCAACCGCGCCATCACGATGGCCTACCACCACGAAGGAATTCGTACCTTTGCAACCTGTCCTGGGACTATCAAGACTCCCCTGTTGACGAACGAGGAATGGAAATCGTTTCCCGAAAGGTTCTTCACGCCACTAGAGTCACTGGTAGAAACTGTGGTAAAGCTTGTCGATGGGGGCGACATCAAAGACGCAAAAGGGGTAACGAAGATAAGGGATCAAAACTGGGGGTTGACAGTTGAGGTGAATGGGAGAAACTTCTATTTCAGAGATGCTCCTGAGTTTTGCGATGAGAACATGAAGTCGATGATGGTGTCGACAGGTATGGCGTCGCAGTTGGCTAGGATTGAGGGGACTACGAGTGACTTGAATATGTAGAACCTAGAGACCAGTAGAGTCTATGGAAATTTTTATATTTTCGAATGCCGCCCAGAAGCGAATCTCATCCCACCATCTACAGCAATGTCTTCGCCGTTGATGTATGCGCCCGCAGGACTGCACAAAAACACCATGACGCCCGCAATGTCTTCTGGCTCCCCTAACCGTTTTCTGGGATTACTATCCTCTAGTGTCTGTTGGCCACCCAGTATCTCAATCAGCCCATTTGCAAGCTTGGAAGGGAAGAAGCCGGGTGCAACGGTGTTCGTGGTGATGTTTCGAGGCCCAAGCTCGACGGCGAGCTGTCGGGACAGGTGATGTGCGGCAGCTTTTGAGATGCTATACATTATTGTACCATGTTCGCCGGCATGCGGAACTGTAGTGCCAGCAGTGGAGGAGACGACGATGATGCGGGACGGATCTTGACGCGTGCCGGCGCGTTCGAGGAGAGGCGCGAACCTATTTGAGTCAAGGAGTACCCGGTGAGACTCGGCATACCTCATACTTACAGCCTTGCCAGATTGAAAACACCGCGAACATTCAGGTCCAATACCTTCTTGCTCGACCAATCTGGTGTTGAATCAAATGGTCCTCCCCACGTCGCCCCGGCATTGCAAACCAAGATATCTAATGAATCCTCAGTCTCCTGTACTTTCTTCACTAATCTCTCTATATCTTCTGTATCTGCGACATTTGCTGCGATGCCGACTGCGATGCCGGAAACGGGTAGTCTGTTGAGTTTCTCGATGGCCTGATCGATGCCCTGCTCTCCTTCAGCCTTGCGTGCAGATATGAAGACCTTCTTCGCGCCAGCAAGAAGAAAGCCCGTAGCTGTATGAAGGCCGAGACCTCTGGAGCCTGCACGTAACAAGTAAGACTAGGGTTGATAGAGCTGTCGCTGCGCAAACCTACCACCAGTTACCAGCGCGACTTTGCCATCGAGACGAAACATGCGGTTAAAATCCTTGAGTTCGGACATGATGGCCAATCTCCTTTGAGAATGAGTAGGCTATCAGACAATCGGTGAGGACAGTTATGGCAATGCGGCATCTTGACTACTACATAAGCGCGTCGCGTACTTGGATGGTAACATAAGTCTGTGTTGCCAGTAGCTACAGTTAACCTCGGCAACCAATCTTAGATTTACCGGTATGTCGAGTAAGTTGCGCCTAGATTTAGTCCCACATAGCTCAGGCAGGACACTCCCGCACTCTCCGACTCGTCCGAGGTCGACAAATCGCGTCTGAGCGACCCCGCGAAACGGTCCTTGTCTACCAGACTATACCGTAATAGGATAGCCACGGCATTACCACCTCTTGAACCGGCTGATGGATGACTGCAGACGTCTTGCAATAAACGAAAATTCGCTCTGCTCTCGTGTTTTTCTCGTCAACATCTTCGGTTTTGCGTGATTTACCACTCAATTTCTGGATATCGATTTGAAATTCAACATGCCTGTATCCTCCCCGTTCCCGGATCTCGATATCCCGAAATGCAACTTGCTGCATCATCTATTTCCCAAGGGAAAGCTCTTGTCAGATAAGCCAATATGGGTTGATTCAAAGAAGCCCGAACTATACCTCACGCAGCGGACATCGCTGCAATGGACAAAAAGACTGGCGATGGGACTGGATCGCATTGGGAGCAAACGTGGAGAGGCTATTATGCTTTGCACGCCAAATCACATCTTTCTTCCTATAGCCTATCTCGGAATTGTAGGCTCTGGGCGTGTGTTCAGCGGTGCTAATCCAGCCAATACAGTTCCGGGTACGTAATTGGTACATGCAATCAATCTATTGAGCTAACAATACCTAGAGATTGTACATCAGATTTCAGACAGCAAAGCAAATTTTGTGCTCGCACACCCGGCGTATATACAATCAGCCATGACAGCAGCCAAAGCTGCGGGCATTCCCGATGGGAACGTTTTTCTCTTCTCGGACGAGCTATGTGCGCCAGTGGAAGGCTGCAGAGACTGGAGAGACTTCCTACCTTCTCTTGCCGAAGCCGAAGAATATGAGTTTCCAGCATTATCTGAACACGAAGCAACAAAACAACCAGCGACGGTCAACTACTCGTCTGGTACTACAGGAATGCCCAAGGGTGTCGCGGTTAGCCATTATAACTTAATTGCGAATCTTGAACAAACCATCGTCATGAAATACGCCAAAAAGCCCTGGACCGCTCAAACCCGGCCTAGGGAGACATGGGCAGGCTTCTTACCACTGTACCATGCCTATGGCCAACAATACACCATAAGCATGGCACTGAAGCTAGAGATCACTTGCTACGTTATGCCGAAGTTCGAATTCGAAGAGTTCCTGCGACTTGTTGAGACGTACGAAGTAACACATCTGCATCTTGCGCCACCTGTCATGGTCATGCTCAGCAAAAGACCGGAGACTGCCAAGTACAATCTCAATAGTGTGACTGATATCTTGAGCGGCGCCGCGCCTTTGTCCAAGGAACTCCAGAACGAAATCAGCAGCAAGCTGGGATGTGAGGTTATACAAGGCTATGGTATGACGGAGGTCACTTGCGGAATTTTGCTGATGCCGGGTGGTACCATAGACGAGTAAGTCAGGCTCAGCGGTTATCTGATTACTTCTAACACACAGTAGCTCCGGATGCGTGGGTCAGCTATTTCCAAACACCAAAGCTATGCTTCTCGACGAACAAGGCAATGAAGTGCCCGATGGCCAACCAGGCGAACTCCACGTCCGTGGCCCGAACGTCTGCTTGGGATACTGGCGCAACCCAAAGGCGACGAAAGAAGCATTTACGGCAGATGGCTGGTTGAAAACAGGTGACGTGGCTGTGGTAAAGAATGGGTGGTTTTGGATTGTCGATCGAAAGAAGGTAAGTAATGGTCGTACCGCCATTACAATTGGAACAGAGCTGACAAAACCTAGGAACTGATCAAGGTCAATGCCTTACAAGTCGCCCCTGCCGAGCTCGAAGCCGCGCTCCTTGAGTTCAATCCTATTGCCGATGCAGCTGCTGTTGGTATCACACTTGATAACCAAGAGTGGCCGCGCGCATATGTTGTACTCAAGGATGAGTACAAGGGAAAGACGACCGCGGAGGATATTCATGGTCACATGAAGGCTAGGGTCTCGAAACACAAACAGCTCGTAGGAGGTATTGTGTTTGTGGATGAGGTGCCGAAGTTGCAGTCTGGAAAGATCAAGAGGAAGTTGATGAGGGAGTGGGCGAAGAAGGATGCTGAGAAGATGAACAGAGCGAAGCTGTAGACAATGTTGGTCTACGTTATACCAGAACCGGCGATAAGAGCTAATTTCCAACGCATTGTCCAGCGTACATGGATAGTTGATGTTCATCTCGCTGCCTTTACCAAGCACATGAACATATCTAGACAAGACTTATCAGTAGCGTATTAATGTACTTGTGAAATGAATCACATTCAGTGGTTGCTGTCCGCCGTCATGTGACTGCTGATTTGCGGAACTGCGCCGCGTAAACTCTTCCGCAACCCCTCAATGGACGCACGTCCTTGACACCAACCACACAAGCACAAACTCCCAACAGAGTCATGCATGCTGAACTCTCTGATGCAGCCACATATTGGATCGACCCCGGCATGTTCTGTCTGCCCGGCTAGCGAACCAGCGAAAATGGGGCCTAAAGTGTCCCGCATGTCCTGCACCAACCGGCGTGCAAGGAGGTCAGCGATGTATCGAGACACCCGAGACGCGGCTAAGCACTCCAGAAGTGTGAGATGGCCTGGGCGTAATGGTGTGGTGCTTCAGCCATATGCGTTGGTACCACATGCCCTTTAAGCTTGCATCTGCTGTTTCCCAAATGTAGTCCAGACTGCTCTTCACCGTGTTCTTCGTTATCTTCATCTCGACTTCCATCCACGGCTACCAAAGACCAAAGACAGTGAACGAGACACGTCCGTACATTTGTCACCTATCGCGACAATGGGGGGCTCAGAGATGCCAAATGGACTCAATGTCAATGGATATGGGCACAACTACGACTATCCACCATCACACGTCGACGGCCCATACAAGATTCTTGACCAATACCATTCCAAGCCAGCTAAGCTACGAGTCGCGTGCGTCGGTGCCGGTGCATCGGGCCTTTGCTTAGCATACAAGATGGAGAAGATGCTGGAGCCAGGGTCCTGGGAGTTGACGTTGTATGAGAAGAACCCGCACTTTGGGGGTACTTGGTACGAGAATACCTATCCAGGGGTGGCTTGCGACATACCTTCGCACGACTACAACTTTACTTGGGACCCCAAGCCAGACTGGTCAACTTTCTTCGCATCGGGCAAGGAGATTCAAGGCTATTTTGAAGATTTTGCGGAAAGACATGGGAGCAAGAAGTATATGCAGATGAATAGTAGAATTGAGGAGGCGGTCTGGAATGATGCGGATGGCTGCTACAGTATAACCATCAGAAATCCAAGGACTGGCTCGATGAGGAAAGATTGGGCGCATGTGTTAGTCAATGGCTCAGGTGAGACTGTTTGTCCCCACGTAACCTGCACATTGCTTACAAAATCCAGGCATTCTCAACAACTGGAAATGGCCAGACATCGAGGGCCTGCACGACTTCAAGGGCCCCTTACTACACTCAGCATCCTGGGACCACAGCGTCGATTTCAACAACATCACCGCAGCCGTCATCGGCGTCGGTTCTACCAGTGTACAAATTGTTCCTTCTCTACAAAAGATTGTCAAACAGCTTGAGGTCTTCATCAGAAGCCCCACATGGATATCGCCGCCATTCGGTGCCGGTGCGCTCAACGACGATCTGCAGAAGGGTCAAGATGTTGACCCAGGTCAGCGGCAATACACTTTTACGGAAGCAGATATCAAGAAGTTCAAGGAAGACCCCGAATACCACCTGGAATTTCGTAAGAAGATCGAAGCCGAAATCAACAGTCTATTCGGTATGTACCAACAGAATTCAGCATTGCAGAATCAGTTCCAGGACGTTATCACTAAGGAGATGCACCGTCGCATGGGTCCCGGCCACGAGAAGCTCAAAGAGTCCATCATACCCAAATGGTCGGTCGGATGTCGACGGATTTCACCTGGCGATGGCTTTCTGGAAGCACTAGTACAAGACAACGTTACACCGGTCTTTAGTGGCATCGAACGCATTGTACCAGAAGGAATCAAGACCGTCGACGGGAAGATCCATAAGCTGGACGCCATCGTATGTGCCACAGGTTTTCAAGTCGCTTTCAAACCAGCCTTCAAAGTTGTCAACGGTTCCAACACATCTATCCAGGAGGATTGGGCTAATGGCCCTAATCTTTACATGGGTGTTTCTGCGCCGCGTTTCCCCAACTACTATACCATCGTTGGACCCGGCGCAACTTGGAGCAATGGTACGTTGATACCAAGTATCGAAACGACCATAGAGTACAGCATCAAGTGCATGAAGAAGATGCAGACAGAGGGTATCAAGGCGATGAGTGTAAAGCAAGATGCGTTAGATGAGATTTACGCGCATTTCGATGAGTTTCACAAGACTACGGTGTGGCAGGAGGCGTGTAGGAGTTGGTTCAAAGACGGCCAGATCAAGAATAGGATCTACCTTTGGCCTGGTGCGGTAAGTCTTCTCCACCTTAACTACCCCCGATAATCCGCGCTCTTCCGTCTCTACCCCGCACCATGCCACACATACTGACTCGCACGAAATTAGACGATACACTTCCTCAAGTCGATCAAGACACCACGCTGGGAGGACTACGATTACGTATACAGATACAAGAACCGGTTCGCGTTTCTGGGCAATGGAGACGTGAAGGCAACGGCGGCTAGAGATGTGCAGGGCTTGAGCCCGTACATTCGGAACTGGGACCACGAATGGGATATTGAATAGACATGGTGTTTGGTGGAATTATATGCTCTTTTTTTTTACCATATGTTGTACTACATTGATTAATATGCATCACGATTGTTCGTCTCGCTCCAAATGCACGGGTGCGTCATTCTCTGTCGGTCGCCTGAAGCTCGTATGTACGTCGCGATGTACCCCGGTCCCATATTCCATAGTTCGGATGTTTGCAGCCTAGCCCACCTCAAATACCTCCACATATTGAAGCGTCGTGATGTTCAAGAGCTCCGAGACTCCGTCACCGTCCAATCGCGACATGCAACCCCGCCTATCCTCGACTCATGCTTCCCCAGAATGAACCCCCATTCCTCTCCAACACGAATCGCCATCTCCAGACTCCCCTCACAAAAGCCTGAAGCCACGATCGTGCTACTGGCTTTAATTGGGTGATGGGTCAGCGCGGAGCCGCCCCTGGCTCAGGCTTAGACATGGATTACTTGGCTCAACAGTTCCTGTGACCGACTCCTCATCAGACTTGTGTGGAGTACCGGCCGAGCAAACGATGGCTTTTCATGCGTCACTTGAATAGATTCGTGGGGTGGTCGCCTGCGCGTTCGATTTGAGTCTGGTCAACGGGCATGTGGAGAAGAAAAAGAAAACATATGGCGCGGCTTTTCCACGAGATGGAAGAAGGTTTCGTACTGAGCAAGCACCTGCTTATCAGGAACGGTGGTTCGTCATGGTTCAGGGGCCTAGGATCCGCGTCGACACGGGCATGTCGAGCCTACACCAAAAATCGTTAGGTACATGCCAGTCCGTTGCCTCTTTGATGAGGAAGCATGCGCAGTAGTATTAGGCGCATCTCGGGCGAGTCAACAAGGCCGCCCAGTGCAATGGGAATGCGGGGCCCCACTTACTCGAGTCGACGTCCGCAACGTTCAGCTGACATTTGGGACTAGACTGGGCCCGTGGAATCTCTTTCGTAGCCCAAACTCAGGTTTAGCCTGGAGGTTTGCCTTGTCTCATGTGTCTGGACGTCTCTTCCCCGCAAAATCTAACGGGCTGTGCGATATTTCATACTCTCTTCCCGGACTAAGTACGCTACACCGGACGCGTTGAATGCCGATCCCACGAATTACGAGAAACAAGACCGTTACGACCAGAGTACCAAATCCAAATATGATGAGCGAAAAGCAGACAGAAAGACAGGAGTCGCAAACTAGATCGGACAGTCAGCGGGAGCAGGGCACATCTGGAAAGAGCTCGTCGAAAGAGAAGTCTTCAAAACCGCGCCACAGGGCATCAGTTGCGTGTGCTTCGTGTCGAGATCGCAGAATTCGCGTAGGTAATTTATAACCATGCTTAATCTTTCTTTCTGACGCTTCGTAGTGTGTTGTACCCTCAGGAGAGAAAGAGTGCACTCAGTGTAAGCGATCGGGTGTAGACTGTGTCATCAAAAACGACGATGAGCGCCGAAGGTTTGTGGTCAATCTAGGCGCTGGAACACTAGACTAACATTCTGTAGGCCCATTTCGAGGGCTTACATGTGCTCTCTAACAGATCGGGTGGCACTCTTGGAAACGATGCTGAAAGAGCGAGGCGAAGAGCTACCACCAGTAAACCACCCACCAAAAACCCGACACAATGTCCCACGCAACGAGGACGGCACATCCCCAACCAGGAAAACTAGGAAAAACCAAGACGTAGAGAACGAAAACGAACATGAACATTCCAGTCCAGGAAGCCAAACAAGCCCTCAAGACGAATATATTGAATTTGAACAGCAAGAAATAAGCGTGGAACAACATGAGATGCACGTGCATAGTCCCCCGTTCTCGAACGGTGATGCGGAAAGCACCGGATCACCGTCTATGCTACCCCCACCGAAGAAAGACGGAATGGTCAATCGCCTGCTTTCCACGCGCGGCCATCTCAGCTTCGACCAGCTCAGCGGCCGTCTACGCTACTTCGGCCCAACGACGAACTGCCACGTGCATTCCGAGTCATTAAGTCCATTTGGTTCGACCCAAGAACAAGATGAACAAAGGCGTCGGTGCGACAAGATCATTCGGTCGCTCCCGCTCGAGACGTATGATTACCTCATGGAATTATTTTGGCAGTGTTACAATCCTGTCATTCACGTGCTGCACCAAGAGGCATTCAACGAGGATCGCGAGAATGGAAAAACGCAGTTTTACTCTGGTTTCCTGCATGTATGCGTTTTGGCAATGGGGTTTCGCTTCGCGGATAAGGATAGGCCGGATGTGAAGAGGATCAGTCTACCGGGCATGGAGAGTACCTTGCATCGCGAGGCAAAGTATATGCTTGATCATGAGTTGGAGAGACCAGGTGGTATTCCGAGCGTCGTCGCGCTGTTATTATTGGGGGACTTGGAGTGTGGAGTTGGCAGAGATAATCTGGGGTGGCTCTACGGCGGTATGGCTGTTAGGCTTGCGTTTGATATCGGGTATGTTCTTTGGGGAACTTTGGCAACTCTTTATTAACCAGAAACTAGTTTGCACCTCGACACAAGACTTTCTGGTCTACCAGAACGCGAAATTGAGATTCGCCAAATGACGTTGTGGGCATGTGTAATCTACGACAAGTACTGGGCGTTATTTCTCGGCCGCCCAACAAGCATGAAGTCATCCGACCTCGAAATCTACCACTTGACCAAGCAATTCGAACGCCTCGGTACATGTCGCCCCGCTGGCCTGGAGAAAAGCACAGAGACCATGATCTATGAAGCTCTGCTTGATCTGATGGAGCTCGCTGGCAAGATCACTGAGAACATGGATCCACATCGCTCGCAGAATGCGGCTTCCGATTCGATCACTGCAGTTGATCGTAACCAGTATATGCGCATGGCAGCGCTGGATCGCGAGTTCAGTCGCTGGTATGGGAGTTTGCCGGAGCAGTTGAGGTGGACGCCTCAGAACATCGCGACAGCGCCGTTTAGCTTCTTCTTGCTACACCAGCAGTACCATGCCAGTCTCATATTACTACATCGCCCGTTCGCTTTGTATGAAGACCAGGCGGATAGCGATAGTGGGCCTGACGATCACTTCTCTGCTCTGAGTAGGACAGTTTGCACGAAACATGCGATCCGGGTGGCGAGGATATACTGGCAGCACCGGCAACGGTTCAATACGAAGCAAATATTCGTTACGGGGATACAGCATGCGGTATGTCGAACCTATACATATCCGACCCCACTCCTTACTGACACTCTCTTGAGGGCACCGCAGCAACCGCTCTAGTAGCCGCTTTGGCATTCATAAAAGACCCTACCTCTCGAGCCAACAACATGCAGTACCTCGAGTGTCTCTCCGCCGCCCTGTCAGATATGGCGTTTACATACCAGCCCGCAGAGCGCATGTCGACAGTCCTTCGCGCCGTGATGGTCGAGTTACGCGGCGGCCCCGAACCACCGTCATCCACAGCGTTCAATCTTTACAAGCCCAAATCTTCTGTCGTACCCGCACGAAGGGGCAGCACAATCGACATGGACAGTGAGATGCCGGACGGACAGTGGGTAAAGAAGCGGCAAACGAGTCGCGGAAGACTAGGCGTAGGCAGTAGAAAAACAAGAACAATGAGTTCGAGCACTACAATGAGTGTGCCGCTAGAACACGGGCTCAGCCTAAAAACCCCATCATCACTGCGCTTCGACGACGCCTGTCAGACTGATGGTTTCATCATGGTAACGCCTCGCTCTGAACTCGGTACCTGGCCTAGCATCGCCGACCCCCCAGAACTGTCACACACACTCTCCACCCCCTCTACCAACTCTTCAACCCGTCCCCGCCACTCGGGGACTTCATGGATGGGCCCAGAGTTTGACCAGCATGATCCTATATCGCAGCTTGCGAATGCTCATTTCCCTGAACTGAGCGCCTTTGATGAGCCTGTTGGCGCTGGTGGCGATGCAATCAATCTAGACTTTATGCCACTTGGCGATGGTACGGATTGGAACATGAGTAAGGATTGGAACGGTAGTAGCGATTTGGACGGATTTCCATCAAGTGGTGGATTTGGCATGGGGTTTGGAGATGGTGGTAGGAAGTTTTGAAGTACAATGTTGTTAGAAATCCGCATGCGAATTGGCGAACAACGCCGTGAGTAGTGCGCTAGTGTTGTGGTACGTCCATAGGATCGCTCCGCCATCTATCTCGTATGACTGAGTTACTGATACCACCTCTTTCTCTTGACCCTACCTCCTTTGCCTATCGGCACAAAAGCAATCTTAGCAACGCATTCACTCGACTGCATATCTGCGATCATCACCCTAAGATTGCGCAGTCTTTTAGTCTTGTCTGCACCGTCCTCGGTGCTCTTGCCCTGAAAATCGCTGTCAAAGTACACTGAGTCTCTGACACAACTGCTGACGTATCCCAAGAGAGAAGGTGCATGGCACTGGTAGTGGATGATGAGCGAGCATAAGGCGGCTAAGAACATGATTGCGACTGAAACAAAATATAGTATCATCCATGGCTTGCTGATGGCGTAGATGGAGGGCAGCTGGAATGTTGTAGTCGAAGTCGTGCTGAGCGTTCTCTCATCACATCTTTGTCCCGTTAAAGGGTCCCGAACTGGATTATTGACCCCAACTGTCGCTTCATACGCCCACGAGGCTCTGAAAACAGTATTGTACAGGAGGACTAAGCGCTGTTCCAGTACTCACCGTGCTCATCACTGGTATCAGACCATGATTCAGCACCTTGTTGTACAATGATGATTGGCTCGAGTAGGCGCGCCTCAGCTTGACCAGACGTTGAATTACGTGAGCTTTCACAATCCACATCAATTTAGCATCGCAAGCTGCTGAGGGTGTAGTGGGAAAGCGGGTTTCAGACATGGTAGGTAAGAAATACGAGTACGATCAGAATGTGGAGAAAATGGACAGCTCAGATGACAGGCACTATTTCGCTCCACAAGGGGTTATAACCAGAGACAATTCAGTCATTACAACAAGGAAGTGTGCAAGCTGACTGTACTACTGTGCCACATGACGACACCTGCATGGATGCAACATCTGTCGTGCTCGACATCGAATCAAGCAATGAGAATTGGGGACTGCAGTTCGCGGAGGAAAGTCATGATGTTTTCGAAGGATAAGAACAAGAAACGATTGGATCTAGATTCTGAGGTCAAGGACCAGGATGAAGATATTAGAGGAAACCGCATCAAAGCCGTGTCATGCCAAGCCGCTAACGCAGACACTGCGGCAGGTACTATTCAGATATGCAATGAGGGGGACGTAAGACATGATACAAATTAAATGCCATATATAGAAATAAACATAACTAAGCGCCATGAAGATGATAGGAGGCAAAAGCGCACGTGTATAAGGGTATCATATCCAAAGCCATGCCCAAAATCCATAACATCGTACCCAATTCGTAAACATAACAATCATGGGAAATGCCGCACATCACGCAGCAATGGGTGGTGACCCAAAACCAAAATCATCATCGTCGTCAAAGAAGCATGCCGCCTCCTGTGTTGATAACATGAACTCTTCAAACGATCCTTTAGAGCTGGATACAGCCACAGAATCTGTCGGAACTGCAGTGCGGGGACTCAAAACGCGTTGATTTTTCGCTGGGGGTGGAGAAGTCTGAGGCGGAGCCGTGGTAGACTTTCTTTTCCAGGGCCCATCCATGGACTTAGGTAGCTGTGAAGGTCTCAGCTTCGCAAGCTTGGCTTCAATACCCGTGGCGAAGGGACCTGGATTCAAGCATCTGCCTGCTATTTTCCTCGCAGGTCTTAATGGCTTGCTAGAGTTTGCAGTTGTACCTGCCTTAGCAGTCTTCTTCGCGGGCAGTGCAGTAGACACCGTCGGGATCGTCTTCTGCACCGCCTTAGGTGCCAATGGCTTCGCTGCCAGTGGCACAGGCATCGCTTTAGTGATGTCTTGCTCAGCTCGAGCTGTCACTATCAGCGGCGCTTTCGGATTGAGCTCTTCATCCAAGTCGTCCATGGAGAAATCAAAGTCCTGAGTTGACATTGGCGGAAGTCCGTCGGCCAACGTGGATGGTGCAATTACCGGAGCCTTCGTTGGTTCACTCGGCTTTGGCGCTACATCCGCAGCGAGATCCCGCGAGATCTGCGTACTGCTATCCAAAAAGTCATCCCAACAGTCTATCGGTGGTGAAACTGGAGCCGGAGCAGGCTTCGTAATTGATATAGACTTTGCAGTCACCAACGAGCTCGACTTTGATGCAGGTAGGCCAGGGAGTTTAAAGACTAGGTTCAAGTTTGCAGAGGTCGTTGTCTTGGCAATATGCAGCGCTGATTTTCTAGGCAAACTTTCAGACGGCACTCGACCAGGTACAGAGGGCATCTTAAATCCCGTTTGTGATGTGTCCCGTGGCGCATTAGACGGCGTGTAATCAGTTGCGACACGAATCGGAAACTGGGTCCGCCGGTATGGATGCTGGTCCAAGCCTCTGTACTTTGCAACGAATGGCACTCGAGTCAGCACTGTCTTGGTACCCTCCAGCTGACCATCCAAGACCAAGCATTCTAAACGGTCATTTTCAGACCGCAAGACACGTAAATGTTGACTCTTTGACAACTGGCTACTTGTATCTAGGTCTCTTAATAGAGTGACGATACACCCAACCTTGATACGCAGGCGATGTGATGGTATTCCGGCTGGATTCAACTTGTAAAGTAGCCCCTCGGCAGGGTCCCACATCGGGATGTTCAAAGACATATCCTGCGAGAGAATCTCTATGAGGGGCCCAGGTAGCTTATCCAATATTGCCTCAATTGTCTTGTTTGTGGGACCATGTGTGCGAGTGAAATTGATATTGGCTTTGACAGGTACTGGCTTTGGCGAGGTCGACGCCATGGTCGGAGGAGGAATGACGGAAGGGACGGGCACAGGCGGGGGTTGCAGGTTATGAAGACGAGGTTTTTCAACTGGATCTGACATGATCAGGTCATGGGCTTGAAGGAGCGAATCGTCATCCAAGTCGTCATCAGCCCACTGCTCGCCAAAAGATGTGTTCGATACTGGAAAGTCGAGGGCGATGTCGTTGTCATTATCGTCATCGTCATCCCATGGTTCCTTCTCTATATCTTCGGCGATGGCTTCCAACTTCTTCGTTAGCTCTTCCTCCTTCTTGCGCTTTTCTTCTTCCTTCCTCTTCTTCAAGCCCAAGAAAGCCTCCATCCCGTTCTTCAGCTGTGCCTGCGTACGGCTGTATCCAATGAGTTGTGTTGCAAGCCCAATGCCCATTTGCTTCCTAGCCGCAGCCTCCTTTGCCTCTTTCTCCTCACGCTTCTTCTTTGCAGCTTTGCGACGTTCCTCGGCTTCGCGTGCGTGGGCGGCTCGTTGGTCTAATTCGATGTCGCGCTCGAGTTGCTTCTGCTGCCGCTCGTTGAGCCGCGGGCCATTTTTCTTGTGCAGCTTCTTGAGCTCGGTTGAAGTGTGCGCAACGCGGTGTGGTGTCGGAGCCATGGTGTCGTGTACATGGCGATAGAGGGTGGGTGATTGTCTATATGTAGCGTGTAGGCATCAGTGGCAGACAGGATCGATTTGGATTAGGCGCCCGCGCTAAAACACGCAAGCACGTGACCATCCCTCTCTATGTACAATCACGACGACCTTCGGATTGAGACTACTATGCATCTTCAGCTCCCCCATGATGTCCCAGTCATACACTGTACATTCATTCATCGAACCATGTTCTATAGGCATTATTCACCCTGCACAAGAAAAGAGGCACCCATGATCTAGACATGACTCGCTGAATTGCAAGGGTGGAGAAACTGGAAAATAACAACCGATCACCCATGTGAGCGCAAGACTCGATCCACGAAGACGCATTTGGGGTACAGAAGCGGTTGGGTAGCTTCTCAGTCACGTACTTGCTTAAACAGTGGACATAGCAAAATATACTCATCACACCTCGATAACACTCGACACAAGACCCGAGAAAGACTGTACCCACCTCCGGAATCTATATACTAATCCAAACACTATGGCCTTTGCTCTAAAGGGTGTTGCATATATTACTGGTGCTGGATCCGGTATGTTCAAGCAAACTGCATAGTAGCAGGACACTATCATGTTCACTGCTAAAAGGCGGCAGGCATCGGGCAATATACGGCATATGCTCTCGCAAAACAAGGTGTACGCTCATTCGCCCTGCTCGATCGCAACCCGGTCACGCAGACAATCAGCCACCTTAAACATCTTGCACCGGATGTTTCTGTAAAGGGATTTGAGCTCGATGTCACCAATGAGAAAGCGATCGATCATAGCATAGAGGAGACGGTCAAGGAGTTTGGACGGTTGGACTACGCAGTCAACAATGCTGGTATTAGTGGATTTGTCAAGACATCCGACGAGGTACCAAAGCATGATTTCGAGAAAGTCATTGCCGTCAACACTACTGCTGTTTGGCAATGTCAGCGCGCTCAGATTCGGCAGATGCTGAAGCAAGAGAAGCTTACGGAGTCGTACCGTTCCTATCGAGGGTCCATCGTCAATGTGGCATCCATGTATGGCCTAGTTGCACCGCCTCTCAACGTCCCTGCGACAGCATACGCTACAAGCAAGCATGCTGTCATTGGACTTACGAAATCGGATGCACTCGCCTTCGCGCACAGAGGTATCAGAATCAACGCTATAGCCCCAGGCTATGTAATGACACCCCTTGTGGAAAAAACCATGAGCCAGGGCAATATGATCGAAACCGAAAGGTTGAAAGTTCCGGTCCATCGTTACTCAGAGATGGAAGAAATTGGCGACTGCATTGCCTTCCTGCACTCGGATGCCGCTAGCTACATGATCGGCGCAACTCTGGTTGCCGATGGAGGATACACGGTAGTGTAGAGAGTTACAACAATGCATGATATCGGTGATCTACGGTCCAAGATACCCATGTCCTGTAGTTTGCCGATATATTCTCCAAACCCGTCTATCGTGCTCAACAAAGTCGGCCTCACCTCGGCAGATGTACATACTTACAGTATCTTCTCCACCCCACACGTCATACCACTTAGCTTGGGACTTACAGGACGCGTAACCGAGAAAACATTTGGATCGAATAGAGGCAGTCTATGACAACTCGCATGAACCCCTGGGTATCATCTATTCTACGGCACTCGATCGCCAGCCTGTGCTACTACCAGGGTGCCTGTCTGGCCGGCGGAAATGCTTTACCAGTCCGCGGAACATGAATAGTAACCCGTCTTATTCGTGCGCACCACGACTCATCACGATGATCCGCGATCTCGGAGCACTCCAGGGATTCACGTGGCATTTAGCGGCACTCCAAATTCACAGCTTACTGTGCTGTGTTGACTCGCGACATGGACTGGTTGATCCGATACATGACTCCCAGTGGCAGGGAAGCTGTGATATGAACGCGACACAAATAAAGTTTAAGAGCTCGTTCGCCTCGAGATGGATATATCCTTTATAGTTGTGCAATCCAGCTCTAACTACTTCTCTCCGTCTTCCCATACCTCTTACATAGTCTTCAGCACTCACACAGCGGACTACTTCAGGTTGTTTCTTCTTAGCCTAACCGAAAATGGATCCTCAACAACGGCTGCGTGGACCAATCCACGCCCAACGACACGTGCGCGTCGTATGCGTCGGGGCCGGTGCTTCTGGCCTCCTGATGGCTTACAAGCTGCAGAGACACTTCTCAAATTACAGCTTGCAAGTCTATGAGAAGAACACGGAGGTATCAGGTACTTGGTTCGAAAACAGATACCCGGGGTAAGTAGTGGAGCCTAAGGTGTGCCAACTGCGGGGACGATGCGCCTGTCGCCCCACGGCTGTGGAACCACTGCGAATCAGAGCAATTGACGAACTTTGCTAATTTGCTTCTAGATGCGCATGCGATGTTCCATCACACAACTACACATGGTCTTTCGAGCCGAAACTCGACTGGTCCGCTGTCTATGCCAGCTCCAGGGAAATCTATGCTTATTTCAACGATTTCGCGCACAAATATGGCCTACGGAAATACATCAAAACGCAGCATCAGGTGGTTGGTGCGACATGGAATGAACAAAAGGGGGGATACGATGTGCAGATCAAAGATTTGGAAAAGCAACACCATCGTGAACGATCATTGCGACATCCTTGTAAACGCATCCGGCATCTTGAACAACTGGCAGTGGCCTGCCATCCCAGGACTTGATAAATACAAGGGAAACCTACTACACACTGCAAACTGGGATGACGACGTGGACTTGACAGGCCGACATGTTGGTCTGATTGGCAATGGGTTAGTCCAAAACCTTACTCATATTTCACGCGTGCTAACATCGTAACAGCTCCTCCGGTATCCAAGTTCTCCCTACGATCCAACCGCACGTTAAGAAAATAACAACATTTATTCGTGAACCAACATGGGTCTCCCCAGTCCAAGGTCTTGAACAACATGTCTTCTCTGACAGTGAGAAGCTGGAGTTTGCCATGAAGCCCGGTGCGCTTATCGACTATCGCAAGAACATCGAACGTGGTCTAAACGGCCAATTCAGCATATTCCTCAAGAACACCAACATCAACTCAGACACCGAAGCATACTTCCGAACTCAGATGAAGGATAAGCTGAAGAATGAGTACCTAGAAGAGAAGTTGATACCCAACTGGAACGTTGGGTGTCGAAGACTGACGCCGGGTGTTGGTTACCTCGAAGCCCTGGGCAAGCCAAATGTACAGACAGTGTATGGCGAAATCAACGAGATCACGGATCGAGGCTGCTTGTGCAGTGACGGCAAAGAATACCCCATTGATGTACTGATTTGCGCAACCGGCTTCAACACCTCCTTCAAACCTCGTTTCCCCGTCATCAATTCCTCCGGCGACAATTTGCAAGATGCCTGGGGTAAGGAACCACGCTCCTACTTTGGCCTTGCAGCTGCCGACTTCCCAAACTATCTCATATTTCTCGGTCCCAACAGTCCCATTGGTAATGGTCCCGTGCTCAGTGCCATCGAAGCCCAGGCAGACTATATGTGCAAGCTGATTGATCGCTTCCAAACACATAACATATCTGCCTTTGCGCCCAAGACAGAGGCTGTCGACGACTTCATAGCCTTCAAGGATGAATTCATGAAGAAGACGGTTTGGCACGACGCCTGTCGCTCATGGTACAAGTCTCTCGGGCCCGACGGCCCCGTCACAGCATTATGGCCCGGCTCCACTCTACACTATATTGAAGCACTCATGGAGCTGAGGCTAGAAGACTGGCATGTTGAGTACAATGGAAATCGCTTCGCCTGGCTCGGCAACGGGTACTCGCAGACAGAGATCGATCCCACGGCCGACTGGGCGTTCTATGTCAGGGACAAGGACGACGATGAGCCGATATCGAGGTTGCGCAGACTTCAGATTCTTAATAAAAGTGGAACGGTCGTGCCTAGTGCTGGTGTTGATTTCACTGGATCAGGTAAAGGTGGATGCGAGAGGTTGGCAGACGCAAAGTTGTAGAGGGTCATCTTTTTCACATCCAAGTTCTAGCCGGTCGTTTAGTTCGGTTGGCATATCTTTATTGCGCACATATTTCCCAGTGTATGGTTTTTGGATCTTAGTGGGTTCTTGGAATTTTTCAGGGAGACTGACCAAGGGCCATAGTACTGGTCACAGCCGCAATTTGATCGTTAGATACTTCGTCGAGTTGCTTACAATTTTACATACTAGAATCTTTAATATATCACAACGTCTTCCTTCCTTCCTTCGCTTTTCTCGTTTGTCAGTCTTGGAACATCTTGACAGATCACTACCCTGGGACACAATGACATTGCAGAGGGTGATTGACGTCCATCTGTGAATGTTTCCCTTCCCAACGGAAAGTTGTACTCCCTTAATTCCGTAGCGCATATCGCCACCCGGTGAAGCAAGCGACAATAAACGTCAGCTTTCAAGATAAGGTTGCTCTTCCCGCGAAGCGACAGTTGAAAGATCTGCCAGTCTGCTAATTAGATCACACCGTTGGCCTCTTGCGTACCCACCGAACCGCTCTCATCGTTTCCGGTCTGTGTCTGAACTTTGTGAGTGCTAGTTGCGCGCGGGGTGGAATATAGCGTCACATGATTGGTCTTGGCATCCATATGGATCCGCCTGGATGGCAACCCACGTGTAAATAGGTTCATGGTACCTTTCACACAATCCATTTGAGAACTATAGTCGCACCTCGCTTACTCGTGCAAGAACTGTCATGAGCTCAAACTCGCAGTAAATCTACCAGTGAAACAAGACGACAATCAAAATAGCTACTTCCCCAGAAATTTGATATCTGCCGAGATAGACAGCCTCATACAGCGGCGATGCAACCAAACATGAGTAAACTGGATGAAAATAGACGAAGCGTTGGCGACGGATGGAGGCGTTGACCGTGCTGACTTAAGATTCGCGCTAGTCAGGCCCGGCTCCCCATCTCACGGCGCCCGTCGAAACTTCCTTATCCACCAGCGAAACATCGGACCACCCCCCATCCAATTTCCCAAGACGATGTACTGAGTTCGCTGGAGATCCGCAAAGCAAGGCATCTGTGTAACCTGCAAGTAAGCAGGATACATGAACACCGGTGTTGAGAAGCACTGACAACGGGCGAACGTTGGGGGACAGTGCGTGAACAGAAGAATACGGAAGGAATAGCGAGGGAACTTCAACACCGTGTTGCTTGCAGGAAAGTTAGGCATGACAAACATCCGCGGAGAAAAAAAGCCATCGGTTTGAACTACACGACTCGAAATAGCTTGCGAAACCAGCAGCAAGCTATTTCCAGACCTGTCGACCGTCGTTCAGAAATACCATAGCCCAACCAGCTGGACCCTTGAACATGTTACCTCTTTCGACTCGTTTCTTCGGCTACTGAGAGTTTTCCCCCCGCTTTCTCTAGCCCGAAGCAGCGGAGCATCATACGTGTACCGCCTTATTGCGGATGCCGAGAGATGCCCAGTTACCAGAAACATAGATGATGTGTTTCGGTCGCTACTATTTCCGTTGGGGGGCGGGCGGGTGATCTTCGGTGCAGGAGGCAAGACTGCAGGTAAGGCAAGGCGAGTGGAAGATGGTGTTGGGGTAGCCGACTCCGGTCAGTGGCAGGGGTTGTCAGACGTGCATCATCACGTGTCTCGACGACGTAGACGATGGCTTAGGGTCTAGAGGTCGGTTTGAGAAGCCTCGGGGGATTACATATGGTGGAGAAGGCCAGAGTGTATATATTCCGACGCTGTTTGCCAGTGTTTAAATCATCATCAGCATCCAGCTTCCCATCTTCCACTCTCATCATCCATCAATCAGTACAACACTTCTCAATACCAACTTCACCCAACAAACCAACAACTATCAAAATGCCTACTTCCCAGATCTCCACTCCTCTAAAGGGCGTTGACGCCGCTATTGTCATCGCTGCTCTTCACAACCACGATCTCATGATCAAAGACTGTCTGCCCAGCGCTCGTCAGCTACGCTTTCGAGTCTGGCGACAAGGCCACCTCAGCCACATACACCATCACCGACAAGAAGCCCATTGGCCAGGTACGTCTACCACCACCTCCTCTTCCTTCGACCCCACCACTAACACCATGCCAGACTACCTACACCCTCACATTGACCAACGTCCCCGACGGTGTCGACTCCCTCGTCAACGCTAAGCCCCCCGTCGGCATCCTCACCATCAGCGGCAAGTGGCGAGTCACCGACGGCACGCTCAACGAGTCCATCGACATCGATGCCAACTTCATGATGAAGAAGGTCGCCAAGAGCACGGTTGAGAAGACGCACCCGGAGCAGCACTTGAAGCTTCTTGAAGCCGCAAGGGGTTAAATTGCGACTTTACGGAGTACATGGGATTAAAAGAGACATTGCATGCATAAGATGGAGCAATTGAACTGAATTTTTGGGGGGTCTGGTGTGTGCATTTAGTTGCGAGGGGATGTAGCATTGGTTGGAGTTTTTTTTGTCGATTTTTTTTGTTTTTAAATGCATCGGGTTTGGTAGTTGCAATAGAAGTGGCCTTTACGAGGGTCTTGAATCTAATCATGTGTTTCTTGTGCTTCTTTGGAATTGGCAACGTGTGTTACAAATTCTGAGTATGGTGGATGGAGTAATGGATATATCCTTGATGTACTGTCTTACATACATTAGTCTCGGGTGAATCCAAGGCGCTACCATTCAAGAATGTTACAGAGTGAGTGCTTTGCTCGAATTAGAAACATTCCGCATTGTCACTCTAGTACGATGAACAGAGCCCTCTGACATCTCTGTGCGAGACGAGAAAATCAGTCTATTCAGAGCTCATATCTCACAGACTTCCAGCGAGACGAGTCTTGGTGTAGTTGACGCCCTTCGTTCCAGATTCATGGTCGCCGCCATTTTTGACATCAGATGCATCGGCCACCACAACTACACCGATTTTTTTCTGTATGGCAATCACCATCAAAAGAAGTCGGTGACGGTCTTGAAAATAAGCATCTTGCTAACGTGTAGCATGCTTTCGGAGAAAAAGACCGCATCCAATAGTATAGTTTGAGACGTGGCGACTGTTATACTCACCAACCTCAGTCCCCAGAAGCCAATTTACATGCCATTTGCATTTGCGATACACAAATCGGTAAACCTAGAAGACTTCGGTATCGCTTTCGTTTTTGTTGAAGTCGCAGTAGTGGGAGAAGGAGCGTTCCATGCCGCGGAGCGGAAAGTAACGGTAGACCTGATTAGCACTACAAGCATCATTGTCACTCGCGCGAACTCTCCCAAATCGCATGTAGCACAATCGCTTGATTTTAGATTCATGGTGCTTGGATCAAATAAGAAATTCGGCTGATACAACAGCAAACCTTACAACAACGTCAAGAAGTGGAGTGCACACATCTAGCAGGCATGTGTACGTTCAGTTCCATCGTTCACAGTTATGGGTAGCGGTACTGATAGGTACAAAACGTTCATTTCTCTCATTACAATTTTGCTTTACGATTTTGGTACCATCTACTCCGCAGCAGGGGCACTCTGTGAAGGTGGCGAGGGTCCCCACTGTCCACAGTTCTGGCAGGTATCAGGGTAGCCTGCCCACGGACTTCCCTCCACGGGAACACCTCCCTCAGCCGTCCACCTGTTGACTGGATGTACCTCTATTGTCGCTTTGGGGTTAACGCCCACATCGATGGTGGCATACAAACCGTCCTCGATCGTATTGCCAATCAGCGAGATCTTCATGACCGGGTCGTCTCCGCCCTGGAAACCCATCTTGTAGAGGAAGTCTTCGTCGTTGTTCATGGCGGCTTGTGTGTTGGTGTTGTAAGGGGCCGTCTTCTCAACTTCATTCAGGAGGTTTTGCTCAATGTAGAATTGGCCAGCGTGCGAGACTGTACCGCCTTCGATCGTATTGTTGGGGAGAAGCTTGGCGCCGTGATGGATAATAGCTGCAATTGTTATCATGAAAAGCTGTTGAAAGGTGGTAAAGAGACTCACTATGTAGATGGTTCGTGCGGCCGACATAATGTCCAGGAATGACCGTTACGAATGTAGCAGTGCCATTAGCGCTTGTGGGTTGGACACCACGAAGAGCGTTGGTCACAATAGCTGTAGCAGAGCCATCACCGTTGCCTCTAGCCTGCACACCAGTGTAGACACCGGTAGAGTTCGCTCCCCACATCTCGACGTAAGCATCGGTGACAGGCGTGCAAGTTGAAACGTCAATAATGTTGACGTCCAGGTGAGTGATGGCTCCCCCCTCGCCAGTGACGATATCTTGCCGAATGAGCTCACCAGAAACCCCTAGTTGACCGTTAGCAAGCATCAAGTAATGTATTTAGTCTGCATTTGCCTACAATATGGACCCTCTCCAACCTCAGGATCAAGCGTGCAAGCTGCATCGACTCCATAAGTCTCTTCGACTTCGGCAGCGTCGCGACGGACGATTCCATGTTCTTTGGCGAAACCAGCCGCGACCCGGAGTTCGTGGAGCCTGGTCTCGCGTCTCTGGTGCTGCTCTCGAACCCACCCAGTCCCGACTAGATCACGCTTGCATGCCTGGACACTCCGACGGTTCGGGTGATCAAGATGAGCCTGCCTGCGCAAGACCTCTCTGTGCGTACTGCCTCCAGGGTGAGCAAGAACACTGGTAGCCAGAAGTAAGGCGTTGGAAGCATGCGCGAGTCTGACCATAATGGCGGCGAATATAGGATGAATGCGAGAGGTCCCGAGGTTAGGTAAGTGTGAAAAAGCTCGGTAGAGATCTTGTCAAAATCAGGTAATCGATGGTTCTTCAGTTTGGTACGCCAAGGATGGGTACCATGGTACTATAGAGGAGATAGAATGTCGAGGATAACTCATGGCACTCTGCTTTCAGTCTCTTTATATATTCGACATGCTGCGTAATAATGTGACTTGTCTTGCAGATAGTATCCATCTCATTCCGGGCATACGAGTATATGCACATGCCATTCTCAGTGCCGAGCGGTTGTGCAGGTGTTATCGGTGGATACTACCCTCCACATATTGTCAGGGGAGGTTACATTTGACATGGTTGTGATAGGCGGCGGCAGATGTTCGCTTAGTACAAGAACCCACAGCTATAGTGGCGCTCAATGAATGCCCGCTCTTGGCAGCGGGGAGCTTGCCGTCTTGTAGTCTTGGTACGATGGAAAAGAGCGTATTGCGTGGCGAAGATTAACCGACGTGACATTAACCGAATGTTGATGCTTAGAGGTACTGATATTTTGCTGAGTTGAGAGCCAAGGTTGAGATCCAATTGAGGCAAGGCTTTATTCGGCACGTAACGAGGCTTAGATTTCGGTAGTTATGGTTCCTTCTCTAGCTTCTCCTCCATCTCGATATCCACATCATCACCAAACCAGTTAGTCTTTGCAGCCTGAGTGGTCACCGCGATGGCCGAAAACCCACCAGCTCCCCTTATCATCTATACCTCCTTGACCAAAAGCTATGTCATCACGTGTATTCCCATGAGCACAATCACAGCTGAATTGAAAGTTCAAACTCAGTAAGGGCTCAAAGCGTTCAGACATATGATTCCTGGAACCTCCAATGTTATCGCAAGACGTCGCTACTAAGTTTCGAACAATTCTTCGGGTTTCATCGTTGTTTGCGGAAGCGTCATGGAACTGGCCGACGTAGATGTAGTGCCTTGGCTTACCATGGGCTGCAAGAATGGGAGTAGTGAGAAGGGGAATGCTAATTCCAAGGTATTCTATCATAGTTATATAAGTCTATCCGGAACGTTAAGAACTAACTCATGTTGACTTATTTTAGGAATAGTTATGATACGGGTCTCTAAATTAGGCGACGGTAAAGGGTGGACGTGATGGCAAGGTATGGAGGGAAAAGCAAGTGATATTAATGCTGAGTAGGTAAACCAAGGTAGCAAGGACTCAAATGTATGTTGTACTCTTGAGATTTTTCTATCAATATCCCTGATCGGTTAATGCCAACTGGTCATAGTCAACTCATACAACTTCCCTTGGTCGGCCCTTCACAGTTGCTTACAATTAGCCGCTGCTGTAAGTCGGCGCCACCGGATGCGCAGAGACTGGCTGTAAGACGGTGCATTCCGTGGTAGCGGCGGCAGGCTCGTGCTGTCTGGAGTACGAAAGCATGCCTATGCCTACCCAAGCTTTGGTGTCCGGGGCTGCGATTGAATGTACTGTACGACGCTATCTCCATACATGTTATACGGGCCAGCCCGAATGTCGATTCAGTCTCGGACATTGAAAAAGCTCACAGGCTAGCGGTGGCTGGACCGGCTGACGCTGGAACACAAATCTTGAAGCTTTGTGCGATGACGTGGTAGCTCACTGGGTAGTTAGCGCTGATGGAAACCGTGCACGACCCCGCAGTTGGAGGCTACCTCTATGCTTTCAAATCGTGTTATACCACTGGCTGGGGCTTTCATCTTTTTGTCCCGACGTAATGGTCCACCTGTTACCTGGTTGAGCTCAAACGATAACCCTCTTGTAATTGCACTCACCTCAACCTTTACACTATTGCAGTCCAGACTTTCCTTGGCTGCAATTGTATGTCAAGACCACTATGCTCACAAGCCACTCTAGTGCTACGAATATGGTTGTAGCCAGCGAATCTTTTGCGGCCCTCGCCACCCGATTCCGCACTTCTATGGCAGCTACTCCTATATCGTGTTCCACAGCCGCTGGTATGGCGGCTGAAAAGTCGTTGTCTTGGCATAAGATTATGTCAAGCAGGGCGGCCTCAAGACAGTACACCGGACATGACACAAAGCAACCAATGATGCGCAACTAGTCTGACAGCTGTACACATACATTCTGACCGGATTGATTTTCGATTCTCTTGTCCAGGTGTTGCAAGCCTTCGATACGTCTCGTAGTCGTACACGGTAGAGCGGGCGAGTTCCATACAAAAGGGCCGTTATATAATACCGGAGATGACGCGAACAGTCAGCCATCTGACCGGGACACAAGATGACGAATCGGGGGAACTCCAAGATCGACTAAATGAGGTTGCTCGTAGGTATGCCTCAGCGCAGCACCAGAAGCTCGGTGCACTGGTTGGGTTTATGATGAAGGCGGTGGTTGCGAAATGTCTAGAATGGATGGATATCGTAGTAGCCATCAGATGTAACATAGAGTTGTCGGCTCGTAAGTGGAATCCGAGCCAATAGACTTTGAAACACTTTTCAGTGATGAATGCCGCCTAAATTCAAGTCGTTGATAACCCTGCCTGGGCAGTGAAACAAGATCAAGAGAAAACATTGGCATCTTCGGAGAACTGTTCAGAACACGACTTCAAAAGCCATTTCCGAATACCCGAGTCATTTCTGGAGCCAGCAGGGCTACACAAGATTCAGGGCGACAGAAAAAAAAAGAGGATGCCAGATGCGGTGAAGACTGACCTAAGATGTACATATACCCGCTTGCATAATAAGCCAGGGGCAGAATGCATGACAGTGAAAACATGCGGCAGGGTCAATGCAAATGACAAAGCTACAGCAGGATTCGATGTTTCTAGGCAAGCGCGGACTTGTTTCCTAGTGACATGCATCGGAATCTTGTGCCGAGGAGAGGCTCTTCTAGGTTTAAATTAAGCATGTACGTTAGTTGGTGCATGCCCACATTCGGCAGGAAGCAAAGTTTTGAGATTTCATAATGGCATTCATCTGGACAGGAAACCGGTCGATGTAACGGAGGTCCTCTGCGTATCACCGGCATTGGCGCGCGGAAGTCGGCGGTCGTGGAGGGCATGAGAATGTTTTGGAAAGAGATGTGGCTGCGATATTGTCATGAGGATTCATGTGGAGTACTTGCAGTCTTTCGCATGAGGTGTGTGGGGCGGATGGCAAAGTCCAAGACCTAGGGGGCTAACATTGGAGCGATTCATGACGTCACGTGTGGATCTGTTCACTCAACCTTCGCTCCGCGGACACATCTTGTTTGCGAACTTGTTCTTTACCTTGAGAAAATGCCGCATTGAGCAGACACACCAGACGAAGACATGAGCGCATGAGATGGCCGCCACATGGGACTAAGCAAAGCACAACTACCGGCCTTGATGGGCGAATGCGGAGGATCCAAGGTCCAAGTACTCTAGACCCGTCGCACCAGGCTTCCGCAGCGTGCACCGAACATAGTACCAATCTATCATGCTCAATATCAGCGAGACGACAGCTTAGTATAGCTGACATATTGAGCCAAGCATTCCTAGTCAGTTCAGACGTTGAAGTTGAAGCTTGTGGTCGTAGCAGAGAAGGCATGACTCAGCGCACTCTTTGTCAAGAACATGACGCACTTGTCACGCTTCTCACGTACAGAAGCAAGCAAAGATGGATCGACGGACGTTGAGGATTGCATAGGTGCTTGCTAGTTGGATTGAGCCCCACGAGAGAGTGTAGCGAACAGCGCAGCCGTTCCTGCCGACTCCCGAGGTCGTTCCCGAAACACCAACGCCGGCACTGAAACACGCAACGCGATAACCCTGACGCTAGGGTATTATTGCCGTTTGATAGCTCTCGCGTCACGCACATAGCAACGAGGCGATCCCAGGTGTCATGTCACCATTGCAGCACGGGCGAATCGCAAAGCGTTAGCAGCGCTGAAACCCTTGCGGCGGTCACCCGCAGGGTCCCGAGGCTCCTTGCCCTCACGAACCCAATGGCATAGGCCGAAACGAGTTGGTGTCAGGAAGTGAGTAAAACTTAACCAGATTTTGGAACCTTGAAACCTCAAGTAGATATGGGGCCGAGCTGGGTCGACTGTTTTCTTCAATTCTCATCCTTTCACCTCATCTATTCGCGCATTTTGCAATGACGACATTTCTCAATTCTCCAAGCTCGCCGAAGCCGGTACACGGCACTTTCTATGATGACGAACGTAGCGTCCGGGAATCTTCGAGACATACGGCCAATCTTTCAGGCGCGACCATGTTGGATTTGATCAGCGGTCCGGAGGGAACCATAGCCGCTGCCTACAACGAGGCAACCACGCCTACGAAACCGACGTCGAGATCAAAACGGGTTCCCAATTTCTCTGCCACAAAGTCTCAGCTGCGACAGACGAACCGGACACTGCTTGAAATCGTTCAGAATATCCAGGCCGAACTCGCATTCCAGAGAGAAGCCATGCTTGACATGCAAACGCGCATTTACCACCTTGAAACCAGGCCTTGCAACCATGTCAGTAACAACACCAGCCACGATATTGAGTTGAGCCCCCCAAAACTCCCGTCCCGCAAGCGATCCGAGATCAGAGCCAAGCCCGTAAAGAGCACTACTCGCGAAACCCCAAGACGTCGAGATGCGCACCAAAAACACGGCGAGAAGCGGGGTGCTACCAATAAAGAAGGCGCCTTCTGGAAGTCCCCCACCCGTTTCTCCGGCTTCAACTTCAACTTCGATCTGCTAGAAACCGTACCCAGCTCAAGAGACGCACCAGAAGTAATTCCAGTCTCGCCCCCCGTACCAGAAAAAGACGAGCAACACGACCCATTTGCCTCTGGTGGAAAGCGTAAAACAACACCACGCATCACGCGTGTATTAACCGGGGAACCCACAGCCATGTACCACGACGTAGTCAGCGACATCAGGGAGCACGTCATCGACTTCGACCGCGTCAGGACGCCCATACCACCAATCCTGCAATCCCCCCCGCGCAGCTCCCGCAGCAAGCTCAACACGGCAAACACAGCCACGACAAACAGCCGCGACGACGAAATCACCGCTCTACCCCAAGTCCCCGTGCTCGCCCCGCCGTCGTCCATGGACGAACCGCAACACCACCGCAAAGGCATCAAGAGCCTCTTCATGTACAGGACCTTTTCCAAAAGCTACAATAAGTCGGATTTTGCCCCCAGCACTGGGGATCGTCGCTCCGGTTCGTTACGCTGTTAAAATCTCGGTGCCGCGGACAATCAAGTAACTTCTGAGAATAGGCGCACGCCATAACCACCACAACCAGAACTATCGGGAATTCGATAATTTGTTCACTTCCAAGACGACGAATGGGGAGCGCTTTCAGTTGGCTGTTACGCCGACGATTCCGTTGCAGGATCTTTATCATAGGTATCGTCTTGAGCAGCAGCAGCAGACGGTGAGGGCGTAATAGATGGACGGACGGATGGATATGGAATAGAAGAAGGGGGAGTTATTAGAAGGCTAAGAATGGAAATGACGAAAAACGACAACAAGATACGAACTTGACAAATATGTAAGATATACACAACTCTGGACCAACGGAAGAAGAAGAAGAAGAAGAAGAAGAAGAAGAAGAAGGGATATCGGCGCTTTCAACCCACAGGCTGTTTTCTGACAAGTCAAACAAATTATTTTCTATCACTCTTAACTATACACTTTATACTTTACATCTCTTCTTTCTTTCACCTCGCAGTAAACCGTGTCTAATCACTTTCTAATATTTCCATTCTTTCAGTCACGACCATAACTCATGTGGACCATATATATCCTTTTTCTTATCTTATCATGGACGAGATGCATCACCCACAACCACAACGTAATATTTATCACATGGAAGCACCGTGTCTCAACAAAACGACAGTAATGTATATTTCAATTGTTTTTGCTCATTTGTACGATATGACGGGAGATAAAGAAAGAGAGGAGCAATATGTACAGCTACAGTTCAAACCCATAGGCCAATCTACCCAAACGACAATATGCTAAGCAATTCCATGCTCATTTCCGAACAACATTGCCGATATATGTAGTCCCAGATTATATCTTCTACTTCCTCCTGTTCTGGTTCATACCAAGAATCTGTACCATGCGAATGAAGATGTTGATAAAGTCGAGCTCAAGCGAGATGGCCTCGTTGACAGGGTCCTTGGGGATCAAACCACGCTCAGCCTGGCGCGCATGGTTTAGCACCTTCTGCACGTCGTACAGGGTGAAGCCACCAAAGACGGCTAGACCTCCGTATAGCCAGATGTTCTCGGTGAACATCAGTGTGCGGGCAGCGGTGGCGGGAATGACCATGGGAGCGAGACCGGATAGAGCGACGATGGCGACACCAGCGAGGAGGGGACCACCAAGGTACAGGTACTTGTCTGTCTTTGCGGTGGCACCAACGAAGGCAATGGAGCCCATCATGCCGACAGTGTAGAGACCGGCGCGTGCGAGGATAGCGGGGTGCATGAAGAAGAGAGGCGACAAGAGGAGGGCTTGCGTACCGTTGAAGGCAGACCAGAGGGCGTACTTTTGAACATAGCTGCATCTTGTCAGTATAGTGTTACAAAGTTGAATGCTTCTGGGTATTACTCACTTGCTAGGGTGTGTCGCCATAGTGCCGTACATAGTTCCAATGCTGCCAACAAGACCGACACCAAGAACGAGCCACGGGTTTGCAGCCATAAGCCTGAAACTCCAACCATTCATGTGCAGAGCGCGCGCCGCAATACCAATCATTCCAATTCCGAGGCCAGTGTGCATAAAAGTGTCGTTGAGGTATTCGCGCTCGAATGGCGGCATGCCACCATCCTCACGGGTCTCGCGGTTGAAGATGAAGTTGATGCCTAGCAGCGTTGCGCCGAAGATACCGGCGCCGTAGAGCAGGCGCTGTCGCAAGTCGCCCTGGGCCATTGGGTTGTATACTGCTTGCTGATATCCTCGTCGGAACGCTTGCTGGAACTTGGAGACATTTTGCGACGTCGATACCGTGGGCTTTGCGGGTCGGAAGAATTGGGGGTGTTGCTTAAGTGGCGTGTTGTGGAAGGCGCGAATCGTGAGGGATTGCGGTGCTTTTGGTGATGCTTGTCGCAGTGTCGCCGTGATGGCGAAAGGTCTCCGTAGGAGCGACGCCATGTTGTGAGTGCTTTAGCGATGTTGTTGTCGACAGGAAGGTGAGCGGCGTAGGGATGATATATGCGAACTATCATGACGTTTTCAGTAGAAGGCGCGAGAAATGCCAAGCCACCGTAACTCGGACGCAATTGTAACCCCGCCACGCATCACTCTTGCATATGCACACATGGCGAGATTCGGCGTGATATCAACATTTCGAAGCTTCTATTCTCTTATGTGTGTTGGAGAGCTATGCAAATAATACTACGTAAATCTGATACACCAAAATAACGAGGAATCTAGCGTGATATCTACAAGCGCCACCCAAAGAGATATCCAGATCTAGATTTGCGTCCATAGCAAAGTAAGTTCAATGCGCCGTCTTAGATACCATACAGATCGTACCATAAAATCATACGTGTTTATATCATCACCATCGCGGCAGATTTCCTTTACCATCGCGCCATCGTCCGTCACTAACTGTGACGAAGTTGACGTTTCTCCCTCTGTTTCGTACACTCTCTACGCCTCCGGCTTCGATCCATCTGCCCAGATTCTTGCACTGACTAACGTCAAAGCGCTCCAAGTCTCTACATCCTTCAACTACAGCTTCTACGCCCGTGCCAGTGACGCGGACGCAGCCCCGGACGGACAAATTGCGGAGCTCAAGTAGGTGTAACGATATGCAGCGGAGCGATGTGTCGGAGACGGCGGAACCGCAAAAGGCAAGGTTGAGGTGGGTGAGAGAGGGAAGACCGAGGGCAAGAACTTCCGTGGCAGTGTCAGAAAGGGCACAGCAAAAAGACTACATCACATGTAATTAGCACTTGAAAACTAGCTGTCCAATTCGCGACTTACCAGATCGAGTTCCTTTAGTCCCTTGGCTGCATTCGTAAGGTACACGATCGCATTGTCAGTCAAGTACGTGCAATCGGCGAGACACAGCTTCGTCAGCCTCGGGAAGGGGTAGACGCTCCAATGTTGGAAGCCCACGTCCGTGATAGTCGTACACCGCGTCAGGTCAATGCTTTCGATGCGGTTTGCTGCATGAACGGCGATATGAGCCATGCTTCGATCGGTAATATGCTTGCAGTAGCTCAATGTCAATCTTCTGAGCTTCGGACAACCCACCACCGTGCCGGGTGGTAGAGGCTGTGGGACGGGTTGACCATTGGCACCTCCTTTTCCTCGGCGGCCATTCATTTGAGCTTGGTGTTGTGCATGCGCCATTGCCATTTGCGGATTCATCTCAGGTACCACCCATCCAATCACTCGGGCTAGAAGGTTATCTCCGACTTTCCTGCAGTTGCTGAGATCTACTTCTTCTAGTCCCTTGGCCTTTTGAACCATTTCCAACACAGCTGGTCCAGTAATGTCCCATACGCTCTTCATGCGCCATATCCTCACGCTGGGTCCGCATGTCTTTGCTAGTTCAGCAAAGCCCTCGTCGGTGACGTGGAAACAGTTGCTGATATTGACATATCTAGGGCGAGTGCCTACAAACGGACATATTATATCGACTAGTGCTCGGTCTGTGACCCTGCGGTTGTATTTGGTAAGATCAAGGTTGTGAATTAGGTCTGGAGACTCGGATATCATCTTGCTCCAATGCGATGAGATGGTGCGTAACTTCATCAATTCATGTATGTCCATATTAGCCAGCACCTTTGTGAGTATGGGATCTGGCAGTCTGCCTCTTGTGTATTTGCTTGGTCGTCCGACCAGCCGCGGCCGCTTGAAGTCGAACGGGACCTCTGGTGGAGTCGATGCGTGCTTCGATATGGAAACCGATGGTGAAGGCGAAAGCGGGGAGCCGCCAGGTGATTTGGAGAAATCAAGGTTTGCAGGAATAGTGGGTGACTCTTGTATCGAGGTGGGCGTGGGTGGGGCAAGAGATCCTCGTCGCGAGCGCGATCTGACATTATCGAGGTCGACGTTTAGGAATGGATCGGGGTCATATGGCTCCATCATCTTCTCATCCCTCCGTGTGGGTGTCACCGGATTATCCATGTCAAGTGTGTCATTAAAGGTAACTGTGGGTACGCTCTTCTTGCGCCGCGGCGTCCTGGGCATTATATGGTCGGCTATGGCCAAGTCATCGATATTGGGCGGTATGCTGTGTGCATCGGCCATGCGCACGTCGTCGTCTTTTGCTGCTCGTAGACGCTCTTTTGCGACAGACTCTACCTGTCGGCGCACATCTGGCGTGCACCTTTCCCACAGTTGGTTCAGCGTATCGCCACTAATCATCAGACATTCAACGGCCGATACAGAACGTACAGTGGCGGTGCGACGTGGGGCAAGCGAAAGACTGACAACTTCGCCAAAGTACTGTCCAGTCTTCAATCGGGCCTTGACCTCCTGGAAATGATGCTCGCCAGCAGCTATGGATTTCCGGCGTCCCATGGTAGGTGAAGTGTGGCCATTCTGCTCGGGCGCATTCGTGTTGATGACTTCGACCTCGCCCTTGACGATGAAGAAGACGTCGCGCCCCTGGGTGCCCTGTTTGATAATGTCGGTAAAAGGATCGAACGAGCATGGCTGGGCACGCATGCCGATAAAATGGAGGATGTCATCCGGTAGCTCAGAGAAGAGGGGCAGTTCTTTGAGCAGATGTCTCACATGTAGACTGCCACTTCCGAAAGCGCTGTGGGCGATGGCTTCGGTGAGTCCCGGGCTGGGCGACTTCCTCTTCTTGAAGGCATTGATCTCACCCTCGCGGAGAGTGCCGCTCTCTGCCATGACCACATCGCCATCTTCGCGGTCGCGCTTGCCTGTGATCTGGCGAATGGGTATGGCGGGGCGTTTGGCGCCCAGCTCCGACTTTTTGCGTTGCAGGATGGCAAGGCGCTCCTGGGCTTCGTGTCTGATGGCAACCTCGACGTCGGGGAACTTGGGCAGCTCTTTGGTGAGGTCCTCCTTGTTCAGCCGCACGACCAGCGAGCGCATGTTGGCTATGATGGTGGCGGTACGGGGAATGTCCATTAGAATGCCAATCTCGCCAAAGAAGGCACCTGGCTTGAGTTCTGCATATGTGCTCTCTTGATCTCGCGAGGTCACGCGCACGGCGCCGCGGACCAGCCAGTACATGGCCTTGCCCGTCTCGCCCTCGGTGAGGATGGTATCATGCGGCTGGTACAGCTGGGGCTTGAGATGCAAGCCGACCTGTGTGAGGAATTCATCGGGCGCGGCCTTGAACAGCGGGAAGGAGCGTAGGCGGTCAAGCAGGTCGAGCGGCAGACCCTGGATGGTGGAAGCGGCCAGCGGGGAGGGTCTGACAGGCCTGGCGGGATTGGAGTCGCTGTCGTATGCGCGCACCATGGCAAAGGGGTCGGGCACTGCGACGCCGCCATGAGCGCGTACAGGGCCACTGCCGGATCTGTATCTGCGCATTGTGGTCGTGCTGGCCGTCGACACCGCCTGGGGCAGACGTGCCGGTCGGGAAGGCGCGAGGGGCAGCCGTCACACAGTCCGGGCAAGAGCGACTCGAGCAATGGGTAACAAGGGAAGGTGCGGGGTGGCGTGTGTTGGTGCTGTAGCTGGGCAATCCTCAGCTCATCGTGGTGCTCCGGGCTGCTCTGGACGTGGTGTGGTGATAACGCCTCGCGTTTGCTTGTTGGTCTTGGTTGATTGCTCGGCCAAGGAGCGCGCGATGCAGCGACCGACACAGCTAAAAGCCGCCAGCTAACACAATGGAAAGATGCAGTGCAACAGGCAGTGCGGGCACCTGCTAGGCGTGGCAAAGGCTCGTTGCTGTTGCTGTTGCTGTTGCTGTCTCGCGTGTTCTGGTCGTGTCGTGTTTTGGTCTTTGTATAATTTCTGACCGGACCCGTCGTGCTTCGGAGGGATGATGGATAGACTGCTGCGGGACGAGGCTTGGTCCCGCAACGCGGTGCATCAGCCTAACTCTAACCATGTACTCGACCTTCTCGAAACCATACAGACGGCGTCAGCCAAGACCCATGACTGCGGACCCTCGACGCTGCACGCATGCATCCTTCTCGCTGCGAGTGTGCTTCCCTTTCACCTTTTTGCGCCTGCTTAGCTTGCAACACGTGCGCTGCGAAAACAAGGCCCCTTCACCCTCCAGGCCTTCTACAGAGCTTCCAGAATAGCGGTCGCCGGCAAAAAGCAGCAGATCCATGCTTGGAGCTATCGGCTATCATCAGCCCAAGTGCCCACGCACCGACATCTGACCCCTGGCGCCCCCCTTTGAACTCCAACCGTCGCGTGGCCCCTTCACCTTCGCATCAGACCGTGTCGCAGACAAGGCGCGCCCGTCGCACGTCATTCCCGTACCAAGCACATCACTCAACCAGCAATCATGCATGTCACTCATCGACCGACCTCCTACACACACACTGTCTTCACCCTTTTACATGCATCAATGAGCGCCCCAGGCCCTGGCTAAATATACATTTCCCATGTCCAACTTGTCAAAATCCTGCGACAGCCCCCAGAGACCACCTAGGGCCTCCTTCGATCATCACGCCGGTATTTTCCACTGCCATCATATCTGTCATCGCCGTGTCTGTCATCGCGATTGTATCTTTCATTTCCATGTACACTTTCCCGCCCCATTTCTCCATGTTCTTTCCTCTTCTTTCTCTCGTCCCATTGGCCACTCACCTCCCTCGCACCAACGCCACCTATAATGGCCCCAGCAATAGTGGCAACCGTATCGTACTTTCCGCCCTTGGTAGCCTGGTTGCCTGCTAGGCCACCCACCAACGCCCCTCCCACCGTCGCAATCAAGCGATGTTTCGCGTCGCTCGAACGTGAACGTGATCGAGAATCTGAACGCTGGTGACGTGAATCACGACGACTGTGCTGTTCAGATCGTGGCGGGGACCATGATGACCGTCTTCGGTGAGGTGCCGGTCGGCGTTGCTCGTAGACTGGTTGGACTTGAGGTGCGTATGCCTATTCCGGTCAGCTGTACACCCACATCTTCTGTGGTAGAGAGACGTACTGCTACCTGCACACCTCGTGAACCATTGTATTCATCACGAGCGTTGGGTACTTTGAAGCCCGGTCCTGGTGTCCTATAGTCGTTTCGTCCCGTCTCATAGTAGCCTTCTTCTCTTCCATAACTGTCTCTTCTGCGATCGGGTCCGTACATCTCTGGGTCCGATTCGTAGTCAATCACGTCTTCTGAGGGACAGTGAGAGGGTCTGTATCCTTTGTCTGGGTGACGAGATGAATCTTGTGGCAGATATTGTTGTCTCTGTCCATTCTGGTACTGTTGCTGACGTTGCTGCTGACGCTTCTTTCTCCCTGGTCGTGGTACTTCTGGTAGACGGTCGTAAGTCCGGTCCCAGTACTTATTAGCAAATCGATCGAGACCCTCGAACCCCAGCTCCTGTTTTTCAAGAATCCTAAGTCAGCACATGGGCCAAAATAGATGTCGGATCTCGGCAGCAACGTACCACCATCTCTTCAGCCATGGTAACGACTAGACCTTTGCGGTTGGTCTTCCGGGGTATCCGTGTCGGTACTGGCTCCGCGGACCGATTATACGATAGAAGAGTAGTACTTGTGCCTGACTACTGGCGCGCCAACTTTCTTAACGTCCATCATTCCTTGGCAGACACCATGGATGCCTGTTTTTCTGCATCTCCAATATGACGTATGGGGCGGCTAGCTAGGATAAAGCTAGACGGCTGGCGTAGCGCCAGCCTTCTCCAGGAACGGGATCCGGCACGCTGCGGTCTGGTTGTGACCATTGCGCTGCCGTCGTGTCCTGTGCAACGATACCCCGCCATAATCTACAGCGGCTGATAAACCTGCGCTTATCAGCTGTGGTGAGCAACAGTAGCAGTTTCCAAATTTTGCTGTATTGGCGGATTCCACAACGGTTAGCCACATGTGGAGCCATCTGCGCCACACCCATATCCCTCCCAGTCTTGTGGCGATGTCATCAAGATATCAGCCACAGTGTGGCAATTCAGAGCAGTACACTGGTACTAAGACATCGACCTGGCAAGTTATTCAATGACAACAAGGTTAAATAATAAGGAATAGTAGGAGTGTAACAGTCGAGATTAGAATACTGTTCAGCTATAGGAGGCGCGTCACGAGCGGAAACCTCTTATTTCCAAGCCCGCCCGTCTTGAACCAGCAAACAGACCCCTTGAACATCAATGATACTAACGAAGGAGGGGATATGACTGCAGCTACCATTCTAATTGTCCAGAGCCGTATCTTCCATCTCGTATCACCCACTCGACTGATCTCATCGCGGATTTATACATGAAGTTCTCACAACCAACGAAGTCTCCACCTCAATGTCAAACATACACGATCTCACCTCTAGGCTGGTATAAACATGCTTTGCCCCCACAGATATTTTGGGCTTCAATACCGACCCAACTGCCTGGTAAAAAGCGAATGAAACATCCCTTCTCGTAAACCCAAACACCCACGTTACAAGTTTCCACCAACACGAGCACGCAAACGCAAACTACTTCCCGCTTAAATCGCAATGCATAAAGCTCCAGGGCCTATGCAGCAACGACAGATGCACAAAATGCGTTTGGGTCACAGGCCAATGGTTCTGCTGATGCGCATGGGATAGGGGTTAGTATCATCGCGGCGAGGAACGTGTCGCTGTTATGCGCATAAAGTCTATTTATGTAATGGGTAATACAAGACTTCTAGAAGTAATGTGGGATGGGTGTGAACATGTCGATTGGGACGGATGTACTTGCAGTCGGAGATTCATAGCAAGAGGTAGCAACATGTAGAACAGTCCCCGCCCTATCTGATGAAAGCTAGCATCAACACCAGTATTGAAGTTAGAAATCCTATTAACTATCGTACAAGCTACTAAACAACATCGAGCCCGTAGACCCGATTGCCTCAGCTACGGAAGGATTTCAAGGTTTCACAACCCGCGCCTACATCCGCATACGCCCTACCCAACCAGCCACCAACCCAACCAAACATATCCTTCCAATAAACATTTAACCTCCAGCAGCCTATTTATTCTATCACATCACATCTCCTATCCCTCATTCCCTTGTCTTACCCATTCTAAACAACATCCACCACTTACCCCACCTTCACCCACCGCACCAACAATCCACACCAAAACCCCATCACACATCCACCCTCACGAACTAACAAACACCAAAAATACACTCTCACTTACACTACCTCATCTCACCTCACCTCACCTTACCCCCTACCACCTTAGCTTTGGTATGATCTTGGACTAGCCCCACAACCTACCCTCGCACATCCCAATCCTTCGGTATACCCAAAAAGGGTAAACTCCGTAAAAACATCGGTTACGTCGGTCTTCCCCATGGGTCCCACCCAACAAGCTAAGGGAAAAGAATAGCGTCTCGGCGGTTTTTTTCTCGTAGGATTTTTTTGTTGTTGGGGCACGTGGTGCGCATAGCTAGTTACTTGTGGGCAGTGGGGGTAGTTGTGTCAAGTGTGGAGAAAATATGTGGGGGTGCGCACGTGGGGAGTTGGAGTTGCATGACGGGAGAGGACGAAGGAACTGCTTTGGGGGAAAGAAGTTACGACTGAGAGAGGTTATTCGGAGAAAGAGAGGCATAATTTCAATGTGTTCATTTATATTTGGTCATCATATATATCTGGTATCGTAAAACCGGGCTTCCGTCAACGGTACAGCCCGCATATTGCTCGGCATACTCCCTGCACCGCAGGAAGGGCGCGACTACTCCGTTCAACGCTTCTCAGTAGTGTTGGAGTGGTCGAGGACCTCAATAGCCTGAGCGCCATTCTTCTCGCTGTGCATGCTGCCACTTTCAACGTCCTTGGCAGGCTCGATGTTTGCGCCAATGGGACCTGCCTCCTCGAAGTGGCGACCCTTCTTCTCAGGTCCGAGAGCAATGGTGACAGCAATACCAATGACGATGATGGCGGTAGCGATACCCATGACGGGTCCGTAGGCAGGGGACATCTTGCCCTTTGAGGTCTTGATCATGGTGGCCTCGGCGACGGCGTTGACGATTTGAGCAGAAGGCGAGGAGATCATGTTTCCGAGTTGGTAGGTGATACCCACAAAAGACGAACGGAAGGCGGGTGGGGAAAGCTCGCTCAAGTGGATGGGAATCACACCCCAGGCACCCTGCACGAAGAACTGGATCATGAAGCCGGATGCGGAGAGGCCGCGCTCGGTGGTGGGTAGAATCCAGGCGGGGATGAGGCAGCCGGAGATCAAGACGGCACAGAAGATCATCCTGCGGCGACCGAACCATTGCGAGGTGTATCCGAGAATGGTTCCACCAACGCAGGCACCAGTCTTCATCAAGATGGAGGCACGGGTAGCGCCCGCGGGAGTGAGATGCTTCTGGGCCTTCATGAAGGTTGTGTAGCTGTCCTGGCTAGTGTGGGAGTAGTAGTTGAACCAGGTCATCAGGAAGATGCAGTAGAGGCACATCTTCCACTCCTCGCGGAGCATGATCTTGGTCTCAGCCCAGAAAGCTCCAGGAGCCTTCTTGGTGCCATTCTTTTTCGCCTCTTGGAACTGCTTGGACTCGGGGAAGAGAACACGGACGAAACCAACAGCGATGGAGAAGCCAGCACCGACCCAGAAGACAATCTTCCAGGTGTTGGTCTCGCCACCGACGCCCAAGTTGGCACAGGCTGCCAGGACGTAACCGAATGAGTAACCTTGTTGCAAGATACCGCTCATAAGACCACGAGCATCGACACTGTTTTTGTTAATATTTGATGTAGACATGAGATATCGTCAAACTTACGGGCAGTTCTCAAGTGCCATGGAAATGGCATTTCCGTAGACACCTCCCATGAAGAGACCGAACAGACTGCGCACACCAAGGAACTGCTGGAAGGTTCCGGCATAGATGGTAGCAACCTGGAGAAGACCGAGGATGATCATGTTGGCAACCATGGGCCACTTGCGGCCAAACTTGTCTCCTGCCACACCAAACATAGCAGCGCCGACAGAGCGGAGAAGCAGAGTCAGGGTAATGGCAGTAGTGATGGCAGTGTTGGTGGTGTCATAGTAGTCGGCAAGCTTGGTTGTCTGGATGGACAAGGCGTGGAAGTCGAATGCATCGGCAGTCCATGCAAGGAAACCAACGATGAAGTAGAGCCAGTCTTTCAAACTAAGCTGAGCAAACAGACTGAAGGGGTTCTTGAGAGGCTCTGGCTTTTGCCACTCGCAGTGCTCCTCGCCGTACTCATTGCGAACAACGACGCGCTGGTCCCAGGTGAAGAGGTCCCTCAGACTTTGCTTTGCGGTAGGAATGACGCCCTTGGCGAGGGGGTCTGCGGGGCGGTTGGTGCTCGCCATGGTGTGTGAGGTACCCGGAATTGAACTTGAAGGCAATGTGATGGTAAGACTGCCCTGGAGAAGTAGGCGCAGATCCGATCGCAATGCTGATAGCAGAAGTGAACACGAGGGAGGCCAATATATACCTGTGTCCCTTCGGGATGGATAAACCACCTCGTAACGACCCTATCAAGGCCCATGTCAGCCATCAGTGAGTCTTGATGCCAGCCAAGGCATGCCGAGGATTGCCAAGTTGAACCATGCAATGGCTGTTGGGCAAGGCACGGTGAAAGCACCCCTCTTAAGTGTGCCAAGCGTTGCACAGCGCACTAAGCATTCCAGTGGACCGCACTAGCACAAGTGCGCAAGTGAAGAAACCAAAACACGTTCCGGGGTCGGAGCGAACGTATCAGGCGCACGAGGAGTTTCCTCAGAATTGTGGGCTCCGATGATCTTTGCGCGCCGTTGACAGTTTTCCCCGTGGGGTGCGATCTTGTTTTCCCACAACGTGGTAACTTTTGCGACGTCACTTGAACTTGACAACGTCAACGTATTCGGCCGACAAGCAAAGTAGCACCGACAGCCGTTTGTGCTTGTGTCCATCCAAGCACCGTAAGCGGTTGGAGAAGCTCTTCTCGCGACACCTTCTTTTGAGCAAGCTTCAAGCCAACGAAACAGCCACCAAACTTGGCGACTGACCCCGCAGCGAGAGTTGTGCCGCCGCGGCTGCCGAAGTTTTCTTGCCTCACCACTATGCATGCCAAGAGAGAAAGAAGCGCATGCGAGAGCCAAGATGGTCCGTCGTAAGCCGAGCTTCCTTGCGTGGGCTTCTTTCGACGCCCATTATTCGTTCCGGCAAGGCATGAGACGACCTCAGCAACCCCAGCATTCCCACAGGCCATCCTGGTTGGCATAGTGACGACGGACTCACGGAGGCCTCCATGGCCTGCATCTGGTTTTGTTTGGCGTCACATGTCACCCAGAAAATGGGGATGACTCCGCTGGTACAGGCTTCCGGGTTTTTGACATGAATCCATTCATGGTTGAAGTGTCGGTCGGTCGCACGCGGGTGGGTGAAGCGTTGCCGCGCACGAGGCGTAAGAAAAGAAGCCCTGACCGGACGCAAGACTCTTGGCAGTACAAGTGTGAGCTTGTGCGATATGGTCTGACTCGGCTCCTGCTGACGGAGACAAGGGCGGTTCGTATACGACGCAGATTGGCTCAGCATTCGGTGGTGTTGTGTGGAGGACGGCACAGCTGGCAGGCAAGAACGTCCGCACCGGGGAAGGCGCATACTACCCGTGCCTCGCTAATTCCTCCACCACCCGCCCGTCGACGCCTCCAGAGTCCTTTGCCATCCGTCTGCGGCTACTCACGAGCCTTGCCGTGGCTGATTATGCTTTACTAGTCCAGACACATGGCCTAAACAATGGGCATGCGACCACCCTGTGTGATGTCCTAGTTGTGCAAGCAGCCTGGGCTACACCGAATCCTTCCCACGCCAGCGCCGAAGTTGTGCCTGAATTCTATTATGGGACCGTCACTCCGACATATCGTCTAGCCGCCGTCTTAGACATTGAGAACATATGCAAGCCACAATCGTCGAAAGCCCCGTCTTCACCGGAACCCATGGCCTGGCTGACATCTCCGACAATGAGGAACGAACGCCTTGGTATCGGCCATTCCCCGAGAATGGATTTACAAACCTAGCGTGGTGAACTTTGTGTCAAAAGTGGGCATCCTGGGGTAATTGAACGTGCCAAAAGTGCCGAAACCGGATCTTGGTATGGACCCTCATCGTACGTTTTGCGAATCCACCCGATAACTCTAGTGTGGCTGCAAACGGGCTTCTTCTCCGTAGGTGGCAATATTTAGCACCGCGGCCGCAGTTCTACGCGGATGTGCGGCTGCAGATCAGTAACCTCCGTCTTGGTAGTCTTGTTAATACGCTTTCTCCGACTTCACTTCTTCTGGGCGATATGTTTCGGGAAGCAAAAGCCATGGCGTGGGAGAAGCAGGGTCCATGAGCGGGCGAACTGGCGGCGCATCAGGTCATACCATCATCATAGTAATTTAGGGCTCTGCAGGGGGACAACTGGCTAGTAGCAACTTTGTTGTCATTCTGTATTGTCCAATCTTCCTGGTCAACAACTTCAGTCGACCATTGCTGAGTGTAAACATGTATCAACTTTCATCAGCCGACAACATCTCAATACTAGCGGATGCGCTTTCGCCTTCGCCTTATGGGACAATCAATGTGATCAATTGTAGATGCACTAATTCCCGATCTAACAGTGTGACGGGACATCCCGTTTACAAGCTCATCACCTAGTGTACAGAACAAACGCACCAGTGCGAGTTGTAAGCGATTCTCATCAAAATTTCGTAACTGATGCTACATTACCGTAGACTTGTACACGTCAACAACATCTTACACAACCACGGCACTCTCCGCAAAAAGCCGTGAAGCAATGCCTGCCCCGACTCCCTACCGCTCCATCTTCACCTTCTTAGCCACACGCCCCGCCTCCAAGATTGCCTGACGACCCCTATTACACTTTGCGTTGTTGTTCGCAGCACTAAGCAGCGCCGACGGGTATCCCACAACCGCATGCAGCGTCTCATTAGCAAGGAGCGACTCACAACGACCCTTTGAGTACTCCAGCAATAATACAATATGCTGCATACGCTGCTGAAACGTCCAGGCCTGCGTCTTGTTTGTTTCGTCCCAGAACAACTTGTCAAAGGAATGTAAAACTTTGAGCCCGATACGATGCAGCTGCTCCGCCAGGTCGACAATGTCCCAGCAAACAATCTCCTTGGCTTCTTCGCTGTAGTAAGTCGATGGGCCTGTGACGGGGTGGTACCAGCGCTTTGTGAAAGCTACGCCTGGGCTGTCGAAGACGTCGATGGTGTTGCTCATGGCGGAGAGGAGTTGTATTACCCATGACCCGCGGTCTTGGTCTGTTGAGGGGATCGTTGGGTCGTTGGTGGGACAGCGCCAGGCGGGTGAAGGGTGAGCGGCTATGGCTTCTTCGAGCGAGTCGAAGAGGAAGCCTTCTGCTCGGCCTGCCTCAGGAGATGATATCATGTTTCCTTGTGACTGCATCTGCGCTTGCTGAACCGGACAGTGTGTCTCGTATGGTTCAAAGTCAAATGATGGCGCCCACATCTCGACTGAGGCATGTGTCTGCTGAGGCTTCTGCGCTGTAGGGTTGGGTAAGTTGCATGTAGCCTCTAGCGGTTGCATGTTTTGTGCGCACCAAGGCTTGTATACAACCGCTTGTCGTACATTTGACATAGGATCAAATGCTTGCGGGACGTCCCATTGTCCAGTTTGCTCTACCGGACGGTGCGCTGGTATGTGGGCTCCTGAGATAGTAGATTCGTTCGGAATTATCTGAGCCTGCAAATGTCCTCCGTTATTGTAATACGCACCGGAGCCTGGATAGTTGGTTTGACCCAGATCGAACGACTGTATATCGCCCTTGTCGCCCACAGCAGCATATTTGAATGACTGAAGCTCGGAAGGAACACCTTCGTATGAAGCATGGGCCTCGCTCAGAACTGACGCAAACGGCATGCCATTGATTGTGCCAATATTGGTTGTTTCTGGATCAAAATAATCAGAGTTGAAGTCGTGCTTGTTTAGAGCCGCAAGGAGAGCGGGATCGAAGTTCAAGCCAACTCCACCAAGAAGCCCACTGACTTGTTGAATATCTTCCTGCATAGTGGTAGTCTGATCAGATTGGTGGTTGCTGCAATACAGTATTGGTTGAGATTTAGTTCACGATTATGGATCTGAGGGAAACAGGAAGGGGGGATGGAATACAAACACAGTCACTGTAAAGTAGGCAGTGATAAACAAGGTACTATGTACTAGCAGTTCCTACAATCTCCATGTGATTTCATCATTGTGAGACAGCAGTGAAAGTAGATTGACAGGAGTCTGACTGGCTGTGTAGTCTAGAGATTGATCGAGAAGTTGCGATACAGATCCTTTGAGTGAGGTCTGATGGCTGTTCAGGAAGTATTAAGACCTTATCATCCGCAGTTTCTAGACTTTGAGGTGGATGAACACATGCTCAGAGACATTAAGAAGCGGGGAGAACCTCCCAGAGAAGGTCAAGGGAATGGATTCACTATATAAAGGAGGCTCATTGTGACCTAGCTACACTCAGTATTGAGGCCCACTCAGCCATGAGACATAGCTAGGCAGCGACGACGAGTTCGCCAAATTCATGTTCTAGTCTGGCACATACGGGAACAGCCCTTTTTAGATCCCTGTTTCTAATCCCTTTCCTAGAGGCTTCGAGACTCTGTAAGTAGACTATACTACAACGTAGAAGCTGCGAACTTTCACAACATCGAGCTGTACCGCACAGCCCCTGACCCATGGGCTGCATAAGATTCTCCCAATCTAGTATGATTCAGCAGTGAAACAACCAGGCAAATACAACTCGGGACTCACAACCAAAACACCACAAGTGAGACACCAGCCAGTTCTTGATATTCAATATGGAGTCATTCATACAACAGCTCATGCTATTCCAGCAGCAGCAACAACAACAGCCTGTGTCGCGACTAGTCGCACCCACACATTGGGCACCCCTTCCTGAACAGTTTCATCAGCCTTCCACTTCTCCAGCAGCTAGGCGTCTACATTTTACCAGCCGCGCCCACGCCCATCAGCTACAAGCTAGCAACCCCCCCAACACCGACTGGCTTTCCCCCCAGACAGACTGCACTTTCCCCACCCATCCTGCAGCCCACGCCCACTACCTCCGCCTCCTAACCAGCGCCTTCCTCTGCACACTCACCTGTCTCGACAAACGCACAGACACACCCTTCATCACGCACTGGACCCCCACACCCTTCAAACCCTCCCCCATCAGTCCCTCAAAAGTCGAACTTACATGTCGACGCCTCCTCTCCATCGCCATCGCTCTCCACACTTACGGCCCGTCGTCACTATGCATCTATGACGCCGGGCGAATGCAAAATGTGGTCAAGACGAATAAGATGACGTTTGCAGAGCGTATAGGCCAGCTTTGTGAGTTACTAAGGCTGAGCAAAGCAAGGTGTGTGACGTTGATGAAGGGGGAAGGTTTGCATATGTGTGTTGCGGCGCCGGGTATTTTGGTCAAGCGTACGCGTATGAATCATACGCAGAATGAACGGAGGCAGAAGGCGCTGGTACGGGGAAGGAAGCGGACGGTGGGGGAGATGGAGGTGGAGGATGAGTAGGGGTTGGTGAAGGGTTTTTGTTAGTGTGATGCTGAGGTGCCTCAGTGTTTGAGACATGATTTTTTACGTCTGAATTTAGTGTCTTCATTCAATCATAGAGTTCTTCCATATCGCTGATTTTCTGTTCTCATGTGATGTCGCCATAGCCGGTGAAACAGGCCGCGAAAAGCTTTCATTCTTCTTGTTATGTTGGAGTAGTCTTGTAGCCTAAAATACGTAGCTATCTTTTGAAAAGAAGTCGCTGGATGCGTTAGTCGCACTTCATCTTTGAGCTACGCGCGCCGAAGGAAGTTGGCTCTTGCCAACTACTATCGGTCCCACATGACGCGTGCCTGCGCTGCGTAGCGCTGGATGTATATTGGGTCATTATATTCTCACACATCTCTTCATCCAAATCTCTTGCCATAGCCCTTCACAACGCCGTCCAGTATGTTACGCATCCTCTTGCAACCCTCAATGCCCACGGCCAACATGCTTTCTAACCTTTCCATCCTTACTCTACTCTCCATCAGACACACAGCTACTTTATCGCTCTCTCCGAGCGTGCCGACGGTCAAGAAAGGAAGCTCGAGCTCCTCTTGGTTGTTGAGGTCTAGTAGCGGATCATCGGCGGACGCGTTGTCGGCAGCAGAGGCAGATGCAGAAGAAGCAGCGGTACAGGCGACAAGGTAGTCGGTCATGGGTATGCCAGCATCAATAAGCGCAAGCGTCGAGGCGTTGATGCACGCCGCCAGTAACGACCCATCCTGCGAGACAATGTGAATGTTGAGAGTAATTGTTGAGTGCGGGTAAAGATGCAGTAATAGCACGCCCTCGAACGCCGATCGTATGCAATGCTCCATTTCGCTTGTCCGCTTATCGCTCTTGCGCTTCCGTCGCTCTACCCCACTGAAGCCGGCGAAATTGATCTCTACTTCGACTTTGGCTTGCTTGTCCGCGCCGCCTCGCTGTCCGGATTGGCGGCCTTCATGGGGTCCCGTGACGGATACGAGGATCTTGGTGTTGCCCTGTTCGAGGTAGGAAGATCCATCTGCAGCGGCTTGGGTCGAGATTTGGGCGTGAATCCTGCGCAGTTCGTTCCATCGTCGGCCGTCGAGGCGCAAGAGGGCCAATGAGTAGGTGCTGGTGTCGAGAGGCATTGTGATGATGTGTTGCTGTGTGATGCGTGACTAATACGACTGCAAACAAAAGGCACAGTTACGTTTGTTGGAAATGTGGAAGGCGCTGCTCGGAAATCTTCGCGATGCGCGTTGCTGGTAGCTCTATTGCTTCATGATTATTTTGGCGAAAGCTGCAGATCCCGAGGCCCCGCTTTCACGTGAGAGCGCGTTAGCGTGTTGTTGCGTGTGTCGCCTTTGTCGGCCATCTCTCCGTTGTCCATCCCTGAGCACATCAATCATGTCGTCTCGGCGCGACATTTCAAAAAACTACGAAAAAGCATTGCGCGTGTTTGCTGACAGTAATGAAGCACTGAGTGACACAGATGACGAAGATGACGGTCTCGACATCATTGAGTCGTCGCGCAAAGGTTTACATCTCTCACAGTATATTGACGGTCAGTCGATACTGCCCTCACCTCGTTCAGGGTGCCAACAAGCTCTAGTTTTGACCCAGACGCAAAGTCAGCCGAAAGGCGTTGAAGTGCAACCGAACACAGACGAAGTAGACGATGACATTACCGAAGACGAGATTGTCGATGACGGCGGCGTAGAGTCGGAGTGGTCTGATGAAGACACAAGAGCCGTCTACCAAAACTGGAAAGAGCGGAAAACCCTCAAGCGCAAGCGCGCCGCCGCTGAGACCAACAGGATTCGCGCTGAGAAAAAGTCAAAGGTCAAAGCAGCTGTGAGCGTCGTCGGCCGTAAACCTCGGCCCAAGAGCCAGCATGGTCAAGGTCCCATAGGATTCAGCACCGATTCGGTAGCTGGAGACAAGAACACTACCCCAGCTTACTTAGATGACCCCATTCCTGACTATGTCCTATCGCGTCAACAGTCTCTCAAGAAATTACACGAGGCTGGCTTGCGATATCCTCCCAGCTATGAAGATGTCGACTTCTCGGATTCAGAAACGCAAGAGAAGCCCAAGCTCGACAAGGCCATCATTCCACAGCGAGAGAAGAAGAATATCAAGCTTCGTGAATCTCATGGTGTGATACCTGCGCCAATTGCTCAATGGCTGCGTGACTACCAAGTTGAGGGCGTTCAATTTCTTCATGAAAGGTTTGTCAAACAAACAGGTGCTATACTGGGCGACGACATGGGTCTGGGAAAAACCATTCAGGTCATCGCCTTTCTTACAGCAGCTTTTGGTAAGACTGGAACTGAGCGCGATGCAAAGTGTATGCGAAAGATTCGTCGCTTTGGCAAGAGCCGTTGGTATCCCCGAGTACTCATCGTCTGCCCTGGTACACTCATGCAGAACTGGGAAGACGAGCTATCAAAGTGGGGTTGGTGGGAGGTCTACAGATATCACGGCTCTAGTGCGGCGGACCGGAAGGGTGTCCTTGGTGCAGCAGCAAAGGGGATGCTGGAGATTATGATCACGACTTACACGACATATCGTAACCATGAGAGCGAGATCAACACCGTCGACTGGGATTGCGTCATTGCTGATGAGTGCCATCAAATCAAGAGTAAGAACGCAGAGATCACCAAAGCAATGAACAAGATCAATGCTCTTTGTCGTATCGGTCTTACAGGAACAGCCATTCAGAACAAGTACGAAGAGATCTGGAATCTTCTGAACTGGGCGCGACCGGGAGCTTACGGGTCTGCGCAAGAGTGGAAGCAAAAGATCAGTCTTCCACTCAAGTTGGGTCAGGCTCACGATGCCACCAACGCGCAGCTCGCCGACTCGAGAAGCAGAGCTCAGGACCTCGTTCATAAGATTCTGCCCAGTGTCTTCCTTCGGCGAATGAAAACACTGATTGCAGACCAACTGCCTAAAAAGAGCGATCGCGTCATCTTCTGCCAGCTCACTGAGACCCAGGCTGATGCGTACCGAACCTTCCTCGAGAGCGATAGGTGTGAGTGGATTCGCACTGCAAAAGAGCGATGTGACTGTAGATCTGGAAAAACCAGAGGGTACTGCTGTTACGTGGAATTACCCGAAGAGGGCGAGAAGTGGTCAAACTACATATTTCCCTGCATGGTCACATTCCAAAAGCTTGCAAACCATCTGGCCTTGATCGTTCCAATGTCCACCGAAAACCAAGAAAAGCAAGCCAAGGACTTACAGACTTTGCAGCTGGCGTGCCCAAGCACATTCAAAGATCTTTTTCAGATTCGCGATAATATCTTGGTTCAGTCCCAGCGCGAGTTTTGTGGAAAGTGGAAGGTGCTCAGGCGTTTACTTGATTTCTGGCATTCCAATGGCGATAAGGTACTCATCTTCTCACACTCGGTCCGCCTCCTAAGGCTTCTGCGAGGCTTGTTCGATGTTGATGGGACCAAGTACAACTTCTCATACCTCGACGGCAGCATGAAGTACGAAGATCGTTCGCAGGCTGTTGCAGACTTCAATGCGGACCCTAATCAGTTCGTGTTTCTTATCAGCACTAAAGCGGGCGGTGTTGGTCTGAACATCACTTCTGCCAACAAGGTCGTCGTTATGGACCCGCATTGGAACCCAGCATATGATCTCCAAGCACAGGACCGTGCGTATCGTATTGGTCAGACGCGCAACGTGGAGGTATTCCGTTTGGTTTCAAGTGGTACAATTGAAGAGGTTGTATATGCTCGCCAGATCTACAAGCAACAGCAAGCCAACATAGGCTACAATGCCTCAGAAGAGCGTCGTTACTTCCGTGGCGTCATGGATCAATCCACCAAAAAGGGCGAATTGTTTGGCCTAGAGAACCTCTTCACTTTCCAGGAGAACAGTGTACTACTCCGCGACATCATGCATAAGACCAATGTTGCCGAATCGAAAGCCGGCGTCAACGCTTACGACTTCCACGTAGACGAGTCTCAGTTTGATTCAGAGGATGAGGACATCTTGTCTAACAAAAACCTCGGTACCGAAGATGATGCCAACATCGCAAGTATCAAGAAGTTCGCCGATTCTTTCCTCTCCAAGTCTGGCGCTGCCAGCAAAGGAAAGAAGGTGACGAAACGTGGCGGACCCGATCCAGTCAACGCCATCCTTGCGAAAGCTGGTGTGCAATACACTCACGAAAATTCCGAAGTCATTGGCCGTAGTGAGATAGAGGCTCGTTTGGGCAAACAGGCTATGGAATTGCGCAACGATGTCGATCTCGCAACTAAACGCGTGTTCCAGGGTTCGCAATCACAATCTCAACACCAATCCAACCAGCAAAACATAGAGGAAGAGTTCAGCGCTGAGGACGATGGTGATGCGCATGTTCCTGGCAGTGCTACTAAAGGCGAATTCAAGATCAATTACCGCTACAGGCCTAATGAGCGCATCCGAAAGCGACAACTTTGTAGTATGGCGGAGAGCATGGGATTTGATGATCCTGTGAAATTTGCGCTACTGGTGGAGAGCAGCACTCAAGCCGAAAGAAGAACGATGCTTGAACGCTTCTATCGTGGGCGGAGGAGACAGATGATGCGTGAATTCGACAGCTCGAAGTGAAGCGTAGCTTATGTATATATTATGATCCTAGATATCCCGAGTTTTTTCTGAAGAATTTGGTTGTAAGACGTTGCATCGCTCATTCCTCATTGTGTGACACGACAGCCGACCAGCCCCACTTAGCTTATCTCACATGGTACCGGTTGCATGCCGTAGAGAACACTAACACCACGACGAGGACTAGATGTCCTTAGACACACACACACTTTACAGGTGGTCCCGACTGTGCTTCATACCACAGCTGAGCGAAGCAGCCGTACTAGTGGGGACATGCATCGAAATGGCCTCTTTCCTAGTTGTCCTCTTGATTAGCGCACTCATAATCGCATCATTTCATCACTACGTCTTACATCCCCTACTATTCGGCCGTTTGCGGTTTGAGCGCACTAGTTTCTATGCCATGTTTGACGTGTATGGCAAGAGTAACATGTTTACGTTTTCAAGCGGCGCAAAGCATGTGATGAGGAAGTGATTGCTCTCGCGCTCCTACTCCAAGAGCAGTCTACTAAATTATTACAATGCTTAAGTCATTACGCCCGAGAAGATCCGGATCATTTGGAGCTAATGAGTAGGACGAAAAACGACAAAAAGGGACTAAGAATCTTCACTGCTCTTCATTACTATGCTATCGACGTTATAACAACATTATTGTATGGAATACCCGAGTTTGGAGCCACTACAGCGGAGCCACTACAGCTCTACGCGGGACTTCGGGTCATCTTGCCTTGTTGAACGACATCATTCATCCCACCCGCCGTCGATTGTCTTGGTTTGCAGTTCATTTGCCGTCACTCACAGCATGGCTATACGCTCGAACTGGGATCATCGGGGACATTGTACAGCCCATCTTACCAATCGCGAAACCAGCGACCTATACCGGAATTCGCGCACACGCACTACGAGCGATGCCGTCTTATAGAGATGCCGACCATACATCACGTGCGAAAGCAGGAAAATCCGGCATTGTCGAACTACGTGAAGCAGCTCGGAAACACGATATACCAATCGATGACTTGGATGTTGCGAGCGAGTGCGCCGACCATCTTCTTGCGGGTATCGACACAACGAGTGATACTCTGATGTTCATTATCTGGTGTCTCTCTCTTCCGCACAACGCACATATACAGTAGCGGCTTGTCGAAAAATGCCCATCGATACCCGAACAGGATCTCTCAGGCGCCGCGGTGAGTCTTAAAACTGCGGATGGAATGCCATATCTCAACACGGTCATCAAAGAGGCGCTCCGTCTCTTTGCACCTCTGTCAGCTTCAGAGCCAAGATCGAGCCCTGTCGACACAGTCATCGATGACTATAACATTCCACGAGGAACTGTCTGTAGTATGGCACCCTACTCGCTACATCGGAATGGAAGCGTCTTTCCTGAGCCACTGAAGTGGAAACCAGAGCGATGGCTGGGTGGCGGAAAGGACAAGGCAGAGATGGAAAAGTGGTTCTGGGCGTTTTCGAGTGGTGCGCGTATGTGCATCGGAGTCCAGTAAGTGTATCTGAAGTAGGTTATACCTCCGGTGTACCATTACTAGTGTACTAGTCTGGCCACAGCGGAGATGGCTTTAGTGCCTTCGCTGTATCGGTTGTACGGATCCAGGATTCGTCCGGGCAGTGCGTATAGCGCCAGGAAGAACTTCGAGGTTTGATGTCTTCACCGACGAGAGTTTCCCGGAGATGAGAGTATGTGTATAACTCGTGGGTATTCTGTCATGTCTAATGTACAACCAGGAACACACTTGCTGGATCAAATTTGTCCCCCACAAATATCCCGAGACCTGTTAATGTCGTAACGGCTTCACTACTGGTGCTAAGACAGGATATTCCGAGTCATGATGGGGCCGGAATGTGGGGTGCCATTGCCAACGGGGTAGACCTAGTAGTAAGTAGTAATAGTAGCCGGGATGTGGGGTGTTAGTATCAACACGTCCGTCCGAAATCTTTGCCGTTATTTTGCCCGTCACATGGCAAAAGCGCCACGGGCTAGGAAGAGGGTCCGTCAAATCGAATGTTATATGTCATGAGGTTTATAGCGGGGTTGCCGAACCAATTAGATATCTGCCGGACAAACCCCGGGGGTCTAGCGTTGACAGCCTTGCCCCGAACCACGTTTCCCCACACTGTACTCCACGCGCTACCACCTTGGCAAAGCCGCTGCTTCCAATCTCGGCACGATGCCGAGCGTAGGTGAAATGGTTGTCGGGTGTGTACCCAAGTCCATGGCTCTCCCGAAGAATCCCCAAGTGGCCCAAGTGGGTAATAAACGGTAGAAGTTTCTTGGCTACGATGCACCTGATGGCGTAGCAACAAGATATGATGTGGCATGGAAACGTACAAATACTTGGGTCGGGACTGCATATGTTTGCTTGGTATCGACGATCATCGCTCTCCTTAGCGTGTCTAGATCCCTATTGCCCATCATGGTTGCTCAGCATCGAAGTCAGCGCAAGATGAACACCTTCACAACACTTCTCTTTGCGGCGACAGCAATGTCAACGGCTATCCGTATGCCAAACACAGCAGGAGCAAGATATCCCAGAATGACGTCACGGTCCACGGAAATGGACTCTGCACCGTATCGGGATGCCTCACTTCCCGTGGATGAGCGAGTGGATGACCTCGTCAAGCGGATGAACCTTGAGGAGAAGGCCGGGCAACTCTTCCATCAGATCATCAACCAAGGCACAAACGGTTCTCTCGCCAATGGCACCGATCTTTCCGTGAGCGGCAAGTTTATGACACACTTCAACTTGCACGGCCCGATTTCCGACGTACGGGCAACAGTCCAATGGTACAACAACTTGCAGCAGATGGCACTAGACACCCGGCTCGGCATACCAGTTACCATCTCATCGGATCCTCGACATGCCTTCACAAACGCCGTTGGCAGTCAAATCGCAGCAACCAAGTTCTCACAATGGCCTGAGAGCCTGGGTTTGGCAGCGATACGGGACGCCGATCTCATTCACACTTTCGCAGACATTGCTCGACAAGAATACAAAGCCGTCGGCATCCGATCAGCGCTGCACCCTCAGATTGACGTAGCCACTGAGCCCCGGTGGTCCAGGATAGGCGGCACCATGGGCGAGAACGCTACCTTGACTGCCGAGCTAGTCGTTGCATACCTCAATGGTTTCACTGGTCCTAATGGTTTCGGCAAGGACTCCATCACCACAGTTTCCAAGCATTTCCCTGGCAGTGGCCCCGTAGAAGGTGGCGAAGACAGCCATTTTGTATACGGCAAGAACGCCACATACCCTGGTAATAACATGGAGCACCATCTTATTCCCTTCAGAGCTGCCATCAAGGCGGGAACAAGACAGATCATGCCCTACTACTCGCGCCCCATGGGCACAAAGTACGAAGAAGTCGCTGCAGGCATGAACAAGGGTATCGTCACGGACCTACTTCGCGGAGAGCTTGGATTCGATGGCATTGTAGTCAGCGACTGGGGCCTCATCACCGATGGCAACATCGCAGGTCAAGACATGCCAGCTCGTGCCTGGAGCGCCGAGAACCTCACCGAGCTGGAGCGCGCGGAAAAGATTCTAAACGCAGGCACTGACCAGATGGGTGGTGAAGAGCGAACAGACTTGATCCTGGAGTTGGTAGAGAAGGGCATTGTGAGTGAAGAACGCATCGACGGATCGCTCCGTCGTTTGCTCCGCGAAAAGTTCATCCTCGGTCTCTTCGACAACCCATTCCTTGACGCCGAAGAAGCTGAAGCGTCGGTTGGTCGAGAAGAGTGGTTGGCCGTTGGATACGAAGCCCAACGCCGATCCTTCACCCTCCTCACCAACAAAGACAACACCCTCCCACTGGACGCTTCCGACTGCAAGAAGGCAAAGTTCTATGTCGAAGGTGTGAACAGCACTTTCTTGGAAGCACGAGACCTACAAGTCGTAGCCACTCCAGAAGAAGCAGACTACGCCTTCCTGCGCCTCGCTGCCCCCTATGAGCCTCGCCCAGGTGGGTTTGAGGCAAACTACCACGCTGGCTCTCTTGAGTATAATGCTACCGAGAAGGCGCGTCAAGCTGCCATCTACGCTGCTGTACCTACCATTGTAGACATGTACCTTGACCGCCCCGGCGCTTTCCCCGAAATTGTGGAGAACGCAAAGGCACTTATGGTCAACTTTGGAGCTAGCCCTGATGCTTTCCTCGACGTTATGTTTGGTGTTGATGGGAAGGGGCCTGAAGGTATGCTGCCATTTGACTTGCCAAGGAGCGATGAGGCTGTTGCATCCAATAAGGAGGATGTGCCGTTCGATACTGTGGACCCAGTGTTCAGGTTTGGCCACGGGCTGAGGTACGAGAGTTGTTAGTAGTTATGTGATATGACCAATTATGTAATTCAAATTCAAAAATTATACATTCCACAAAGAGCGCCATTTTTGACAAATCTCCTATGTTGGGCCCTAGTTTTTACACCATTTCAATGATTCGTTGTTTCACTCTACATTGAGAGAAAATTGGTGCATGACAGCGCCTCTTTGGCTTAGTAGTCGAAGCCACTCGTGATTCGTGAGCTTAATGATCCATCGTGCGTCCGGTTCTGGTGGTTCTTAGATGACATGCATCAAGCCATGCTTAGTCAACCCTCAAAAGTACGCCTGCTGCTAAACTAGGGACATCCATGGCAAGTTTGGTGTGGAGCTTTCGATCGATTTCCACTGTAGTATTGCGTGCTTCCGTCGTATATTAAACCTTCGTCCTCGTCGATGTTAGATTATATCTAAAGCAACCCACCATTCTTACGCAAGATCTGAAGATCAAAAATGCAGCTCCAAACATTTGTCTTCTTTATCATCCCAGCTGTGCTAGCTGCGCCTCAGGTGACTACTGCCCCGGAACAACCTACCAGGACAACCGCTTATGGTACATGGTAAGTATGACGTATCTCTATTGCCCAGATTTCCTGCTAACAGCCTCGCTTCTTCTTAGCCACACTAGCACTAATGCCGGAGGGGGGCCTGGCGTCGGCTGGTGCACAGTCACATCACCAACAAGTGTACCGACTTTCCTTTCCCCTGTAATCTGTAGCAGTGGGGGAATTGCAATTCCACCTAGAAACTGCTCTTTCGAGGGTTCAGTAAGTCAGCTCTCTGTCTTCAAGATGCCCACGTGAAATGGAGTCATCAGGCTGAGCGGAAAGAATGTACTGACGTGTAAATAGCCGTGTAGTTATGTTCCGGGGCTCATATTCGGGCGTGTGACGTGCTAAGTTGGTGGTATGGACGTAGACTTTGTTAGGGCGTGAAGTATTAGTAGTTTGACACTACCCTAGGTGCACTGAAATCTTGAATCTGTGTCTTTTACTGAAAATTTATTGTACAAATGCGAACATGTAAAGACACGATGCGAGTAAAGATTAGAAGGCTAGACGCTCACATATTGAAATCAATCGAGGGCACGGAAATCTCATCTTTCAACTCCAGTCACTCCCCGTCGACCACAGCCTTGTTTCATGCCACCATAGTCTCAAACTCGACACTTTTCCGCGCCTTGAGAAGATTGGAAATCTCAAAAATGAACCGATCTGCACGTGCTCCTGTAAAGCCGAATGTATAGAAATCATCTGCCCCCTTTAGCTGCCACCAGAGATGGTGACCGATTGAACGGGGGACGTTCACCACCCATACGCTTGCGTATTTCAACTTTGGCATCCCGTGAAGGGTACCCACCAATCCATCAATAAGTCCAACTTGGAGAGGTTCACCACAGACAAGAAAAGCTGCCAGAGCAATCCGATTTGAGTCCGAATTGTTGAATATCTCCCACAATGGTATGCTCAGGCTCAGAAACGCTAGTTTCTTGCACTCAGCCAGCAATTCCAGACATTTTTCTGCCTGAGCATTTGCCCCGTTTCCAGGATGCCGGACCGGGTATGGTGGAAAAATAGTCAAGCTGTGGAGACTAGTCCTTCCATGTGGACCGATGCCGTTAAGAAAGTATATCATATTTTCCCAACAGGGAGAAGGAATGGTGAGCTTTACCTTGATGTTAGCCCAGAAGTATGTTTGTATCTCTTGCTGAATTTGCTTGTTTAGTCTTGACAGGACGCTCACAGCTGACAGTGTACAAGTCACCCTGGGTAGTCTCAATGTGGTGGTTCGAATCGCCTTTTCCTTTATCTCAAACCCCCAGTATCCGGCGAGAGCGTAGTCATCTAGTGGAAATACACTCCCCGGGGGTGCTTTCCTTGGAGGGCCATAGACAGCGAGTCCATAGATCCTGTTTCGGAGCTCGCCTGGACGACTGAGAAAGGAGACTCGAGATGGGGCACCCTCCTTGCTCTCAAGCATCTGGTCTGGTGGCTCACGAAGGATTCACTTGATTTTTTGGGCGTGCGCTGCTGCTTCTTTGCTCTGCTGCTGAAGGACGTGGACCTCGAGCTAGCGAATTATCATGTTTCTCGGCGTTCCCATGGAAGATTATATACCACACAAGCGTTTGCCTGCGCTACCAATTGTTTATACTGGGAGGCAATGTCAAGCAGAGCACCGGTAAGCTCATTGCCAGGGCTACTAATTATCCATCGTGAGGCAACATCAAGCTGAGCACCTGCAAGCTCATTCCCAGAGTTGCTGATTGTCTATCGTAAGGCAGTGTCAAGCAGTGCATCGACAAACTCCTTGCTGAACACTAAAATTGAATATATAAGAAGTGAAAGAAGCGCGCAGTGAGTGTGCATTGTGCGAGCCCTGGTGGCAACGTCATAGTCCTGTCAGATTTACCTACATCGTGACCACCAGAGGGGGTGCAAACAATCAAAACAATCACGTCATGGTAGCCTACCGCGTGACAAGCACAGACCACAACCAAAATACCGCACCCTCTCTACCTATATAAATCTACCAAGTCCCCTCCGTTCCTTCTTTCTTTCCTTTCCTCCGTCACCTTGACAAGAACCTCTCGACAACCCACAAATGAGAAGTGATAGTGTGAATCATACCATAAACGCCAAAACCATAAACCGCTCATCAAATCGTGGGTAAAGGAAAGTGCATTCTAAAACATAATCCGTTAATCCGTAACATTCCCAAGTCATAACCACACAAGTGTCGTCTCACATGCCTCAACGTCTTCCGAAGCCATTCGCCATCTGCTTCTGGACATACTTGGCACCCTCCTTCTTGATGATAGGGAGAGCGTAGTCCTTGAACATGCCCATAGCCTGCCTCTGCCACTCAGGCTGACCAGGTTTTCCAGGCTTGCCCGCGTCTCTACCGCTCTTGCGACGATCGCCATGACGGTCGTCATCATCATAACGGCTGCGCCTGTCGCGACCACCTCCATCATCGTAGCGAGAGTCACGACGAGGTTTGCTGTTGAACATGTCGTCGTAGCGGTCGTCGTAACGATCATCGCGATGTCTGCGCTCTCGGTCACCGCGAGGCTTGTCACGGCGATCGCGCTCGTCGTAGTATGGGTCTTTGTCTCTGCGTCGTCGGTCGGATTTGTAGCCTTCTGACTTGTAGCCATCGCGGGCTGGACGCACATCTTCTTTAGGTCGACGGGGCGGGTAGTGCTCGTCGTACGAGTCGTATGTGTCCTCGCGGACTGGACGGGGTCGTTCTTGGCGGTGTCGTCGTCGTGGTGGGGGTGGGGAGTCGGACTCGTCTGAGGAGTAGGAAGGCTCTCTGCGGGGACGACGGGGGCGAGCATCGCGTGGGGGTCCTATCTGGGCATTAGCTATATAGTCATGGTGTCTGGAAGTTTGTTGACTCGCCTCTTGACGACGGTGGTGCGGCTGATGGCGGTGGACCAGACGGTGGACCAGTCGGTGCGCCAGTTGGAGGGCCGGTGGGATACGGCGGCGGCGCATCGTCTTCGCGTCTGTCTTTACGAGGGCGTCTATGGTCTACGCGGCGATTGTCGCGATATTCGCGGTAGTCTCGCTGGTGGTCTATACCAGGCGACCATTTCGGCTTTCCGTTTTCGTAATTCTCAAAGTGGTAAGTGGGATCTGCTGTGACTGATTAGTATTGATATCAACCTTTACGTCTATCAATCATGGCTTCATACGTTGCTGCCCCATAGGCGGGGGTGGAGGCGGGGACGGCATTCTATCTCGTCGGCCCATGTTATGTTGTGGTTTTGGTGTTGTAGTGTTGCTTTTTCAAGTGTTCGCAGGTCGCAGGTCGTGGTGTGTCATGGATGGCAGGCGGCGAACATCTGACACTTAAACACATTGGTCTCGGCAGGGCTGCAGCTTTCTCAGCCCGTCGCAGTCTCACAAGACACCATGTCGTCATCTGCCTCGATCTCTCGACTTTTGCGGGGCTACCGACGCCTTTGGAAGCTTCGCGACGGCGTGGCATGGCTCAACTGGGCTCAAACTGGGCTATGCCATGTGCGCTGTGGTCATTGTGCATGTCTCTAGTCGCATCGCATACGAGGGCCCACAGCCCCCCATACTCTGCAAGCCCATCGCCGGTTGTGACGCGCCCGGTGGGAATAAGACCGTTCCCCCCGCAGAGTCGCATCGTAGTTGACGATGATCAGGGTCTCCCGGAGAATAGTTCGTGTACGTGGTCTCCAATATGTGGTGTGCCTGAGCCCAATCACCCCAGTCCGCGGCTACATCGCTTGCCCAACCTCCAACCCCCCAACCCCGTCACGAGGAGAGCGGTGAACACCGATACCCCATCTGCCTACTGACTCGGTCGGCCCTATGATGCTTACCTCGTACTGAACCATTCGCACCTTTCAACCAGCCTGTCATGACAGGGGAAATGTCGTGTCAGGTTAGGTCACGTGTCTGTCAGACTACTTTGGGTTACACCCGCAAAGTCTCCTGTTCCATGCCTCCTGACGTCACGACGTCTTTCCGTGCTTGTTGCGCAAGCGTCACACTCACATCCTCACCGACTGAGTATCCGCATCTCGATAATGTTTCCTCTTTCTTGTGACGATTTCCTATTGGATATTTCCGTCACCCCATGGACAGTCTTCCAAGCTCTCTTCCTGTAGAGAGGAATCACACGAGAGAATCACCCTGGCACAACCGGGCCGATACAAATACACATCACATCCTGAGAAGTTACGGTAAGATCAGGCTCACATTAGGATACTAGATTATGCCCAAAACTTTCACGTCTATGAGTGCCCGCCTTTTCCACCAGCACCCGTGCAGTTGACCTGCTTCTCAATGCCCCCAACATTCGAGCAAGTGAACTGATTCGTGCCACTTGGGCTCGTGACATTCACATTCTGAATGTTAATGTTTGAGCACACAGACGGACTAGAGCACACAACATAGCCAACGAGCGGGTCGTACTTCTTGCTGGTAGTACCCTTGAAGTTCTTGATAGTGACGTCGGAGATGGTTAGGTTCGAAGGGAACTATCATACTTTTAGCGTCGCGATTCAGATGGACAATTGCATAGTAAGCTTACCTGATTGCAAAGAGTGAGGTTCTTCTGCCCGTAGCACTGGGTGATTTCAACGGCATAGTCCACATTCTTGATAACCATGCCGTCATAGGTAATGTTTCTGACTGCACCGCCGCCACCTCCGCCCTGGAGATCGCCGGAGAGAGCGGAGGAAGCGCCGGGCCAAACCTTAATACGTGCACCATCTGAAGCATCGGACATGCTGATGTTGTAGACATAGATGTTCTCAACGAGGTCGATCTCGCCGGGGTACTGGCCCAAACTACCGACACTGATGCCGTGACTACCGTTACAGATCAGGTTTTGTACAATGATGTTGGTGCTGTTCGGCTTGAAAGAAACGCAGTCATCGCCGTTGTTAATGTGTGAGTTCTGAATGACAACACTGTCTGAGCGATATGTGTCCCAGCCATCGGTGTTCTTAGCAGGGTTCTTGCTCGTGCTGTCTCCGAAGATGTCGATGTTGGAAAACACAACGTTGCTGGAATTGGCAACGAATGTGTACCATTGGGGGCTGTATCGAAAGTTCAGATCCGAGATCTTGGTATTCTCCGCGCCGATGAGACCGAAAAGAATGGGTCGCAGGATGTAGATATCCTTGGCGTATAGATCGTACCAGGCTTGGCCGTTACCGTCTAGTGTGCCTCCTCCGTAGACATTGATGTCTTGGCCGCCGAGCTGGAAGAAAGTAGTGGCATTTTGGTAAATCTGCTTGAACGAATTGGCTTGCCAGTAATCCGTGTCGTTGGTGAACTGAATAGTTCCCTGGATATCTATAACCGTGTTAGAATTGCCAATGCGATATGAATTTATCATCATACCAAGATCAATATTGTTGAGGAAGGTGAGGTCCAAGGCAGTTCCAATGGTGAAATGCTGGTTCTTAGGGAAAACCACATGGCCACCATTGTTGCACTTCTTGATAGCCTTGAGGATGTTCTTGGAATCATCTTTGCCATTGCCCAGAGCTCGGACTTCACATGTCTTTGACCGCGGAGGCGACTCTGGGCATGTCTTTTTCGGGTGGTAAGGGTGTGCTGGATGACTTGGACGTTTGGACGCGACGACTTTCACATCCCGCGCATCAAGGGGTGTAGAAAAGGCTATCGACGCCTGCAGCAGAGCATATGCTAATACCTCGGTGACGCGCATCTTGGTAGACGATCAGGGGTCGATGCTTGCAAATAGATTTCGGGATAAAGGTCAACGTCTACAACATCGAGGTTTACCACCATACTATCGCCATAATATACCCCATTATACGACGCGTCTAGGCTTTCAAGCCACGTTCTCGGCGCGGAGTAATTTTCGACTTGTCCACGATGATCCTATGGTCCCTCACGGTCAGTGGCTAAATCGGCCCGCCTGATTACACTATTGCTGAAGAGGTGAGGCTTTCCCCACACTTCTGGGTACATGGCAGATGGGATTGGTGGACTAATTCATACCCCAGATTCCGCGCCTCTCGCCCCACGATGCCTCTAGTAAGGAACGAACTTGGTATTTGCCAGTACTCTTCTTCGTGCAGTAAACGGCTATATCGATGTGTTGCCTGTCAGATAGCCGAGGCCGGGAGCTTTTTTGACATCTGCTGCAATTGTAGCACTATAGAAGTCGACCAGCTCACCACGGAAATGCCAACAGACACGCGAGATGACACGGCGTGATATGAAAGGGGTAGATATGGTCACCCCGACGCTCGACCACCACGCAGACTGAGCGGTATAGCAATCTTTGCAGAGATTGTGTTCTCAGACCGAACGTGCGTTATATCCGAAATGGACTCAGATGATGCGAGATCTTTTCAACATCTTCCGCGGGCGCGTTGTCGATATAGTTTACCCAACGGCTGCACCCTCAAGTTGTTGGCGCGAACACAAACCATGACGCGCTTGCTCATGCATGGGTGTGGCCCCTGCCAAATTACCTAGCGTCACGTAGCGCGGGGAGCGACATACGGCTGATGACTGCTATCTGACTTTCCAGTATCAAGCAGACACGATTTAGTAGCTAGTAGCTATGGCCGGACGTTTTTTTTTTTGATCCAGAACGTAACTGTAATATGTTGTTCGTGGCTGTTGCAAGCGATGCAGTCATGGCCTCATCAAACTCATCGTCAGCCCTCAAACAATGTATGCAGACGGACATGTGCATGACTTCTGCACACGCGTTGGCCCAATAAACCTGCCCTGCATTTTGTCTTGTTGAGTGGTTGGCCGGTTGAAGAAGGAGACTAGATGCCACACTTCCCTTCGTTCTTTCCTACGCGTTGTCCATGTAAGCAGCGAACTTGGTACCGGCTCTGGTTCCATGGTACAGTTGGCCCAACGAGCCGTCCAAGATCAGTTCCTCTGGAAGATAGCAAGCAACTAAATCGAATCGACAACTTCGCGACAACAAGCACATTCACTTCTTCGACGTTAGCGTCTCCATTTTCGCTGTCTACTAGGTTGTCTTATGACATACACAGCGCTCAAGCACAATGTCGTCCAGCAAACTCAATATTCCGTACTTCCACGACGACAAGAAAGGCAATGCGATACCCTGCTCAATAAGCAGACCGGAACTAGCTACCCATAACAGTTGGCCATTGTCAACCTACAACAGTGCCTCTATGCAGCGCAGTTGGAACTTCACAAACCTGTCACCATCGTCTCCAGAACCACGTACCCGACGCTCTCGACTTCAATTACGGGACCGCCGGAGAGCCAAACGTACCCTACGTGCATCGAACAAGATATCCCCGACTGCCTCTACAGTGCACGAGCGTGTGACTTCTCTGGAAACCATCGGTCTCCAGCTCTCGTCTTTATCGCTCAAGGTATCGCCTACCTCCCAATCAGTGGAGCAGCGAAACGGTAATGCCACTTCTCCGAAAGCGCGATGCGGCCGAGAAGCGACGGTTCACGGTCAGCGTTCCTTACCGAGCACCCCATTTTTCCTGGGACCTGCCTCACTGGCGAACCCCGGCGAGGGTCTCGTGGGTTCTCAAATTAGAGATACGAGAAATTCTATGCAACTCAGCTTATTAGCCCGGGAGAAGATACCGCCCCTATGAGGATGTTGGATGCTGGATGTTAGTAAGCAATAAGCCTACAGGTTCGTTGCTTCGCACTAAACGAGCCAGGGTTCTCATGATTTGAGAGATGTACTGGTATTGATTTTATATCGTGGGTAAAAGCCACGTGCCAGAGGAATATGTTTCCATAACGGTGCCGTAGCTTGGTATTTTGATGGCTTTTTGTATTTCAAAAAGGTTGGCTTAATATTATGGATTATGGAAGGTGCAAAGATTTCGTCAGGAAACCGAAGCGCTGTCCATGAGAGGCTTTAATACAATGCAACAGCTTTAGATTTTGAGGTTTCCGACAGACTATACATTCGTCCCGCAATTAAAGTCAATAGTGATGAATCAAGTACTGACGTATGTACACAACAATCCCGGATACATTTCATTTTTACTTAAGAGGTACAGCCTTCCACCACATGGCCATAATTTCTCTCTATTTAGAGCCTATAGTCTCATAGTAACCACGGTTTTTTTATCGATCGATCAATCAATCAATCAGAAAGGTAAATTTCTAAAGGAAAATTTTCAACGTCAATTTAACTAAGGACTGGCGGACAATGCAAAATCATGGGAAATGTTTCCGCAATTTTATAAAGCCATTGCGGACTTGGGATTTAGAAAAAAGTAATATACAGAAGGGAGTTTTTTTTTAAGAAAAATAGAAGTACAGGACCATCGAGGACATGTATCATTTGTCACCGCGTTTAGTTTTTAGTGACAGGAAGAACCATCATAGGCATGGCAAGTAGTTTTGAAAATCAAGCTATGCTTTGTGAAGAAGGAGGGCCAGTTGTGAGGGTACAGAGGGGGTTTACATACTTGGCCACCGTACGAATGTATTCATGGCGCGGGGGGGTTTTTTTTGCTTTTCGAGAGAGTTGTCTCTGGCTATACATGCAGGGTGTATATACATCTTTTGAACGCATTTATCGCAGGTAAAATAGGTATCTGTTGAGAGTGTTGAGAGTATCTGAGTTCAGTCCAGGGTAGAAGGTGCTTGGGAGTCACATGATATGCTGGTGTGGCAGGCACTGCCCGGTGGGCAATAGCACCCACCACAACAGAGTGAGTCTGTGACACTCAACACGATAGAAAAAACAATACGTTACAGCCACCCCGCCTTGTTCCTCCTCCCACTCGGTTATCCATGGTAGTCATACTACTAGAGGGACCTTGTTCCAATAGTATCGATTTGATCTTTTGCGGTTCCCCGATATTTCTCAAACGGCGGAACAAACAGATCTATGTATTTTTGACTTTACCTAGATACTTCTCGTCAGAAAGTCGCCAAAGTGCACCAGATAATAATATCACGAATAAATCAAGTCTTATGTAAAGAAGTTGGCTTTTCTCATCGGGTGTTGGAATGCAGTTTGCGACAGCGACAGCGACAGTGTGCCAGACAAGCCTACAGTAGTGCCCGATGACGTATGTGGCCCCGCCAAATGTCGGTCTCAATACCAACCTCCTTATCTTTGCGCCCTTGAACCCGCCACTCATGGGCTTTATGACTGGACTTACTTTTTGTGTATAAACAGTCGATGAAATCCTTTATGAGTCTGAGGATCTGCCACCAGCTTACGCAAGCTATCGAGCGACCCCACCCATCGTGCAGTCGCGTCAAAAATCAAAAGCAACTTCTCAATGACCTTGCCTGTACATTACAAGCAGTAGTTGTCTAAACATAGAGACATGTCGCCTCAAAAGAATTGCTCACTGTTACTTGCATACCCTTTCTGCTGACTGCATGCTGTTCATGTTGGAATGATGCAAGCACCGGGGAATAGCTGCAGAAGGCACATTCCTGTGACATTCAATGACGAAACAGTTTTTCTATTGCTGTCATGGCCTCTCACACGCCCGTATCGCTTCGTCGCAGAATTTCCACATCATCAGTTTGTTCCGCATCAATCAATACAGAACCGAACAACCTCGCAATGTCCCAACATCAAAATCATAAAAGGGATACGGGTCGTATCTTAGACCAACAAACAGCCGCTACTTCTGGAAAACCGCGGTGCGCGCTACGTCCACGTATCAACCCTGCGGCTCCATCTTCCGTTCCAGATCTTTTGGAACTCCCTTCATCGGCTTGTCGATGTAGCTGTCGAAAATGTCCGCTTTGCACACTGTCACGATCACACGGCAAAGAGGATGATAATGAAAACTCAGATGACTTGCACATGACGCTATTGCCGCTTGCCAATCTTCGGGTCCACGAGACTGCCGGAAATGATTTTGGTAGATAAACACAGGAACTTGCAAAAAGCAAAGAAGTCGGCAAGTAAATTGGGCCCATGTAGGGATATTCGGGCGAAAAAGTGGAGGTTACGGCAGTATCGTCGAAAAAAGTCAGAAAGGGCTCAAGAGAAGAAGACGAACAGTGCTTAAGGTCGGGGCACGATCATGGAAAACCGCCAGAACAGGATCACAGCCTGATTGGTAGGATGAAGATGGGTACGAGTATGGGATAGAGAGGCAGGTGGAGTGATAGCCATAGGTATCGTACTACATGTCCATGCGAATGTACTTAATAACTCCGACATTCACCATCATGTCATGTTCCAGCATGTTGAGACAACGACAAGCTCATGAACAACCAACGAGCCAAGTCTGTACTGCCCGCTCTTGTATATGCCTTGGATAGATAGGTATCCCCATCCTCTAGTAACGTCATATTGCATACGGCGCGGCCCGGGATCTTGAATCAATTCTTGCAGTACTGCGAGTGACTCGGGCGCCGGACATGCTCCAGAAGAAGACATGCTGCACCGATTTGGACTGGGTTTGTGTGGTGGGGATACCCCATCCGCTCATGACACGCACAGGACAGAAAACTCGACCAATGACTAGGTGCTATAGTTCAGCCTGCATAGCATGTCCAAAAAGCGCATCCAGTTCGCTGGTAAGTTCAATTGCTACCGGCATCCAATAAATTGTAACACCGGTAATTACAACACTGATCCAGACAATGGTGGACTCAGCCTTGAGAGTGGTTGGACGACACTTCTGGGGAAGAACGCGCGACATGCAATCTAAGAAAGCACGTGCTGCGGGAGTACAGTAGACGTGCATGCAAGTGTCGGAAGTGCGACATGTCACAACGGGTGCCTAACAACATACGAGGCCGTTGCAAGCCCGCAAATTTGTGGAATGCAGCCGCACGTATCTGTAGCGTTCGCCGTTTTGCCATGCAAGTGGGAAATGAAACCTCGCTTGCACCGTTGGCAACGCGGTCGGAACAGGACGCACGAATCAGCTAGAGACGCTAAAGCAGCAAGCCATCCTCCAACCCCACTCCCCTTTCTCTTCCTGCTTCAAAGGATCTAGGATGTTTACTTACCGCTACGTTTACCCACCCCTTTGCGATGCAGTCGCAAGGCCATCCACATGGCACATGTCCAATATCTCTGAACTATCACATGGATCCCTGGGTGTGATGATGCTTGCAAGTGGGTGCACAGCGTGCATTTAGAAGCGCCACATTGCACCTTGGCTCTCTTGTCGGATTCATCGCAAGCTTGAGCCAATTCAATGTGGTGCGGCTCGTACCGTTGTTGCCGCCGTTAAAGAAGGGATTGGCGAAACCATGGTGTGGTGATCTCATGGTTTTCTTGACCGACTTTATTTCTTCTGGTTTTCTGCGACTTTGCTCAGACACATCCGTTCTGTTGCTTCTTACATGAGGAAGTACACCGTGATTTCCTCGCCTGCGAAATGCCTCTACTTCACTGGATAGCTCGATGCTTTTGTATGTCGCCTGCACCGGCGAGCAACAAAGAGAACAACAGCTCAAGGTACTTGTACTCCTAGTGAAACTTGTTGCACACAATACTTATTATAGTAGTCAAGTACCACCATCTACAGAGACCTTGCCATCTTGTCCGTATCCGTATCTGTACGATGAACCGGATTCCCCACCTAAATATGATTACGACGAAGATGAGCCGCTGCCCCAGTACCCCGGACCTTCGCATACCGAGCAACAGGCCTAGACCAATCTCCGGGAAGAAACCACCATCCTTCAGATTACCCATGGAAGCGACATACCGAGCGACTACCGACAATACTGAGCATCAAAGGAACCATTGAGTTTGAACGATTTTGGAGGAGAGACGCAGCCTGGAATATGGGACGAGTGGAGTACTCTGTGGCATCAATACATGGTCCATCCCACACTACATGTTGCTACACATTCCATTCGGACAGCGTGCTATCACGCGAGCAGATCCGATGACAAGGTTGACTACATATTTGAATCATCACGTCTTGTACTTGGAAGAACCACCACCGACATCAGGAAAATGGACTTCGAGAACTCGGGAATGTCCACAGTCATCGCGCCCTCGTGCAATTCGGAACACGAGTACCAACTGGAAGATAAAATGAACGCCCTCGTGCCTGCCGAGAGCTCTTCCTAGGATGGTCGAGTCTATTGGTCCCAGAGGACGAGAAGTTTGACTGGGCCTTCATTGAGACGTGACTGCAGCCCATGAGACGTCATTGCAGCCCACGAGACGTCACTGCAGCCCACGCACGAAGCGCATCCAGCTAAATCACCATAGCTACAACCTTATTCTCAGCTGGCAGTCTTCCTTAGAACATAGGAAAGTGTTGTAGGACGGGAGAATTGGACACGAAAGCAAGAAGCAGAGGAAAAGGAGTAGGAAAGCTACATGCGGAGTGTCCTGAAAGTAGCAAGGGTCTCAATTGCAGTCAGCGAGTTTGGAAAACGACTCTATGACAAATAATCCCTGCTATCTCATGTACATACTTGCTGTAGCACTACTGAGACAGAACGACGCTGCCTCTTTCTGATTAGCACAGACGTCAAGTAAAAGAGGTTCTGACAGCAATTGCGAACACCATAGCATTTGTGCGAGGAGACAAATTGACGTCTCTCTACATCGCTCTCAACCAATCTACTCGGCGCTTTCATCCTGGTGGTATAAGGTGAGTGTTTTGTTTTACCCCACATCCGCCGCACTTGCGCCTGATGTCCCCACTTATTGGTGAAGGGGACAAATCTTGTGAATCAAGAGGATGGCAGGAGCAAAGGAGAGTGTGCTGATTGGTGACGCAATGCGCGTGCGCACCAGTTCCCTCAGCAGATTTACTCATGCTGACCGCCTCCCAGCTTGGATGTAGCGCCATGTTCTGATCTCAGTCGACTGCAATTGTTGGGCTTGGCAAGTGAAGGTGAACCATGGATGAGCTGCACCTATTGTACAACGGAGATATGGATAAGTAAACCAATCATTGTGATGCCACTATAGGTACCTCCGACGCTGTCTCATTTCGTCCAGATTGCAGACAAGACAATTAATTCTTCTTCGAGTCAGAAACATACTGCAGTCCTACCGCCCTCGCTGCTTGTGCGCAAACTAAAAACACCCAACCAAAACCTCAGCACAACAGTTGCAGACATCGCAGCACAATGTCTTCGCAAGGACATATCTCTCCCGTGCAGGAAACAGCGACAGTTCCGGAAGCGCGCAAGACATCCTCCCCAAGCAGTGATTACCTGCGCAGATGCCTTGCATCGTGGGCAGAACCTATTTACACACCACCTGAATGCCGAACTATCAGCCACTGCAGTTGGGCCGGATTCACGGCAGTGTCTGCGCCAGCCTCAGCGAACGGCATGCTTAAGGCTTCCGACCTATGGAAGGATCGCGGTACAACACATGGCTACAATCCCCCGACAAGCGAGCGGTGCTATCTGGGAGTGAATCAGCCACCTCACGACTCCAAGTACGAGCACATGTTGAAAGCCAAGCAGCTACGCTGCCGACAGCGCAGTTCTGCAACGAGCTCGGCGACAGTGAGCTCGCAAGGTGAAGATGGGGCTAAACCTGAGCCGAAATCAGCGCCCATGGAATTCTACAAGCAAGCACCGAAGCGTGTATCAACCGCATCACGGCTCACGGCAGGCTTGGAGATGAGGACAGTGAAGCATGACAAGAAGACATATGCGGCGGTGATGGGCATGGATGCCATGGCATGCGACAACCTTCCCTCTGCTTTCGAGTCAGATGATGAGGAAGACTGAAGAGGGAGACATGTTCAGCACGAGTGAATATCAAACCACAAGGGCCCGGTGAGAGAAGGAATGGACCGACGCCTCGAGGGATTGAAGGTCAGCTTGGCATGGGTCTCTTCACACAAGGCTGGCATACTTAATGGCGTGGATCACACGCAAGTTGATGCCTCACATGATTGCAGATGGACTCTACATAATGGTAAAACGAGAAGAAGGAAGGAGCGGTTGCTAAGTAACATGGTCATGGAGGAAAGGGCGTCTGAGGTCTGGCGCAGGGGTCGTCTTCTCGCTTGTCGGGTGGTCCAAGCTCTTTGCATTCGATGACAGCATCGTTTGTAGCATCTTTTGGCGTGCATATATACAGCGCCCACCAACATCACAGCAATCAATTGCAATTCGGCCAAAATGGAACGAAATCTAATACAGTGCACGAGCTCCCTCAGCAGATGTCTGACCCAAATCACATGTCGAAGTGCACGAAAAGTCCGACCTGCAACATTTACGGCCCGACAACAGATACGCTGTGTACACGCCACATGCCCGACTCTTCTCCAGTCCAGACCACCCAAATCCCGAGACCGTGGTCCGAAGAGTAATGAGGATACGCAAACCGACTTCGGCGCCCTCGATGTCTTACGCAACACAGTCGCGCCAGCTACATCAATCGACGCCTGCACAAGCGATGGTTTCGCACTCAACAACCAGATGCGCATAAGCGGTAGCGGCATCCTCTTGGTAGGCGGCGAAGCATTCCGGTGGCGACCATGGCTACGAGAAGGAAGGAAAGAGGGAACCATTGCCGAAGGCGGTACAGGTGAGGATACCATGACCGGGAAGCTGTTGAACGCACGGGGACAATGGGAAGTACGCGAGGGAGCTTGGGGCGTGTTGGAGCTTGTATTTCCGAAGCCTGGTATGTCATGTTCCCAAGCGACGAGCGAGAATGAAGCTGACGATAGCCTGCGATAGATATTCTCATCATCGGTACGGGACCCCATACAACGCCGATTGCGCCTGCAGTACGGAAATATCTCAACGATTTGGGAATACGGCTTGAGATTCAGGATACAAGGAATGCGTCTGCTCAGTTCAATCTGCTTGCGACGGAGCGCGGCGTTGGACAGGTTGCGGCTGCCCTGATACCTATAGGATGGAGAGAAGGGCGGTGATGATGATGACATAAGAGGATAGACACTGCTGATAGCCGTTCAGCCTACGACGCCTTCGTATAGCACATGAAATGTGCTCGTGTCTGCAGGGTTGAACAGCCCGGCATCGAGACAGCAGAAGTGCTGGGTCTCCGGGTTATGGACACCATCACATCAGAGGTCTTTGTGATTGTTTCGGACTACGCGGTCTCATCGTCTCATCGTCTCTTGTTTCCCTGAGACATCGGTGAAGACTCATCAATGCGCATATTGAACTAAGTCAGCCCTCGGCTTCTGCGTATTGCGGCGCACTTTGCCTGCTATCCGGTACCGATAACCTTATCTCCGCCGCTCTTGAATGCACAGGGATGCTGTTGCCCCGCATATGCATGCCACGCCGCCTACACATAGGCATGCAGTCCTACCCATTATACTACTGTACAACTCGAACAAATTCTCTGTACTTGTGCCTTCATTACACTTTCGTGGTCTTTCGTCATTTTCGGAGAGTTCTTGTTCCCAGTGCGATTTGGTGGACAACCCACGTCCCGCGGTGTTCCGTACAAGAGAAAGAGGGGAAGTATCCACACAGAGGCTTGTCGAATTAACGGTGAACCCGCCTGCTCGGTATTCTGACAGCGCGTGATCGTAACAAGAGACGATATTTTGAAGGCGAGTACCACGTTGTACATTTCCCTAGGTTTCTTGCTCCTGTTTGCATAATCCTCCTACAACAACCTTTCTTGTCTGTTTTGTACCACCTGCCCACGACATGGCTTCCAATACGCATTCAACAAATGGACATGAAATCGACAGCTCAAAACCTACTATCTTACATTTGGGTGAAGATATCCGGTGGAATCACGAATTATACGAGGAATTAAAGAGGGAGTTCAATATTGTGAGGACATACTCAATGAACAGATCAGAGTTCAAGAAGGCCTTGGCGGAAAAGCAGTGGGGAGACTTTGTTGGGATGTACCGGCCGTTCTGGAATACAGGTGGAGAGATGGGTAACTGGAATGAAGAACTTATGTATGGTTCATTACCCCCATTATCACCCAATACCAATAAGTCTGACATCCCTTAGTTCTCTTCTCCCCTCTTCCTGCAAAATCTACGCTTCAGCTGGCGCAGGCTTCGATTGGGTTGATACTCGTGCCCTCGCTGCCCATGGAACCATATACTGCAACAGTGCCTCTGCATGCACCGAATCTGTCGCTGACACGGCCATCGTGCTTATTCTATCTTGCTACCGCGACATCACCTGGTCTTTCCTTGCAGCAAGATCTTGCGATCCCCAGGAATTCCGCAATGCCAACCAGAATATTGCGGCTGTGACACACAATCCGAATGGCAGTACGCTTGGCATTATCGGACTCGGGCGAATCGGTCTTCGAATCGCGCAAAAGGCGACAAGGGCATTCGAGATGAAGATTGCGTATTATGACGTTATCAGGATGGAGGAGAGAGAGAAAGAGGTGGGGGCTAGGTGGTGCGCTACACTGGGTGAACTTTTGTCTACTTCTGATTGTGTGCTTGTGGCTACACCGTTTGAAGGTGAGACACTGCTTTCGACGGAGCAGTTTGGGAAGTTCAAAAAGGGCGCGAGTCTTGTCAATATTGCGAGGGGGAAGCTGATTGACGAAAACGCGCTGGTTGAGGCCATGGACAAGGGCATTGTGGCTGCAGCGGGCTTGGATGTTCACGCGGATGAACCAAATGTGAATCCCAAGTTGGCCAAGAGAAGCAATGTCATGGTCTTGAGTCATACGGCGGGCGCGAGTGTAGAAAGTCATGTAGGGTTTGAGAGGTTGGGTATGGAGAACTTGCTGGGTTGGAAGAGGGAGGGTCGTAGAGGATGTGTCAGCGCAGTGAACTTGCAGTGGCTGAAGGAGTAGCCAAAGTCTTCTCATAGTGGGGTAGAAGAAATGCACAAGGTTAAGCTTTATATTATGAAACTCTACCAAAGAAACAGTGTGGGTATCTTAAACGTAACAAAATCACAGCTGGTACGGTCCTTAATAAGGGTCCGCCAAGTTCGTAAAACCAGATTTCAGATCACGTATACTGATATGGACCACAAGGTGAAGCTGTGGTTTCTTGTTTCCCTATTTGCACACAGCCTATCATCCCTGACTGTCGCTCGACTATTGCGTGCAACTGTCCGTGCTTCCGCGTTTGCCTCATACGCCACCCACTTCCATGTCGCGGTAGCAAACCACAGCTGCATTTCACCCCCACACTGTTTGGTTCTATTGTCCTATGCACCATTGGCAATTGGTTTGCTACAACGTAAGTGGGTTGTCCTAGCTTATACGTGCGCGGATTTATAGTCTTCAATCGGTTGGTTCCCAACATGTCAGCTATTCTTTCACTGCTCATTCACCTATTTGCTCAAAGTTACAAGACCATGTTTGACTATGGTATACGATGGGCATTTAGCCCGCGCCCGCCGATTCATGACGAAGAAGCTGTCACGGATACCACGCCACTTCTCCGAGCAGAAGGGTCCGACCGCACCGAGGCACCTGCATTTGCCGGCAAAGACGATACAGGCAGTCACCCCCGAACCGCGCACATTGATCGCACAGAAGCCGTCGCTGATTCAACGCCACCTGCAAAGACACCATCACATCAAACAACCTTGGCTGAGATAGACTTGCCAAGTATCCCTACTCTATCGCTTGCCAGAAATATACCTCACAAACGGTCTGTCTTTGAATCTTTCAGGGAAAGCAAGATGTTTCTCAATTGGCAGTTGTCGAATACAACATTCCCCAAAGCAGAAGACAGCATTCCCGATATGCGGGTGATATCAATACTTGCGCCCATCAAGAAGGACCTCAACAGGCTGAAGGCGCTGACGCCCAAGAGCCTACCGCCACCCAATCCACATGTACGAACACGGTGTTACGCCCAGAGTCTCAAGCATAGATTGCTACCGGTCGGCCAGTTCATTGTCGATATCTTGGATCAGGTTGCCGAGGACGAGCGAGGCGCCCTGGAATTAGGCTTGTGCCGCTATATCGCCATTAATTTCTGGCCTTTGCCCGCCAACGAATATACCCACTTGAAGATACACGAGATGTACCATAACGTTTTGTACTTGAGCAGAAAACCGGCAGCTACAAGCCCAATGTCCGAAACATCGGTTGGGAATCCCTCGGAAGAGCAGTTGTCCGACAAATGGGTTGGGAGTCTTTTGGAAGAGCAGTTGGCGCTACCCATAACCAGCTCGATACCCATAAATGACCGGCCAAGTCAAGATACAATCATGTCGGACCCGGAACCCAGCGAATAGAATAACTCGGGAGAGCAACCACTGGATTCCTCTGGCGACTGTCGGCGCACAGAAAATCCTCATAGCATGGCCGGTGGGGACATTCCGACATCATCAGCCGATATCTACAAACTCTCACTACTAGCTGATGTATGCGAAGACAGCCGATGCAACACCCTTCTGTCCATAAACGAACACTCAGAGCGAGATTACAGCCTTGCATCCATAAACAAATCCCTACCAAAAGCTACCGTTGCTCAACCACCATCTAATCGGCATAATACCCTTCCGCCCATAAACAAGAACCCAGAGGGAGATTATAGCCTTATATCCATAAGCAAAATTCTGGCAACGCCCAGCGTTAGTCGACCACCATCTTTGTCAAAGCGAAACTCCAGCCTGCCATCCATAAACGAACTCGTAACACCCACCGTTATGGGACCACCACCTCGACCAAACCGAAACTCTAGCCTCCCATCTATCGACAAACTCTTAACAACACCCACAGTCATGGGATCACTATCTCAATCAAACCGAACCCCCAGCCTTCCATCCATAAAGGAGATCCTAAGCGGTAGTCGACCACCATCTCCACCACACTTGAGCTACCCATCCATGAAAGAGCCCCCAGCAACACACACCGTCAGTCGCACACCCTCTCCGCCAGATCTAATGGACGAAGACCTGTACAACTCACTGATCGCCGAAGGGTTTGAGGTAGAAAGAGATATGAGGCATTACGGGGAGTTGATACCGACCAAGCCATACGTGAGCAGCAAGGAGATTGTAGATTCCATCCTCTCCGTACAAGATAGGCGAAGAGACACTGAGATGCTATCAAAGCTACCAAAACTTAAGCTCCGGTTTGAGCCCGATCCTCGGGAAAGTGACCCAGACTTGGATCCAGATGAGTCTTATTAGGTTGAATAATAAGGGCGTTCAAGAAAGACGGAGGGAGAGGTTAAGAAAAAGGTCCGACCATTGAGAAGTGGCATGCGGGGTTCGATCTATCTCTTGTGGGACTGGGATGCCTTATGTAGCACAGCCAAACCGGGTGCCTTACATGTTCTAGCCCAAAGATAGGACGAGCAGCGGACCAATTAACGTGAGTTGTTAGTTTACACTGCAGATGATTGGGACAAAGTTTCCTAGCCCATGTCCGCTGTTGAAGGTACTTAACCGAGATATGGATTTAAGAGTCTACTCCGAGTCCGACGCACACATACCGTAGGTATTATTAAGCTTACATTCCCTCACTACAAATTCATCAACAAACAGATAACAGAATCAACGCCTTCATTCTCACGCCCATCCAATTACAAAATCATGGCCCAAGTTCAAGGAACAACCTCACCCCGCTTCGCCAAAGTGCACTCCCTCTTTCAATCCTTCCTCGACTCCGGCAGCGAACTAGGCGCCTCCATCTGCGTCAACATCGACGGCACCGACGTGGTTGACCTCTGGGGCGGCTACGCCGACGCTGCGCGAAGCCAACGCTGGGAAAAAGACACGATAACATGCGTGTGGTCGTCGTCGAAAACCATCACCGCCCTGGCGACTCTCGTATGCATTGACCGCGGGCTCCTCGACCCCACTGAAAAGGTGGTGAAATACTGGCCCGAGTTCGGCGTCAATGGCAAGCAAAACGTAGAGGTGCGGCACTTGCTGAGTCATGCGGCGGGGCTTAGCGGGTGGCAGGAGGCTGTCACCGTAGAGGATATATGTAACCTGGAGAAGGCCACAAAGCTACTTGAGCAGCAGGCTCCGTGGTGGGAACCTGGTTCTGCGATGGGTTATCATGCCATGACCATGGGCCACCTGCTTGCCGAACTTGTCCGTCGCGTTACCGGTGTCCCATTTCAGGACTTTGTCTTAAAGGAACTGGCAGGTCCGCTCAACGCCGACTTTCGATATGGAGTCAAGAAAGAGGATTTGGGCCGTGTGGCACAGATTATTCCTCCCCCGCCGCTAAAGCCGGAGGAGGTGCCGGAGATATTCAAGGATCCGAGTAGTCTCGGGTTCAGGACTTTGGCTATCAACCCGGGTATGAATGCGGAGGATGCTAATGGCGAACTCTGGCGTATCTCCGTCGTTCCGGCTGCAAATGGGTTTAGTAACGCGAGGGGGCTTGTTCGTCTGCTCTCACCGCTGTCGCTTCAGGACGAGTCTGTCCTTTCGCAGAAGACGGCTGAGAAGATCTTCGTCATGCAGCAACAAGGTAATGACATTGTCATGGGTGCGCCGGTCAAGTTTGGTCTGGGCTTTGGGCTGTCGGCTCCGGAAACGATATTCGAGAATCTGCCAGAGGGTAGAGTGGCGAGTTGGGGTGGCTGGGGAGGCAGTCAAGTTATTGTCGATTTGGAGAATCAGATGACCATTTCATATGTCATGAACAAGATGGAGAATGCAGGCATGGGGCAGATAAGAGAAGAAGGAGAGAAGAGGGGTATGGGGAATCAGAGGACAAATGCTTTTGTCAAGGCTATCTACGAAGCTTTGGAGGCTAAGTAGAGATATGGGTGGTTATGGATTGATATATGTTGCAAGTATAAACAAGTAACACGCAGAGAAACATGTTCACTGGCACTGACAACGCCCTGTTTCTCAAGACAGCAATCATGTGCAGACAGTACCTTTGCCCCACAAGAAACTACGCGTATTGAGCCCTGTACCAGCCACTCAGCATGCCATCTTCACTTGTGCAGACCCAAGCCCTGCTTGCAAACCCTACTTGAGGAATTTGCTAATGAGACCCTTTCCTCCCTTTACCAAGTTCTTCACCTCTCTCTTCAGATCCTCAGTCGCGTTTCCACTTCCACCATGGTGTCCCCCAGACTGACCAGGTTCCAAGAACGTACCACCCCCACCACCTGCACCTCCACAGTGTCCCTGGCCTCCGCAGGCGCCTCCCGGGCAACCTTGGATGAAATGCTCAACCTCACCACAGCACCTTCCGCATTCACCAGAGCCCATGAAAGGTCCGCCATGGCCCCATCCCACACGCATGAGGCGGGCCTTGCGGCCTTCCCAACCTGTCTTTGCATCCGTGGCATGGAACACACCCCACACTTCTGGACCACCGGGCCCATTTACTAGGACAAAGTTGCCGTGGCCAGGACCGTAGGGCGGAGAATCGTCGCGAGCAGCTTGGAGAAGGGGCATGTTGGATTTGCACCACGAGTGAGGATCCAGAGGGTGACCACCGGTGTAATAAAGGATGTTCATCTTGTACTCATGTGTCCAGCTTCCAGCGCAGCTATACACGATGCCCATCCAGCGACCATCTGGTGAGCATAGGAACTGTGGGCCTTCATTGATGCCACTGGTACCTGAGAATTCGAATTGGAGGTCGGGCGTGCTGATGCGGATCGGTCGACCTGTACACTCTGTCGGTGAAGTCATTTCGATGATGTAGATCTCTTGACGCGATTCGTCGGCGTTGGTACCGAACGGCCAGCCAGAGTAGACAAAAAGCATGGAACCACCCAATGTGATGACAGTGCCGTCAATCGCCCATTGGTCTTCAGGCAGCCCACCCATACGGCCGAAGAAGTTCCATTTACTAGGTTCGAGAGGGTCTTCGTCTGCGGGTGGTCCAGCGAGGACGTACATACGATGCGACTTGTTTCCGTGCTTGGGGTCGTCTGCCGCGAAGTAGACATACCAGCGGCCGTGAATGGAATGAAGTTCCGGGGCCCAGAGATCGGCCGAGTAGGGTTGGTCCGGTGGAGGACGCCAGATGACGTTCTTCTTGCACTTCTTCTCAAAGTCGAGGAGTGAATCTGCCGACCAAATCTCAATGTGTCCACCGCAGGTGAAAGTCATGTAGTATGTGCCTTTGTCCCATAGCACATATGGATCAGCGCAACTGCTGTCGGTGATTGTGAGGATAGAGTCGTGGTATACTGGCCGCTGTTGCGTGGGCCACGCTGGGGTCATTTGGTGTGCCATTATGAAGCCGAGTGATGACCTGTCAACTGTGACTTGGACTGCGGAGAGGTTAGTATTAGTACAACGAAGTTATGACTGCGCATGTGATGGCAGCCCCATTGGGCGCACACGCGTACCAGCTGTGTGGTGACGTCATTGTTTGACCGGAATTGCTTGGAACTACAAACTTCGGTCGTTTGGGGCTGAAGCAGACGGGTCAGGAGGGCAGGTGCGTCCAGGGGCGGCCAGAATTAACGACTGATATTTGGCGCGGATGCCGAGGCGGGGAGGCAAGCCCACGTGGCGCTGTGGCTGTGCGAGCAGATTACGAGACGCAAGCCACACCCCTACAAAAGCATGTTTGCGCACACGGGCATATAACGAAGTCAACTGCATCGTTCATGATGTGACTACGTGATCGAGAGTATTAGACCGCACTAACTTTCCCTTGCGGGACTCCGATCTGGCCGATTCCGCTACATTACAATACCACCGCCGCCCTCCATCATAGTGCCTCATCCCTCAATCCAAGTAGTTCCATTATTTCCAAAGACGACTATATCCTATGCCAAGATCTATGCCCCATAACCAAACAATAGCCTGCGAGGCAACTGCTACCATCATAAATATAGATAATAGCTAGAGAGATTATCCTAATCATCGCGTGTTCGTGAACCTGTAGCAGGCCAAGAAGTAGGTATCCGGGAATCAGCGCAGCAAACAACAATAAATAAAAGCGCTGTAAAAACGAGCAAGAAGAGCACCGCTCGCTGGGATATCGACTGTCGGGACAAAAAGGAGACAGTAACTCCAATGTCGATGCAATCGACGTGGAAGAAAAGGTCGCTGTAAAGACTCAAGATATAAGTGCGTTAAACGTTGCATCGCTATGCATGTGTTGGCTGACATCATAGCTCAATCTTCAGTGTTTGGTCAACGGTGAGTTCGCCAGACTCGATGCGGTCAACGCGGAGTACGAGCTCCTGGTAAGTAGTGAGCAAATGCAAGTATTGGCTATTTAGTTCATGGACATACCTTGAGAGCTCTGGCTGTCTTGAAGGCAAGTGGCGGAATCCGCTCGCGACCTCCGTCCCTGATGTCAACAGCAAGCATGTTTTGTCTGCATTCGTCGAGCACTTCCACAACGGGAATAGCATGCTTTTTCAAAGCAGGATTGGATATTTGGTTCACAGCATCATAAGTCTTGTTGCCGGTGTCATCGACTGCTCGCGAGATTTCTTGGATGTATTGATAAATTTGCTGCTCATCGGCGGGCGATGAGTCAGGCTTCGAGCGGATGAGGTTGACCAATGGCTGAATGTTTTGAACGAGGAGGGCTGTCTGGTCTTCGAGGTAGTTCTGCCATCGTCAATGTGCTGCTAGCTTGGGTACTATTCAGGAACGTACCTTGAACTCAAGCATGCCGCTGTCGTTCATGCCGTTCGTACCGTTCATGCCTGCACTTTGACGATCGTAACCACTGTAAGGCAAGCTGTAGTTGCTGTATCGGGTCGTGTCGCTGCTACCGCCTTTGCTACTACGGCCACGTTGGTGACCGTAATTTGAAGCGGGGGCGTTGCCGTTGCCATTCATATTGGCATCATTGGGCAGATACGCACCATAGCTGGCATTTCCGTTGGGTTTCAGAGGCATTGGCCTGTCGGCGTCTTCGTCTTCTGCATCTAGCTCATCTTCCGGGGTTTGCCGTACTTTGACAAGCTTAACGAGTTCGACAACGGCTGTAGACAAGTGGCTAGCGGCAGCATCCAGTAAGCTGACAGGTGACAGTCCAGAGGATGATGCGTGGTTCTTGGTGGCTGTGATGAGATTGTTCGCCGTAGCACTAACACGAGACTTGAGTTTTGCTTGCTGCCTCTCGGGACTTCCAAGAATATCGCCGCTGACACTGCTACTGGGCGATTGGAGCTGGGAGAGTGGAGTACTGTCGATATCGCCCGTGATAGACCGCACACACTTGACTACATGCCGCATACTTTCGAGAGTTTGTTCCGGGTTGGCTCTTCTTGCCGTCTGCAGTAGTTCGTCGATACTGAGCTGAAATTTCGTCACATGAACATCTTTGACTAAACCATCGGGTGATGTAAAACTAGTGTCGCGTGCGTAACTGTTGATGTCTAGCGACGCAAGCTGTGACAGGCCCATAGAGGATGCCTTGAGATTCCTGAGTTGCGTCTTCGCACGTGCGTATCGAGACTTCCAGTCCTTCAGCTCAGCTTCAAGTGTCGTAACCTGGTTTGCCATTCGCTCTTCCTTTTCGGCAGCTGCATCGCTGCGAGCTGATAACTCCTTCATTTCTTGCAGGAATATGGATGCATCTCTCCGGACTTCTTCGGCCACTTGCTGTTGCTCGCTCAGTTCTTGCTCGAGCTCCTCACAGCGTTGTCTCCAATTGCCATCACCATCCTCGAATGACTGTTGGCGGGGCTGGGATTCAAGTTTTGCGATTTGGGCACGCAAGTTGTTTTCCACGCCTTCGTTCTCGCTGCGGAGTTTGTTGATCTCGGACCGAAGTGACGAGTTGAGACTCTCAGCCTTTTCGAGCTTCTCTTCCAGAGAGGAACGAAGTTGATCCCATTCAGCACGCTCAGATGCTGAAGCGCCATCTCGCATCGAATTGGGGTCTTGAAGTCGCCGTAGCTCGTCATCCTTGTCTCGTATGCTAGCCTCGAGTGAACCGATTTTGCCCTGCAGCTCCGAAACCTGGTTTTGCAGATCTGCCGTCATCTTTTCCTGCGCCATGCTCATGCTTTTTGCGCTTTTATTTGTTTGGCGCCGTGTAGCAGCTCCTTCCAGATTGAAAGCATCGTCGTCGTCGTCTGCCGCACTGTCATCGTCTTCTACGAGTGTGCCCTTGTTCGGTACAATTGTGTTGGACTGAAATGTTTTGGGCAAAGGGCGTCCGAAGGAGCTGACCTCATTTCCTGATCCAGGCCGCGATCCAGGCCCAGGTCGCATTGGAGGGCCTCCTGGTCCACCCATGGGCCCGCCCATTGGAGGCGGCCCTCGATATCCAGGGCCACCAGGCGGGGGTCGGCCGCCCATGCTGTTCGGTGTGCCTACTCTGCTTGGAGGTCCTCTATTGCTTATGCGGCTTGCAATACTTGCGGCCGGGCTGGCAGAACGCGGAGGCAGGTCGGCTCCGGTGAAGCGCGGAAATCTTCGCTCGAGCTCGTAGAAGACGTCGGTAGCGAGTTGACGGAAGCGCTCGAGAGGCAGGGTTGACAGCTTTTGTCTGGCTTGGTTGCGTTTCGGGTGGAAGTTGTTCTTGGGAAGCAGGAATTTGGGCGTCTCGTTCCCCGGCGCACCTGGCCCTCCGCGCTTGCGATCCGTCTCTCTACGTATGGACTCGTCGTATACGTCGGTGCTGAGTTCCTGAAATTGCACGGCTGACAGCCTGGTCAGCTTGTCCTTGGCCCTGCTAGGCCGCGGATTGCCTTTTTCGTCATTCAGGTAGGGTCCTAGGTATGCCTTGAGCACATTGAAATGTTCCGACATGGTCTCCTCCAGCGCCTGCATCTTTCGCGGATCCATCATTTGGCGGGAGCCGTCGCTCATACTCGAGGCATACAGTCCGGTGCCGTCGCTCGAGCGGCCTACGGAACTCGGCGGTGACGGGTTGCCGTTGCCTGTACCTGGGCGCATGCCGTTGAGCATGCCTCCATCTGGGGTGCCCGGACCGTATCCGTTGGGTGGAATGGTGGGAGAGTAGGGGTTGTCGCCGGCCATGTTGCGGTAGCCGGTGATGGGCGACCAGTCCTGACTGTCGGTCGAAACAGGCGAAAGGACGCCATTGCGGGTGTTCATGGCGAGGGTAGTCGTGGCTGCGTGGTGTTTCACCCCGCGGGTGGCCGCGCTGTCAGCTCGTATCGTATCCGCGCCGGAGTGTGCTAGTTGGTGGATGGAAAGTGCAAAAGGTTACAGACGAGGGTCGGCGTGGCTGCAAAGGGCGCGCGCTGGTGAAACTTTAGGCGTGGTAGGATTAACTTTGGAGTTGGCGGCCGCTCGGCAGTGTCACGGAAGGCGATGCGGTGAAGGAACGAAGGCGCACAAAGCGTGCAGAACAACAACAAAGCAGATGCTGGTAGCTGGCGTGATGGAGAGAAAGTGCATGCACGACAGCGTCTAGTCAAAGAGCCTGGGGTGCAGGTTGTTGCAGATGCAGATGCAGCAGTAGCAGCAGCAGTAGCGAACAATACGAGCAAGCAAGAACCCAACCGCCTGGGGCCGCCTACACACTTAAGAAGCTGCTCTTGCCAAATATCGGTCATGATGCCCCTTTCGCAGCGGGCCCTTTTTTGCTGGGGAAGCATTCGACGGCTTAACTTGACCGCTAGCCAGTTGGAGCAGCCGGGGCAGGGCGACGAATGGCAAGAGCCGAGCGGCTGCAAAAGCCCATGTCCAGCCATCAGGCGGGGGTGGACAAGTGGCTGGAGACGCAAGTGGCGTACGGGCGCTGCTGACATGAGGCTTGAAATAGGCACGCCGTCTACCTCATACTATCATATCAGCAGAAGTCTCAGAAGAAGTGGATAGAGGCTGCGCTGATAGTGATAACACCACTGAGCATAAACATTCCCATAGTCCCCCATGGTGTCACTGTCAGCGGGAAGCCTGCAGGTGGTCTGGTCGCAGGTCGCAGGTCGCTCCTTCCCACCTCACTAGCTGGGCATGGGCGCGCCGCCGAGATTAGCAGCAGCACCCTGGCTCTCGGGTCTGGCCCGGCGATCATATCACAGTAGTACCGCCCATGGAACCGTCTATACGAGCCAAAGACCAACGTCTTGCGAATACCAATACCATTGCTACCTGTCTACTGACAAATCAACCTCAACGTGCCCTCTTAATCTTGGCTGGCGCCTGGTTCCTGCACTCGGGACACAGCCAGTCCCCCAGCGGTTCCTCCTTGATGCCCACACACTCCCAATGAAACCATTGATACCGACAGTTGTCATTGTCGCAGGCTACCATGTCGCCGAAGCTGACACGCTGACAGGTGCAGTACTTGGTGTCGTCCGACTCGTCCTCTTCTGCATCGCCGCCTCCAATGCCCGACATGTCCTCGTCTTCTGTGCCTGCCTCGCTCGCCACGCTCTCATCATCTGCCGTCGTCGAAGGCGATGCCCGCGACCCGCCCTTGCGCCGCTTCTTGTTCACCCCGGACTTTGCAGTGAGTGCCGCCTTGCGCAGAGGTTGTTGTGGTTTCGCCTTCTTCACTGTGAGTACATTTTTCTGTGGCCTGGGTCCAACGCTACCTGCACGGGAACCTGGTGTCGATGGTTTAGGGGTCCCCGGTCCTATCGAGCCTTGTCGCCCCAAGTTGGAGGATGCTGCAGGGAGGGGCCCAATGCCTCCTGTTGGTCTGCGCCGCTTGCTGTCGCTCCCGGCCGATGCCTCCCGCTCTTGTCGTGCATTTGCCTGTATGGCACTCTGCGCATTCGTGAGCCGCTGCTGGTTTAGGAGCGCTTGTGTTTGCATGTTCTGTAGTGATGGGTTCAATCTTGAGTTGATACCTACATTGGTCGCGTTGGTGATTCGCGCCATGGCAGCTGCTTGCGCAAGGTTTGGAGCCCCGCCGCCTTGGTTGCCAGAGATGGAAAGCAGCGGTGTATTGGCACCCGTATTTGTCGCCGATGCTGGAGGAACCAAATTTCCAGGTGAGTCTCTCAGCAGCGAAGGCATCTGGGGATCAGTAGGTATCGACCCATCATTTTGCAGATCTCGCAGTTTGATATCCAGTCGCTTCACGTGACGATCGAGCTGCCTTGTCCTTAGCAGAAGCGGCATACAGCCTAGACAAGACACTTACAAGTGCAGCAGCTTTTTCAACTAGTCCAATCTTCTCTTCTTGCAGTAGCTGTGCTCTTTCGTAGTTTGCAAGAATCGTCTTCGAATAGGCAACTTCCTTTGGATTTTCTACTAGGCTGCCGTTGAGCTTGATGAACTTTTGCAGGCTTCCATCGCGTTGCTGTATCCCAGCGCGTAATTCCTGGATCTGGTTGTCTTTGGCCTGCACTTCCTCGTAAAGATGCGTGATTTCGGCTGGAAGATTTGCGACTGTCGGCCGTTAGCTACTATGGCTGCATGAAAAATTCTGTCCAATATTACCATCATGTACAAACTGCTCCAGTACGGTTGCTGCGTCCTCTGCGATGGCCATGGTGTGAGTTCGACCTGCTCGCGTGTGGCGATGGGCTCAGGTGACGTGTACGTTGTGCGCAACGATGCGCTTAAAAGACCTGCGATATGACGGTTCTTTGCGAATGCGACTTTGGTAGTCAAGAGCCGACGGCTCGTTGGTGAATGCGCGAGTGAAAGAGGCGCGCGCGGTGAAGGAGGAAACCACTTTGCACGAGAACAACTCTTTCTGCTTGACGCTCACTTGGCTTCTATCGCTCACTTGTATCCTTCAACTTGGACCCAAGTTTTCCAACTATTTCTACGAGGCTGCCTGTTTGCGTATCGCGGTCGTGATCGCGCGTCCACGACCTGCAGGTACAGCTAGCCAAGGACCCAGGCTTACCGGTAGATTACGTGTTCGGCACCATGCCGCGCTACCACCAATCAGATAATAGTGCCCGAGACGACGTCTCAACGACGACGGGCGAGCAAGATGCCGATGCCGATTCCGACTACGACTACGAGGTGGATGGCGAAGACCAAGACGACGACGAAACACAGACACGGTTTAAGTTTACCAACGCAAACGCACCTCCGGAGCTTAGCACACTTCTGAACGGTCCTCAGTGGAAGGCACCCGAACCAGGCACGAGGCGCGCACCTAGGGTAAATTATAGCCTTACCGACCAGTCTCCGCAACCCGCTACGCAAACCCGTGTACGAGCGGAAACACGTTCGCAGACACCTAAAGTATGCATCTGCTTACGACTCCAAAATGTCCAAAACTTTCTTATGAGTCGACACATACTGACAGCAAAAGAAGAGTTTAGCAGAAAAGGTAGCCAGGGACTTGCGCAAACCACCCCCGCGTCCTGATTTCCCGACTCTAGCACGCTGGGAAAAGGGCCGGAAAGAAGAGCTGAGGACGCACTCGTTCGTTGACAAGTTTGTCGGCACCCAAGACCATCGTGACCGTTGGATCTTCGAAGGAGCTTCCAGCCCACGCATCGTTGACGTCGTTGACGAATTCGAGATGCCGAGTTCCGGCTACATCCACTCTAATGGACCTGCCAACAATATTGTGCAGGAGTACTCTCCGTTCGACACCTACGTTGCCAGCTACCAGGACTTCAAGGTCCTTTCTAATTCTGAAAAGCAGGAGGTAATCAAGAACGAAGTTGAAGAGAATGGTCTAGAAAGGCCAAAAGGCTGGAACGTTTCATTCCATTACAACCCGCATGTCGAGTATCACCATTTTGGGAGCTCACATCCCATGAAACCATGGCGGTTAACGCTCACGAAACAACTCGTTGTCGCATATGGTCTGGAGTATACTATGGACATCTATTCACCGAGACCTGCTTCCATGGATGAATTAGCACTATTCCACGAGCGTACATATCTCGATTATCTGAGCAGGATCACTCCCCAGAACGCGCAACCCGACGATCCTCTATACTCCGAATTCGGATTTGGCGGCGATTCCAACGATTGTCCAGTTTTTGACGGATTATGGAACTATGTATCGCTCTATACGGGCGCCACGATAAGCGCAGCGCAGACTCTGGTCAACAACACTTCTGACATTGCCATCAACTGGTCTGGAGGTTTGCATCACGCCAAGAAGAATCTTGCCTCTGGTTTTTGCTACGTGAATGACATTGTTATAGCTATACAGCATTTACTCCGCACACATTCACGTGTCCTGTATATCGACATTGATGTCCACCATGGCGATGGGGTCGAACAGGCATTTGACTCAACGGACAGGGTGTTTACTCTCTCCTATCACAAATACGGCATTGATAAGCACGGATGGCCCTTTTTCCCGGGCACTGGTAGCATCGAGGACACAGGCCCGAAAGACCCCACAAACCCAGGCAAGGCACACAGCCTGAACATCCCGATCGACGATGGCATCGACGACGAGCAGTATCAATGGCTGTTCAAGACTGTGACAGGCGCTGTCATCGAAAAGTACAACCCGACGGCCATTGTCTTGCAGTCAGGCGCCGACTCCCTTGGCGGCGATCGTCTCGGTCGCTTCAACCTAAACATCAAAGCGCATGGGTTCTGTGTACAGACTGTCAAAGACTACGGTCGGCCACTACTTCTTATTGGTGGAGGTGGCTATACACCACGCAACGTGGCACGAACATGGTGTCACGAGACAGCTGTATGTGTTGGCGCACAATTGCACAACGAGCTTCCCAGTCACGTCCCATATCTGCAAGCCTTCCAGGGCGCAGAGAATGGCGACGGTGTTCTGTATCCGGACCTTCACAACATCAAACGGCACGAGAATCTCAACTCGCAGGCGAAACTGCACAAATTAGTGGAGCAGGCGCTTGAAAACTTGAGGTACTTGGAGGGTGCGCCTAGTGTCAACGTCGACACCAGGGGCATTTCCTTGGAGCAGCTTATGAAGGTCAGGGAAGAGATTGACCGACAGCTTGAAGAAGAAAACGAGGAGAGGGAGCGGCAAAGTGCGGAGAATTCCAGACGCAAGAAGGAGCGGAATGTGGGCGGGCGAGGAGAGCGAAGGTAGAGGTTCATGGGGGAGTCATGATTTCCTGCCGAGGCATAAGCAGTAGTCAAAAGAAGATACGTCTTGCAGTACCCATAGCACTCACTGATACATGATGGACCGATTAGGTTTTGAGTATCCAAGTTAGAATGCAAGGTAGCAGCTGCTTGAGACGAAGCTGATTGGGCTCGGTGCTAATATGATGTAATGTGAGGAAAGTGAAGACGACAGCTTATCTAACAAGCATGGTAGTCGGAGATGCCGGACCGGACAAAGAGGTCATCTCCGGGATGAGGAGTACGGACATAATTCCGTCTGCTCTGTTTGGCACGTTGAGGCCACCCACTCAGCGTAAGATCTGGTGGGCGGTGGATTATAAATCCCGAACGGGGGCTCCTCAAACCGCCGACGGAGACTTGAGTTGACCCAATCCCGACAATAGACTAGGGTGTCTCCGCCAGAGTCAGCCACACGGTGCAGCGAGACTATACCTAGGTAATGTCAGGAGGTGTGTAGAGGATGAAAAGAGAATTACGACAGTCGTCCTTTGGTCTATCTATATACAATGTCCGTCGAGCGACGGCCGAGCCAGCAGTCGTCGATTGGCCCAGGACAGACGCACGGCAGCAGCAGCAACGGCCCCTCATCCGGAAGCCCGACGCCAAACCCCCGGTCGTGCGTTACCTGTCGGAGGCGCAAAGTCAAGTGCGACAAGAAGAATCCGTGTTCCAACTGTGTGCGCGCCAAAATCGAATGCGTTTTTCCTGGACCTGGTCGCGCCCCGCGCAAGAGCCGCAAGCCTGCAGATGCTGAGCTACTCGAGCGACTGCGCCGCCTGGAGGATGTCGTGACGAGCCTGAACGCCCAAGTTGAGGGCCACGAGCAAGAGGCCGCTGACCGCGAGAGATCCCGCCAAAACAGCACCGTTGACGACCCGTGCCCGTACGCCCAAAGTAGTAATGGTGGCGGTGAATCAAGAGCACATGCACAAGTGGCCGTGGACAACAGTGTCGAGGGCCTGGAGAATCGGTTTGGACGACTGGTGGTTGAAAAGGGCCGTAGTCGTTACATAAACAACAGCTTCTGGGCAAGCTTAAACAACGAGGTCGAGGACCTCAAAGCTATCCTCATTGAGCATTCCGACGACGAAGATGATGCGCATTCGCCCGACACGTCCAACTTGTCCTCGCAACATCATGGCTTCATCTTCGGCTACAGCTCGTCTAGCGTCGACATGCAGGCACTGCATCCTGGCCAGCAGCAGGCGCGCGACTTCTGGGAAGTCTACAAAGAAAACGTAGAATCTCTTGTCAAGGTTCTGCACATTCCAACGCACGAGCCCATCATCCTCGACGCCTTTACCCACCTGGACAAGGTCGATAGAGGGCTGGAGGCACTCCTGTTCGCCATCTACTATGGTGCAGCCACCAGCAGTACCCCCGAGGACTGCCTGGCGAGATGGGGAGAAGACAGGGGCGTCCTCCTCAATCGTTATCGCTTTGGTCTGGAGCAGGCGCTCGCTAGAGCAAACTTCCTGTACTGCGACGAGGTCATCATCCTTCAAGCCTTTGTTGTATTCATGGTCCTGCTGAGGCGGAATGACGACGCACGCAAGATCTGGACATTGACTGGCCTGGTCGTACGCATTTCGCAGACGCTCGGAATACATAGAGACGGCTCGCACTTTGGCTTGCCTCCGTTCCAAGTGGAGATGCGCAGACGGCTGTGGTGGCAGGTCTGCATTCTTGATGCGAGGTCATCAGAAGACGATGGTTGCGATCCGAACATTGTAGAAGCACAATTCGATACAAAAATGGTGAGTCTCTGTTTGATTCCTAATTAAATCTGCTAATTGTCTTGTCCCCAGCCCCTCAACGTCAACGACACCGATTTGTACCCCGATATGACCGAATTTCCCGAAGAGCGCCAGGGCTTCACTGATATGACCTTCTGCTTGCTGCGCTTCGAGATTGCCAACATCTTTCGTCGCATCATCTACGTACCACCGGGCCCGAACAAATGCACAGAGTTCTTTGCAGGCCTCACCATTGAACAGAAAGAGAAGTGGATTACCGAATGCCATCAGGCCATGGAAGCTAAGTACTTGAAAAACTGTGACATGAACATTCCTATATGCTGGGTTACCGCGACGATATCAAGGCTCATCATGAGCAAGATGTGGTTGATTATCTATCATCCACATCAGCGAAAGGACGGAGGTATAACATTGCCCCAAGAGACCAAAGACAAGCTCTTCATCACCTCGCTCGAAAACGTCGAATACTCCTTGCTTCTCGAAACCGAAGCTCGCACCATGAAGTGGGGTTGGCTCTTCCGTACATATATCCAATGGCATGCCATCGCTTTCCTCTTGTCCGAACTCTGTGTTCGTACCAAAGGCGAGGCAGTGGAGCGTGCGTGGAGGGCTTTGGAAGCCACGGCCGGCCGTTGGTGGTTTCCGCTTAACGATTCTTTGCAGATGGGCAAAGGTCAACAAGGTTGCTTATGGAAACCCCTTCGAAAACTACTAGCGAAAGCGAAAGCAGCACGGGAGCGTGAAATGGCTCTCGAGCGAGCCAGCATAGCTATCCGCAACGCACAATTTCGTAATGATCAACGCTCCTTTGAGTTCCCAGAGGCCATGGCACCAAAGACACTTTCATCTGTAACATCACAGCACTTAGATGCAGCGGCTTTGGATAGCTTATTGCGACCAGCAGCGTCCAAGCTTGGTGAGGTGCCTTTCACTCAGCACCCGAGCTGGCCAAACAGCCCGACAGAATCTAGGCCAGGTGTTGCCTTATCTTCACAAAATAGCAACGGCATGAGTAAACAGCGAAAACTACCCGATGTAGCACCGAACAAGTTTTCAAACGATAATTACATCCTTAACAACGACCCTGTACGACACTTTGGAGACCTCCTTGACTTTGGTCTCGACAATCTACTTACTGAAGTTATGGGCAGCGGAGCCACAACGGGCCCCGACACCGAGCTGGAATACGCTGCAGCAAAATCCAGTGCGGAAAACACAAACTATCACCCTATTTCTAGGGCGATGCCTCCACAAACTATAGCAAGCGGCTACCCCACTTTTGGTGACGGCATGCTTCCGGTTACTAACATGGACTTTCGAATGGAAACCAATGCCAACAACGGATTGGAGCAGATAGACCTGAATGGGAACACAAATGAAGCCGCCATGATGGATAACGGCGACATGGACTGGACCCTTTGGGATGACATGGTGAACCAATATGGGACTACGGGACATAAGACCAATTCCGCAAGCACTTCTAGTGCGGCAACTCTGGGGCTTGTTCATTGGTTCTGATTATTGTTTTAATAGGCAGACATGTGGGAAGAGATATTTTGGTAATGACTAATCCAAGCTCACTCGCGCGTTTTCAGCCAGCTTTGTACCATACTAACGCAGCCAGACACGTGGGGAAGTGTTTTGGTAGTGACTAATCCAAACTCACTCGCGCGTTTTCAGCCAACTTTACTCTGCCCCGCGCGATTTCTCAGTCATACACAACATTCAAAGCAAATGGCCCAAAAAGTAAGCTTATTGATCACACTAGCCTCTAGTCCAGCGCTTCTGCTGACCATCGATTCAGAGTTCTAAGCTCGGTCGTGGCCGTCGAGGCACTGCCAACCGCACTGATTCCGACCGCAAGAACGCCAAGTCCGACGAAGATGAGCTCGCGCCAGAGCAGCCTGGCTCCCATGGTTGAAAGATACCGTTCCCCAAGCCAAGCTCAACTACGCCGCCGAATGACCCAGCCGCGCAGCCTGCACAAGAAGACCTGATTGCCCAACTCCACGCGGCGACAAATGATACTGTTACCGGAGTGCCATCAAGCTCGACAACCGAGAGTATGCCTCCGTCTGGCTCGATGGAGCCCTATGGGCGCAGTCAAACCAAGCCCCTCCCTGCCAAAGCCACAGTCTTTCCCAACAGAACCCGCACAAGTACGACCCACACAAGCCCAGCCCGCACAAACTGCAGAGCACGCAGAGAAACCAGCCCAAGCTCCACTTTCAACCAACGTATATATCGCGGCATCCGAATCCTCCGCACTTCTGAGTGCGATGCTCATTGGGCGAGCTAGATGCATGGCCGGGAGGCAACATTGCCAAAGCCTACCAAGCTGGTATTTCAGCGGCCAAGATGCGGCAATTAGACCCGAAAATCTTCAAACTCGGACCGCTCAACACCCTCAAGCATGGGATGCACTTCTTCCCAAACGACCTACTGCTACCACATAACCTTGATCTCCTCGCACCGCCGGGGACCACATTGGTGCCAAGCACAGATGCAACTGAACCGCAACCTTTTGTCCCCAAACAGCTCAATATGGCAGCCATATTCGCGAAATTCAAGAAGGATGCTGCGGCCCAAGTACTCTCAGCAGCAGAAACAGAAAAAGCTAGGACCAACTCGAAAGCCGAGGTTGAATTGAAGATCAAGGCGCAGGTAAAGCCAAGTAACAATGATACAAGCCCAGCATTACAGGTTCGGCCTTGCTTAGGTTGTTGCATGAGCTTTGCCCATTGCAGCGGTGATGGGATCTGTGTACCACCCACTGGTCGCTCAATTCGGTGCGAACATTGTCAACGCCTTGGAAACTCATGTGATGCAATGTAAGCTCATTATTCTTTCTTCCCCTGTCCTCAAAGCTCAAATTGCTAACATGTCCAGCCCGAGGAATTGTTCGCTAGTGTGGATGCCATCTTCGATATGGGACTGGACGACGAAACCCTCATATTAGCTCAAAAGCGATTTTTGAAAGAGGGTGCAGCAGCCAAAGCTGATTTCAAGAAGAAGCGAGATGAAAAGCGAGGTTGCTTAGGCAAGTCGGCCAGTGGCTCAGACCCCGAGCATGACAATGAGAATGACGGAGTTCGTGGCGAAATCGAGCATGAGACTGAGCTCGAGGAAATCAAAGCACACGCTCACGAAGCGCGACTAGGTCAACAGGCTATCAGTTTGGGTGTCAACGCAACAGGACATTCTTTTCCGGGCGCGGTTCTAACATCAAGTGGCGAGGTCGAATACAAAGGGTATACCTACAGAGACATCGCATCTTTTCAGATGGCCTATCGTGAATACTGTGAAAGGAAGCTCAGCGATTACATATCTAGGTTTGGTACTACAGTCATGGGTCTACTGGCGTCTGGTGCAGCAGAGGATATGATTGACACTTAAGGGTTTGAGCCGAACCATTAAGTTGATCATGCTTTTCTAGCTCTTTGGTTAGATACAAGGGTTGCTCCCGTTGTGTAGGTGTGCTGGTATACTTCACTGTTATTATCTACTACGGTTGCTTACGTGTTGACCCTTTGTATACGTCTAACCCCTATATCTAACTGCATTTGTGACTTTAATCCCTATACTTGATGTATACCAGTGTCTACAGCAGTGACATTGATGCTGATAACACATATACACGATGTCTACATTCTTGCAATATACCCTCACGAGTGCACAAATTTTCCCGTGTATGCGCCAAGATATGTCCCTGTCTTACAAAGGAACGCTGTCTCACCACACAAGTAGTCGCCATGAAGAACCAAAGGGATATCAGCATAATCATACATATTTGGTAAAGTAGAGAATGTGGTACAGATTATCGCAGAAAGAAGAAGGATTAGAGTATGTTGAACCAACACAGCACATATGAACTTTGGGATTGCGTTCTCGAAATAATTATAGTACACTGCATATTTTTGTTCCCATGTCATGATGAACGCCAATGATCCACCAAACGCCGCCTATGCTCCCCACTCAATCACTCACTCAATCACTCCCAATTCACTCACTCGGCCCCTACTCACTCAAACTGGTTCTCGCGGTCAACCCAAACGTCTTCCAACTCGGCAAAGTTATGGAAATGCAGTGGCCTATGAACTGCATCGTAGAAGCGGACAGGCGTATCGAGACGCACATGGACCGGCTTCTTCTCTACCGTGCCAAAGGCACTACCCATGAAGCTGTAGTTCCAGATACCGTTGTCCGGAACAAGGAAATAACCTCGGATCTTGTCTGACAGAAGAAGCTGGCACTTCTCTCCAAAGCTAGTACTGAAGCCAGTTGGGTTGTCGGACATCGTGTCCTTGTTCTCAACGCCCCACTTGTAGCCGTTGGGCGTGAGAGCCCACGCTGCCAATGAAACTGATCCGGGTGTAAAAGAGACAGTCATGGAAACGGTCTTCTTATCCCAGCTAGCGTGTCGGTTCATGAGACGAGCGTGTTGAGTGACGTCGCTTGCCTGCATGTACGGTGGCTCGTTACCACTGACGGTGTGGATGATGCCTAACGGCTCAAGGTCCTCCAGATACTCGTGCTTAGGCAGCTCCTTGGGAAGCTGGACATCACGGGTGTTGCCGACTTGAGGGATCATCACAATAGTACTGATCTCCTTGACTTGGTTGTTGTCCGGGGGCGACTTGCCATAGAGATACCCAGCAACTTGTACGCGTAGATCGGCGATTGTGATGAACCGCTTCAACACGTTCTTTGGCATGACGTAGGTGAAGTGATCTTCCTCCTTAACATCCTCAGAGTTGATGTAGATGTTGTTGGCGCGAGTGCGAAGGTTCGATGTGGCAACAGCCCTTGTCCGCCATTCAGTTTTGGAGGCAAAAGATGCTTGTTCGTACTGCGATGTTGTCGTAACGACCATCTCTTCTCCATGAACGTTCTGAGTCTTCGTGGTGACAGCAGTCAACTGTTGCTGTTCTTCCTGCTGCTTGTCTATCTCGGCCGCCTGTTGACGTTGCATGGAAGGCGCCGAGATCTCCATACCCAGGATGATGTCACGGACTTCGCTCGATGTAAGCGACGAGGTATTGACGTTATTCTTTTTGCCATAGTCGAGCAGGATGAGATCTCGGAGCTCTACTTCGACCTTGACCCAATCTTCATCCGCTAGCGAGGGCCAGATGTGATGCTCTTGGGTGATGACAGTCTTGTCTGGGCGCAACAACAGCTTGGTCTTGTCCTGGTTGACATGCAGGGCACGAAGTATAAGAATCAACCTCGAGAATGCGGTGTATGAGGAGATGGTCTTTAGCCATTCGTCGTACAGGTTGAAAAGCACCATCTGAGGCCCAGTTGCTCGAAGAATCATGTCACCAAGCTTCTCAACCTTCATAGCAGCCTGGAATGGAAGTTGTAGCTCAGACGCACGGATCGAGATGTTGGGGAAGTCTAGCAAGTGCACCTCAAGCGGGTCGAGCAGACCTTTGCGAGTGACGATAAGTTGCTTCGGTTGCTCTTCCACAGGCAGAGATCGAATGAGAGCTGCAACTTCTTCGGCCGTTTTCCATTTGGCTAGTTGACCCAGACGCTTCTGACCGGCCCAGACACTCGTATGGATAATCTTCAAGAACAGCTGTCCAGTGCGAGGATTGAAGATGAAGATGGCGCCGTTAATAGGCTTGGTCGTTAGGTTACCCTCGAAAGTCTTGTGGATTGTGACGCGGTAAACGTTGGTGTCATCAATGAACAGCTGGATCTGATTGCTGAACAGCTCCGAGTAGTTTTGGGAATTCAAAAACTCCTGCGAACTCTCCGATGCATACAGCTGCAGACCCTTCCGAATGCGCTCACGGAGGACGAAAAGGGCGGGGTTGGCTTTCATGATCTTCGCCATAGCCTGCTGGATCAGTTGCTTCAGCCCAGGAAAGTACTGCCCATATGCCGAGTACAGATTGTAGGCCAGATCGATGGCGATCATGAGTCCGGTAGCCGATGGGTAGATGCTCATGCTATCCTGTGTGTAGTCGAGGTACTTTGCGCGTACATATCGCTCGATGTTGTGTGAGTCGAAGTCCCCATACCGAAGTTGTACATCAATCCAGAACTTGTTCGTAGTCGTCGCGCTCATGGTATCCTTGGTGTCGTGCAGCATGGATGGTGGTGATACGCTCCATTTATGGCTGGCAAAAAGCAGGATGTCGGCACAGGAGCTGTTCATCTTGTAGGACTTTCGCGGATGAATAGTCTCTTTCTGAACCGTCTCAATTCCAAGTGGTTCAAGCTCTTGGTCAAACACTTGACACAGGTCCATGACGACTGACTCGTGGATCTTCTGCCACAGATGGGCTCGGAATATCTGGATGAGCGAAATTTTGAGCGTGGGGATCTTCCCGTGTAAAAATATACCAGTTAGGTCAAGCTGAACCTGGAACCCGACGTATACATTGGCTCGATTGATCGTCGGGGACCACCATAAAGTGAATCGTCGGTTCGGGATCTGGTTAAGACCGGAGCGTTGGGCGTTCGTGAGCTTCTTGAATTTCATCGACTGTATACATGTTAGCAGCGTTCTGGCAACGTACAAGGTGTTTGGAGACTAGGTGTTTGGAGAACACATACCTCTTCGAAGCCGCTATTGTGAAGTACAATGTAGTCGTGACGGAGATATAGTTGATCCTGGTCAACCTTGAAGCCAGACCAGCCAGTAGGCGAGGATTCGAGAGTGATGTCCTTGATCACGAAACTATGCATCTGAGGAATGTAGCGTTCGCATGCCTTCTTGCGGGTCAGAAGACAAGGAACTTCGGAAAGATTTCCGGAAATCTGAGCGAAAAAGTGAGGTGTTTTCTTCGTTCGGTTAGGGTTCCACATGTCGCGTTCGGTAGTCCAGACACTGAAGCCCAGAGATCTTGCCAGTGCTACAGTATTCCAGAAGAGCGTCTTGTGCCAGAGTGCACTCTGAGCAAACCCGAACATGTTCTCTGGGTACACATACCAGCCATCACTATCTAACAAACCAGCAAGCACAGCAAGCCGAACAGCCCTGGAGTTCTTCATGTATGCAGTGGGGATGTGTTTCCGATCTACCTCATGACCAGTCTCACCTGGTGGCGGCATCACTCCAAGTTTGCGAAGTGCGACGAGGAGCTTGTTAACTCCAGTGCTGTTTTCGGCAGTGGCGTTTTCGTCGTGCTCAACAATCTCGTTGACGAGTTCATCTTGCTCCTCAGGAAGTAGATCACCGTGTACCCTGCGACCAGCCCCCAGGCGTGTGACACGTTGGCGCTCGTAGTGTGATGGACGGCCTCCAGTGTCGTGGTTGATAATATGAACGTCGTCGCTGCTGAGATCCTCGTCATCGCTCATCTCGTCAGCACTCTCAGCTTCGATCAAATCGAGGTACTCGTTTAGATCGTCTTCCTGTACATGTGTTAGAGAAAGGCTAGTGCAAATTGAATCAATGCATACCTCATCTGCTTCAAACGCGGACTGCGTTGTCTCGTCAGGCACATTAGCGGGACCAGCCATGCTCATAAGCTCAGGATCAGATAGGATCTCAGACAGCGGTTCCACGGGTATCGAATTCGCCAATGCCGAAATATCGGCACGTAGACTGGCTGCTTCATGCCAACCTATTGATGATGCGGGCTGGGGATGTGACGAAGACGAGGTGACTAGACGAGGACGCTGATGGGGTTCTGGTGACAGTGGGATGCTCTCACTGCGCCCGCGTTTCTGACCATCCTTCTCGATCAAACCTCCAGGACGTATCCAAAGCCTAAGTTCACGAGGTCCTCGATTCTCTTGAAACGTCCAACCACCCGCGAGGCGTTGTTTAATGATAGTCTGGCGCGCATGGCGAACCGCTGGTCGTGCAGGAGCTTTGCCTTCTTTCACCGTTGGCAAGGGTCGATCCGCAAGGCGTGTTCGGCCTACTGTAGCGTAGTTTAGACCCCCATGCCAGACAAAGTGAAGGTCCAACTCAGCAGCGTAATTAGACAAAAATTCGCGAACTTCACGCTCATGGTTTGAGTAGATGGTAGTGGAGGTCCGAGAGCCATCACCAAGCCAAAGCCCTAGGAAGTAAGGATGAACCGGTACGTCCGATTCGGGGAGGTCGAATCCAGGACATCTGAACAACCTGTATTTCGACTGTATGGTTGGATCGACACTGGCGAATTCCTGAGCGGTCATCTCGACTGTATCGTAACGTTCGGATGCTGAAATTGGGACGCTGTCCAGTTCAGTGTCGAGCAGGTCATCCTCCTCGTCTTCAGAGTCCTCAACGCCGGCTGCGTTGTCGTCGGGAAGAGCTGGGAAAGAATAGCTGCGACCGTACTTCGTGTAGTTGCGGGAACAGTACACCCGTATCTTCAAACCGGAGCCGTTCTTGTTCCAGAGCAAGAACATGTTGGGTAAGCCAGCGTCGAGGCGGATCTCTCCACCTTTACCATCAGCAGACTTATCTTCGAATCGCTGACGTAGATTTGCAAGAGTGACGCCATCGCGCGCATGAATCTCTCTACTCTTTGCAACAGCTGCGGCGAAAGCGAGGTCCTTGGTTGCGAAGAAGGTTGGAGGGTGGTTGGCATGTCCTTGGATGTTCGTGCGGTCCGGATTACCCCAGGCAAAGGTGGCGTACTCAGCCCTGCTACCTTTACCTACTGGAATGTTCACAATGTAGGATTCCTGACGACTGGTGATACCGGTAGTACCGTTGAGCGTGTTACGGACAGTGTCTGCTCCCTTCTTTCCACGCTCGGCCTTCAGCAGCCAAGCAAGCGCGCTCTTGAATGCCGAAATGAAGTTTGTTCGAGCTTTGACCAAATTGTTGGGGCGGTCAGCAGCAGCGGGATCAGAGCTCGGGTCAGGAAGATCGTCTAGCTGTGCAGAAAATCGACAGTGGTGATCTTCAGTCGACGGCTCCGCGTATACATTCCCAGCACCTTTCTCACGATGCAGGACCAAGATGTGGTTGGAGGTGACGACCAGATCCTCTTTACGTCCGCCGATCTTGATGCGGTAAAGGTGGTCAGTGCCACTCACCACGTTGCTGACAACTCGAGGTCCTCCATCTGGACCCAATAATAGGTCACCGTCCTTTACCTCCTCCACCGCTACTTCAGTAGCGTCGTACCGAAGGAGCTTAGTGCCGTTCTGCAAACAAGCTTTTTCCCAAAACAGGCCTTCCCATGACGGGAATGCCGTCGCTTGGAATAATGTGTGATGGAGAATGGTTTCAACTGTATACAAATTAGTAGTTTTCTCGTAGGCATACCAAGTGTCTGGGGAATACATACCTCCACCAAGCGCCTGAATTACATCCGTTCTGTAGTCTTGGAGTGCCCACAGTTTACCGTCGTGTCGTTGGCTGGTCCACCAAAAGGGGTTGCTTTTCATGTGTTGGTAAATTTTGAATTCGGTCCGTGCGCGAAAACCCTTGTCAAAACTGAGAGTACTGCGGTCTTTCTGGAAGAGAGTGTTAATACGAGGGAGTCCTCTATCCCAGCTGTCTTCAAGATCTTCGAGGGTTAATCGCCGATTTTGCTGTTGAGCCTCTTGGCGTTTCTGCGAATATTCCATCCACACACGCTGAGAGTCGACAAATTCGGACTCCCACGGGATGATGTAACGGAAAATGTTGGGAATGAGTGTCTCTTCGTCGTGCGACATGCCGGCGCGGAAGTGTGTGATGCCTGTGTCGGTTTGCTTGTGCCATTGCTTGTCACTCGCGGGAATGAGAATGTGAGATCCGGAAATCATGCCCAAACCACCAAGCTCCTTGGGAGTGTAGAATACAGCTGGCGGGAATCGGGAAGGCATCTTGGAGTTTAGTCCAATCTTCACACGCGTCTGGATTTTCGTCTCGCACTTGACAATCGTATCAAGCAGGTTGACCGTCGACACAGCCGCCTCACGGTAGTACGTGAACAGGGCGATGAGTGTCGTGTTCCACTTGTTGGCAATCTTCGTGAAAGTAGTAGACCCAGACGACATCAGGATCTGTCGAATGCGATTGTTGAATTTCTGGATGTCCTCCTCGGTGACCTGCAAGAAAGCATCTGCAGTGCGCTCCTTGGTGGAATTGTCGACTAGTGACCATACACTGTCTTTGGTAGGAAATTCACCAGTGGTGTTCCGAATCTTTGGCAAGATGCGTACTTCGAACCCGTTCATGGAGAAGAGCAGATTAGGGTTATCCCGACTGTAAACACTAGCAAAGGTATCTTCCCACTCAATCGTCGTCACCGAGCGAGGTAGACGATTCTTGAGATCCCAGAAGACTGCGCGGCCGAGGTTGACGTCGTGGCGCATCAGTCGCATCCTAGAGTCACGTGGCCAGCACTTCTTGTTCTTGTAGCCAATGACGTTCTCGAAATTGGGATCGGGATTCTCAGTTAGGAAGCGCTGGATCAAGTCGCGCGACTCCTCAGCAGTGAATCTGAAGAACACCCAAATGCGGTCAATGTACCTCGTATACAAGCGAATCGGGTGGCGGACCTCTGTCTCCTTGTCCTTGAACTGGAGGAAATCGTTGGGGCTCTCGGGGGCACCGGCGATATCGTTCGCACGCTGCAAGCCCAGGAGAAGGATATCTAGAACGAGGCCGTAGAACTGGAATACGAAGCCGGAGAATTGCAAACCACGGATCATGCCGTAAGCATTGACGTGGTTCATATCCTTGTAGTTCAGCTGGACGTTGTTCTTTGCTGTAATGTAGTCGGCCAAGTTGTGATCCATGATGAGTCGCAACAGACGGTTCAGCATAGTCAAGTCGATCTTCTCGTAGACCTTGGACAGTTGGGTCTCGATCAAGACGTTGCACTCGCCGTCTTGTGACTCCCAAACCTTGTCCAGGTTGTTGATACCTTGGGCCCATTTGTACGTCAAGAGTGGCGGTACCTCGGAATCAGAAGGCTTGATCCATGCCGGGAACAAATGTCGTTGATCAGCTTGGTACCAAAGATATTGATCGAGGTACGCATCAGTGATCTTCTCCATCGGTTCGATGTCGTAGACAGGGTTGATGTTGCTGTAGTTGTCGTTCATATCTATGCCAACTTCTTTGAACGCACGCTGGGTGAGTAGGAAGCGCTTGATACGAGCCAGAGTTGTACCAGGGGAATCATAAGCTTGCTCAATGAGTGCTAGTTCTTCACGCTGGCTCTGGTTGAGACGACCCTTGACAGAGTAAGCCTCTCGCAGACGCTCCAGGGCAAGAATCAAAATCTTGGTGTCGTGCTTGTAAGAAACACTAGGGAAGGGAATCGGCTGGAACTTCCTGGCTTCCAACCAGTGGACCATGGTGGTGTAGATCGCTACAGCTTCCTCGGAGGACACATAAGGACCGTCCTTCATGTAGTTGTGCTGACGCTCCTGTTCTGCCTTGAGCCACAGACGAGTCAATCGTCCAAGGTTCTTCTTAGCTACAGTCTTGTCCACGGTAGCACCTCGTCGAATGCGCTCACGGTTGTAGTGTGCGACCGAGATCCACCAATCAGCCTTGCTCTTGACATAGCGCAGAATGATGTTCTCGATGGGTGCTGGTAAGCCCGGTACCTTCCAGGGAATGTTACTCTTCCAGCAGCGCCATGCTTCTGACAAATGCTGAAGAACAGTGTTAACTTTGTTCTGCTTGATACCCTCGGGCATCATATCCATGAGGTCGCTCATGACTGCAGCGCGTAGTTCCAGGTCAAAGTGTGATTCTACTCGCTGTTTGGTGACTGTCTTGGCAACGCCCTTGCTATGTCGACCCTCGAACTGACGAGAAAGCAGGTTACCCAACCACCGCTCGAGCAGAGGAATGATACCGCGCATGAAGAACAGCCAAACCCTCCAGGCAGGGGCCCAGAAGCCACATCCAGGGCCCTTACCGACGGGACCCGAGTTGAACCGATAGTAGATCAAATGCTTCAGATCCTTACACGAACGGATTTGGTGCATGAGCTTGTACTTGTATCGGTACATACCCGTCAATTGACCGACGTGGTTGAACGCGTAAAGAATACCATCAGCGAGCTGGAAGGCGTCGATGTTGCCTAGGCGATATTGGACCTGGGCGTCGACAATGAGCTTCGTTAACCTAAGGATCTCGCGCATAAGATGGAAAGCGTTTCCGAAACGCGACTTCTTACGCTCCTTGGTGGTCAGTGTCTTGACAGGCTTCAAGTTGAAGTTGTAGTCAAGATGGAGGTAGGTCAGATTCTTCCGGTGGATGAGCAAGTTCAGCATGTTGTAACCTTGTCGGCAAACTTGCAGACCCGCCTCTACCCAATCGAGCTTGGTCTGCTGGAAGAACTTGGTGCTCTTCAACGTCCGCATGAGATTCTGTTTGTTCTGTGCTTGAGGTGGCTTCTTGTGAAGCTCGTTGAGAACAAATGTCTTGAGCAACTTTTGGTAAGAGACCCGGACCTTGACCGGCTGACCTGCGGGAACGTGCTCAAGGTACCACTGCTTGACCAGAGGAACGTCTTGTGCCCTAACCATACGACCCGAGCGCTTGTCAAAGGGATGTGGGGCCCACCAGAGCGCAATTGCTGATGCAGTCTCTGGAGTCGAAAGTTCCTCGTCCGCCATGAATGGTTCCATCTCTTCTGGCATCTGGAAGTCGTCCTCATCATCCTCATCGTCCTCACCAAAAACAAAATCCTCGTGGCTCACAGAAAGATTCTTTGGGGCCACTGCCCTGGAAGAGATTGGGTTGATTCCGGGATCAAAGTAAAATGCCGGTAGATCCGGGTCCTCGGCTCGAACGTAGACGACTTGAGGGTACGAATACCATGCTAGCTTGACACTCCGCGGTAGGGAGTTGTAAAGATAGGGGTACGACACCCTGTACTCAGTCCGGATAGGCGATCGGAATATGATACGGTCCATGGCGTTGAATTCGCCGAAGTCCTCATCGTTAGGGTCGATGTCCTTGTACAGCGGTTCGAAGCGTGGTCCTCCAGGAATAGCGACATTAAGCGCCTTTGCAGTCTGAAAGCTGCTCATGTCGAACATGTGGAAATAATTCTTGTCCACAGTCTCGCTGAGAAGCTGCTTACTCAAACGGTAGAGTGTCGCCATCTGGGGAAGGTCGAGATTCCAGGTCTCGTAGCTGGGTCCGTTGACATGCGGGGTATCGAGAAGAGGGCGATGTTCATAGAACCACTCGTAAACCGGACGGTCTTCGTCCTCGTCAAGCTCGAGCTGAATAGGCTCCAGTGGCTCAACGTCTTCAATGTTCTCCGAGTACGACAGCGGCGGTTCTTCGTCATCGAAAGGAGGGAAACGCATACGCTTGAAGTGCCGACGGTCGCTCTTCTCCTTCCTCATGGCAAGCCACATGGCGGCCCATTGTGCGTGAAAGACGGGCTCAATGACGCGAGGAACCTCGTTGACGAGTGTCAGGCAACCATTGGTGTGGTAGAGGACTTTTACGTCTCGTCTACTCTCCCATGGCATGGGCATGTTCTCGAGCAGCTTAAGGACTGCGTGCGGCATGAACTTGAGCGCACCGAGATAGCTTCGCTTGTCCGTAGTGAATTTCTTCTGCGAAACATCGCCGATATCTCTGAAGACTTTGCGCAAATGCTCGGGAGGTAAGTCCGCCTTCTGCGTCTCAACGAATCCGGCTTTGCGCTTTTCACCGAACCTCTGGCGCTGCTGCCGTACCCAATCCCTCTTCTTCTGCGCAAACTTGGCGATCTGGGGATCGATTGGCGGGCGCATACCGGGAGGGCCTACAGTACCAGGCGCGGGCGGCGGGCCTGGTCCAGGAGGGGGCGGTGGTGGCGGCGGCGCATATCCAGAACCTGGCGGACCTGGTGGAGGAGGTGGTGGCGGCTGCTGTGGTGGTGGAGGGGGGAAAGCCATCTTGACTGAGCTTGTCTGAAGATGCCCGTGATGTCAGAGAGTGGCAAGGCGCGAGTGAATAGTTTAATGGGCGAGCGCAATGAGGTAGAGGTACCTAGGGGGTGTTGAAGCAAGGAGTGACAAACCTCTCCAATGCGATCCTACTGCTGCACTATCCTCGTCTGGTGAACAGAGTTGGTCGCGCAACAAGCTTAGGAGTCGACTTTGCGGACAGCGCCGCGGTCGAAGAAGAGAAAGTCGCGTCGGCGATCACGTTTCGAGACAGTGTCCAGTTGCTCGAAAGTTGAATAAATTGTAGCGCACACAAGGCCCAGAAACAGCCCCGGCGCGTGGTGTGAAGTTGTTGATGGACAAGATGGCCTGTGAGCATCGTGCATGAACTTTTGTCTTCGCGACTCCAGCAGGCTGCGATGCTTGCACGTGATCTGGGTGGGTCCCGCTGTTTTATGCCCAGCCCACTAGCGTGGACGCAGCGGCGGTAGCCGAGCGGTGCACACGGGAATTTCGCTTCTCTCATTCTCTGACCTCGCTACTAACGACAGCATCCAGTGGTACGTTTGCTTTGTCCTGCTGCATCAATCTTCCCCATACACTAACTCGTCGTTTAGATTCAGGTACGGAACGCGCACAGTCAAGTCGTATACGAAATTTATTCTTACACTGCAACAGACAATCGCCCACTGATCCCCCGTCACAATGCCGTCCAACAGACTCACCTACGTATGTCGCTCCACAACGCCTAGCGCTCGAAATCGCAATTGAAAGCATCAAAAAATCGTTTTGGGAATTGAGACTGACAAGATGGGCAGAGGCGACGTGCGCCATACAACACCAAGAGCCAAAAGGTTCGCGTCATCAAGACTCCCGGCGGCGAGCTCCGTTATCTGCACATCAAGAAGAGGGGAACTGCTCCCAAGTGCGGTGTAAGTTAAACACCCGGGGTCACTCGGGTATGTTATTGACGACTTCCAGGACTGCGGTACCAAGCTCCAGGGTGTTCCCGCTCTCCGCCCCCGCGAATATGCCCAAATCTCGCGCCCCAAGAAGACCGTCCAGCGCGCCTACGGTGGATCGCGATGCGCCGGCTGCGTTCAGGACCGCATTGTCCGCGCTTTTCTGATCGAGGAGCAGAAGGTGGTCAAGAAGGTGCTCAAGGAGTCCCAGCAAAAGAAGCGTTAAGCGGAGCATGGACGGGTCAAGGTGTTTAGCATGTCAAAACTGGGTCATCGGTGTTCATGTGCATTATGGGCAGTCTCCTGGTTCGGTCGACTTTTACGATATCAAGACGATTTGTGCGTCAGGCGGCCAGGATGTAGCTGAGTAGGGTCATAAATACATCCACAAGCTACGACATGAGGTTCACACGTTCACACCGGGCGGCAGTATGCGGTCGTGTTAATATCAGTCTTGGCGATTCACTGTGTTGATTTACTTGGCAGTGACGTGCACGAGCGAACGATTGCCGTATACATGCACATATGACGTGAATGACTAACACTTTACATACTCTCTTAGTGACATTCGTAGACTTGAGACGTGGACATGAGCAAGTCAATGAAGTTGAGAAAGCAAAAGGGCAGGCCGATGGACATGGCCAAAACAAGGCCCTAGAGCCGCGTTTTGTAGCCGGCTCCCAAGCCGTGATTGGTGACGGCTGGCCATTTCTGACAAGCTTGCCCGCGCGCAAGAGCCCACAAATTGGCGGCTCGCTGCGGGTGCTTGTAGATGGCGAGCTGGGTCGCGACGCGCATGATCAAGTCGTCTTTTTTTTCGCGGCAGCGGAATTGGAGCGTTGAGTTTTGGCGCGGCTGATGAAGACTCACTGGAGCTGGCGGCCTCGGACTCTACCAGCGTGACCCCCACTTCTACTCCCCTCTGACTACTTGAATTCCCTGCGATATCGGTCGGCCATGTCAAGCAGCATGCTACCGTCCATGTCGCCGACGACGCCAGGACTAACCGGCCTTTCGCATCCCTTCGCAAGTCCAAACAGTACCCACACGCGAGGTTTCAAACGCTCCGCCTCGAGCGACGACGACGACAACGGCGATGGGGACACGCGACCTTCCTCTTCGTCGCGGCGCAGTACCGCGGTGAAGCGCGCATGCAACGAGTGCCGGCAGCAAAAGGTAAGCATTCAGTGTTTAAGCAAGTGAGGGAATGCAAGCAGCAGCGCAAGTTGGCGCGAACAACAGAGAAACTCGGCCTGGGTGTTGCACGCGCCCGCTTCTGCTCCATGGCCATCAGTGTATTCGCGGTGACAGTGATTCAGCACAAAGATTGCTCGTGCATGCTACAGCCACCACCGACGTCTCATAGCCCCGCTAACAGTGCTTTTGCAGCTCAAGTGTAACGTCCAGCAAGATCCCTTTATCAGTTGCGCGCGATGCCAGAAGCAGAACCTCCGATGCGTTATCCAGCCCAATTTCAAGCGCGTCGGCAAGCGCAACCGCAATGCCGAGATGGAAAAGGAAATGGAGTACCTCCGCGAGAGGCTGGCCATGTACGAGGGCCAGTCGACGCCGAACCAGCCCGTCTTGAATGCGCCCCAGCAAGTCTCGGACAGCCACAGCCACAGCTTCACTCCCAGCACCATGCCCAAGGTTGAAGATGACGCATTCCTGCAAACTCAGCACACACAAGTCGCTGCTACTTCTCTCCTAGACCTACGCAGTGGATCGCCCATGTTCTTTTCGCTTGGTGCGGGTGAAGTACGGCTTGGACACAGCGAGATCAACGAACTCTTCGCCGAGTATTTCCAACTATACCATCCATTCCTACCCTTCTTGGACCAGGTACGGTCACCCGATGAGTATTATTCGCAGGACCACAGGCTGCTGTTCTGGGCCATAGTTGCTGTTGCCGCACGACGATACGCACCCCGTCCATCTTTACTGAAGGAACTCGCCAAACCGTTGAGCGATCTTATATGGGATTCGATAAGAAACCAGCCAAACCACCACGTAGTCAAAGCTTTGTGTCTATTATGCACTTGGCCACTGCCGGCGGAGCGTACAGTGACGGATCCAACCTTTATCCTATGCGGTGCCATGATGCAGGTGGCCATGCAAATCGGCCTACATCAACCCACTCACCCCGATGATTTCTCTCGCACCAGAATGCGGCTGCGTCGGGAAGATATACACGATCGCCTGCGGACATGGGCCGTCTGTAATATCGTAGCTCAAACGTAAGTGGAACTGATGTAATCCCCCCCTCCCCCACTTAGGACTGACATGCGCCAGAGTATCGACAGGAAACGGGCAGCCTTCCATCACACTTTACGATTCGACCCTCGACTTCAAAATAGACGATGAAGAGCACATGCGCATCATACCACCTACTCTGTTTGTGCGTTTGCGCCAGGAGATGGCAGCAAGCAGGATTAACAAGCTCTTGTACTCGGTGAACAGCCACCGGTTTGCCGAAGGCGCTGCTATCAGCTATATGAGTCTTGAAGCAGACCGTTTGAAGGAAGAGCGCCTCAAAGAGCAGAGTAGCTCTCTGGATGGCGTAGATACCGGTATGAATGATTGACATCTCATTGTCGTTGTTGGTTTGCTGACTGAATTGTAGATCTTGAGGAACTCTACCACTTTGCGGTATCACTCCACCTTCACTTATACTCGTTCTTCAATCCAGAGGCTCGGCTTGAAAGACGTGACGATCTGGTCGCTTTGTACTTTGCAGCCACCGCCTATCTCGAGCGCGTCTTCAAACTACAGCGCGATGGCAAACTACCCCATGTTCCATATTACGTCATGCAGATGGCTCTCGCGGCCGGCTTTGCACTACTCAAGCTTCTCAACTCTGATTTTGCTAGCAAACTGCCCGCAGACAAAGGTCGGCGATTTGTCCTACAAACTGTCGATGCGCTAAGAAAGGCAAAGGTGTGGTCCAACGACCTACTGGATCGATTTGCTGAAGTTCTAGCCCAATTATGGAAAGAGAGCTCACGTGGACGCAGTCTGCATAGTCTCTCGCAATCGCCATCACTCAACTCCAATTCGGGTATGAATAGCATGTTCAACCACCACAACCAACAACAGCTTCACCAGCAACAAAGTGACAGAAGAGACAGCACTGGCATGTTCGAGGACCCCCTTGGTCTCATCATCCGTAGTCGGATGAGTATGAGTGTGTTGTTTGACTGTGCATGGCGCTGGCGAGAAGCGCAGGTCAACGGCGCAGCTGAGCAGCTTGAAAACACAGTCATGACGAACCCCACCAATCCAGACTCTTCGACAAACTCTACACCGCCGCCCGGCGTTGTCATGGAAGGCCCAGAGCATACGACGCTTCCCAATTTCAACCCTCAAATCAGTACGCTGAGCATGCCCCTCCCTCTCACTAACGGCATGGCAAGTGCAAATAGCTTCGAAATGTTTGATTCCGTATCTTGGCTGTTGGATACGCAGCCAGATTGGACTTATGGCAGTGGGACCTTTGGAAACGACTTTGGCGTCTAGATACCGCCTCCAACGTTTGCCCTGCATGATACCCATTTTTAGCAAAAGTTCTAGAGCCGTATACATGACTGTGCAGTCATGATCGGCGCTGTAAATAGCCTCTTAATACCTTTCACCATTTTTGTGCCTGGTCGCCTTTGACGTGATCGGTACAGGATCCCCATGGGCCTTGGCTTCAGGTCGGTTTTAGATCCCATCCTTTCTTATCTAGCGTGGCGTTTAATGGTTACGGGATGAGCGGGTCATCTGCCTCCAACCATAGTATGTAGAGTTTGCTATGAGGAACAGGCGTGGCTGCTAGGGTAGCTAATGTATTTGATGTTGAAGAGACAGCAGGCCCAACTCGAAATCAAGTCCAGTTTGCCTTTGCTCGAATGTGCATAATTCTAATTAGTACATCAGGCTGAGACTTGCGACATTCCGTTTTAGAGACTATGCACATGGGTGTCATAAAATACTGGGCAGTGTGGCTAAGCGCCCATTAGACATGTCTGGCGACTACAGGGGCTTTTTTACACTAGTATGTTCAGTGTTTTAATGACACCCGGGTATATGCGAGAAGCGGTGGGCTAAAGATGCATCACGTGAAACTAGCAGCGCATGCTGATACGGTAACAAGAAATTGATTGTAAATCCAGCATAGCAAAACGCCGTGCTAGTAGTCTCATCCCTATGTGTAAAAACAGCCTGAGAATATCCTAGCAAGAAACCAAAACGCCATTCGGAGCAATCCAGCAGACAAAATCGCTAAATGATATCAGTGCAAATGTATACGCCCTGTTAACTCAATGCCCGCATCCACAATCGTCACCATGCACTGAGCCCAGATTTCTCTTCTTGTGATCCCCCGAGTAACTCGCCAAATGCGTCTGTCCATCTAACCTCTCTCCGTCGACGGGCACCTTTCCAATCCAGCTAATCTCGGTATCATTGACCATCTGCACCATGAAGCCCTTGCCCTTTTGCAAAAGTTCCTTGGTAATCGCCTCCACATCCACAGCCAAGTAGTCGCGGAGGAAATCGCCAACTTCAGTATTCTCGTGGTTACCCACAAGCGCGGAAGCAGCTTTGGGATCCGACGAGTAGATATTCACGTCTGCGCCGCTGTGGCCGTGTGTCGACCAGCCGGTTTGACTGCGCCGCGACATCATGTCTGCGTATTGGTATAGAGCTGTGTCGGGCGTCTTGACCAGGTTCTGCACTTCTTCGTCGGTATAGTCGTTGATGCCGAGTCCGGTGCTAATGGAGTCCCGGACGAAGTCGGCTTTTTGATCAGGCGTGGGACCGCTCAGAAGGTGTTTGGCGTACAGGAGGGCGAGGCGTTCGGCGGAGTGAGAGGCGTTTGCGAGCGGAGAGGGGTACCATGCGTACTCTGGGTAGGACGTGTGAAGTTCTAGGGAAAGGGTTAGTACGTTTGATTACAAGGAGAGGCTAGTGGTATACTCACGGCGCGCAACAGCCAGACCACCCGTCTCGTGGTCCGATGTAGATACCATGACCGTCTGTGTCTTTTCGCGCTTGATGAAGTCGAGTACGCTGTTGAAGGCTCGGTCGTAGGCAAGTACTTCGTGCACTTGGGCTGCAGGGTCATTGTGGTGGCCTGCATGGTCGATTCTCGAGCCTTCAATCATTAGGAAGAAACCCTTGTCACTGTCCCGCGTAGCATCACTCAGAGCGCGCATGGCCGCCTCGGCCATCTCGTGCAGACTGGGGTAGATATCGTTCTCGTTGCGACGGTCAATTTCATACGGAATGTCTGTATCGGCGAAGAGTCCCAGCATGGGCATGTCAACATTCGCTCCCTGCTTGAGCTTGTTGAAACCAGCGCGGTCAGAGATGTAGCTGAAGCCATTCTTCTTGGCCAAGCCAATGACGTCCTTGCCGTCTGCACGACAGCTCGAGTCAATGGTCGAGTTGGGAAGGAAGTGGCATCTTCCGCCGCCAAACATGAGATCCACAACACGGCCCAGCGGATGTTCTCCGATCATCTGCTCGGCAATACGGTCCTCCTCTGAGCGCATGTTGACATGTGCCGCAAAGCATGCAGGTGTTGCATCTGTGATGCGTGTCGTGACCACGAGCCCCGTCATGTAACCAGCCTTCTTGGCTGCTTCCAATACGGTGCCACATGGCTCATGGTCAGGTGTGACTGAGATGGCTCCATTGTAGCTCTTCTGTGCGCATGAAAAGGCTGTCGCACCGGCTGCGGAATCGGTAATGAGCGAGGAAGAGCTGCGTGTGCGCGACTGGCCGATGAGATGTTGGTCGATGACCAGCTGCTCACTGAACGGCGCACCGTTCTTGAATTGCATATAAGACCGTGTAAGGGATAGTGACGTGGGACCCATGCCATCTGAGACCATGAAAATCAGGTTCCTCTTCCCGCTCGCCTTGGGCGTTTGGGAGTCGGCGTTGGACTGCTGGAAGATGACGGCGAGGATGACGACGGCGGCGGTTGCGATGACAGCCCATACAAAAAGGCCTATCTCGCGCCAGAACTTCCATGGCCGCGATCCGCCCTTCTCTGTGTGTCCAGTGCGACGGCCGGTAAGAAGGGCGTCTTCCTCTGCCATGTCGCGATCCCCGCTTATGTCCGAGGAGGCGCGGTTGGAAAGGAGTGGGCGAGCGCCGGACATGGTGGGCGTTTGTAGTGAACCTAGACGCTCTGAAGCGAAACTCTGGGATGATAAAGGAGTGTGTGGCTATACTAGGAGCGCATGGTATTAATGGTTGGTATCACTGTACAGATAGGGTGTTGAGGAAGCCATGACCGACACTGCGCCGGCTGATCGACCTTGGCACGAAACTCTGGCGGGAACGTGCACCTTGCCATGCCTGGATGTGGGTGTGGACACTAGCGTGTTCTGCATACATAGCAGACATACACCTGCGTGTAAGCACCTAATAGGCGTGTTTGGCGACTACAGTGGCATTGATACACTAGTAGGTCAAGTAATTCATGATACCCAGGTGCATACATTCAAGCTTGTAAATAGTGAAAACAACAAATCTCAATGATGAAGCATTTCAAACAAGCCGAGGCTCGTAGCGAGATACAAGATGGCAGATGTGACGTGGGTCACTCATGCGCATATCCACCCAAACGCCGACGCTATGCATACATACTTCCAACTAATACTCCTCCGACTCGGTGTCCAACCACTGGCCAAAGTACACGCAAGTTCGCGCGGAGATTTCTCCCTCGTCCCCACACTGATCAAAAACTGGACAGTTGCCGCAAGGAGCGTCCACAAATCCGTTGTAGACCTTTGTGTTAGTCGCCTTCAGCACTGTCCGATAGTTTGTGCCCGATGTCTTCTCCAGTCGATCCTCAGCCACCATCATCTCCAATAACTGCTCCATGTCCTCTTCCCGGACCGTCTTAGCTTTGATAAGTTCCTTGCCGTTCAGCCATTCGGCTACAGATGCAGCAGTCGGGTAGTGTGGCTTATGTCGATGGACGATTCTGAAGGCATTCGGGTCTCTGGGTGGCTTGTAGGACCTGACTGCCGGCGCTTCCTCGATGTCCCGTACCGCATCCAGGGCTGACGCCTTCTTCTGAGCAATCGCGACTGACCTGTCGTAGTCGTTCCAATTACCTGGTACTTTGATGCACGTCTCATGTTCCACATACTGTGCCACGGCACCCGAGATGGTTTCAATCAGAGCAGTGTCAAATTCACCGTCGGTTTGCCATGGTCCACCCGCAATGTCCTCTGACGGCTTCAAGTGCTTGAGCAAGTACATCTTCCGGTTTGGATACTTGACACTCATGACTGACTGCACCAAGTCCTTTGATTCCAGGCTCTTTAGACATTTTGTCAGCGTCTGCTGCGTCACATTTGTCTTGTTTCGTAGCGCTTTCGACCAGATGCCGTCAGCCTGGACTTGATCGATGTGGTGATAGAGGAGGCGTTCGTCGGGCGTCAAACGGCGTAACCTGATAATCAACCAAGGGTTAGAATGCTAACGTGAGAGTTTGGTAGGGTCACTGGCAAGACATACTTGTCGGCATCTTCTCTTGTTCGCAACTTCCAGCATGGGTCACCCTCGAACGTCATTAGCTTCAAGAGATGGCGGTCGCAAAGCTCGCGGAGGAGGACTGTGAGCTCTGCCATGGTGTTTGCAACATTCATGTTGGACAGATCGCGCTGGAAGAAGATCTGCCCAGTAGGTCGTTGAGCACACTTCTCGTACAGAGCATCGGCGGGGCTGAGGACTGCGTCGACCGATGTTTCGGCCATCTCTTCTTTTACCGCTGGCGAGGGCACCTCTGCTGAAGACATGCTATGTGCGAAAATGGTTGGAGTTGTGTCACCGTTCGATCATGTGAGAGTGAGAGTGAGTGCAAGAGTGCAAGCGCAAGTGCAAAGGGTCGCGCCTGCCCGCACTCTCAGTCGCGACGGGCTGCTGCGTTACTAGAACTTTTTGGTGGGGAACCGCGGCCGCCGACCGTGTGGCCAATCACGACCTTTTGACCTCCAGCACATGTCGCCCTATCACGTGTTTTTGGCCCAGTTTGGAGCCACAACTCCACTCCTGATGCTTTGTTTGGCGCCAGCTTGTCATCACGATATAGATGAAATGGTTGATCCGGACGTTTTCCATGACAAGGAATTGCTGTTGGCTTGTGTCTAATGGCACCCTTCAACTCCACATGTGAGTATCGCGGTTGCTTGATGACTCCCAAAGTCTTGTTGTAATGTGATTATGATGATGATCCTTCTAATCCCTCTTGACCCTTCATGCTTACGCTTGTGTACACAGCTTTTACCCTGCTGACTTTGGGCTTTGCACTTGAAGCTCTAGCCACTAACCATATCATTCTTGAATATGTGGTCATATTACATCTGGCATGTTTAATGCAATCTTCGGCGGCATCACTCCCTGCTCCCCATTCTCCATGGGGACACGCAAATGCGGGGAATACCAGCGCCCATCGCTTGCATGTGCACAGGGGTACTCAAACCCAAACTTCTGGACACGGCACCCGAGAACGCTGGTTGTTCCGGGTAATGATTGTCGAACGGGAACAAGCTATCCAACCCGGCAAAACGTTAGACTTGACTCTCGGATACCTTCACCCGGTCACCGTCAGCAAACACCTCCAAGTTTACCCGCCCATCATTTCCCACACTTCCCACACCTACCGCTCCCACCTTGCCATGACAAAGCAGACGGAGACTTATGAATCTCACTTTTCGGTAGTCTGCGGATACCACAGACCTATCAGGCATGTTAGGCTTTCTCCAACGTCCAACACGAGGTGAACATTACTCTCGAAAGCTTGCCGTTGTTCATGTGCATGACCGTGTTACCCGGCTATTTCCCCCAGAACGTGGCGTCTGGGGTCCCCAGGTTTGCAAGGGCGCATTGATTAGTGCGCCATTGCTCCATGATAGAGATATAGTACAACTCTGCGACGACCCGGACCTTTCAGTTTTGTTATCTCGCATCTTCATCTGCCATGCAGATGATTGAACACTCAATCATGGCCGATCAAAAGCAATACACAGAAGAAACTATCCGCAACAGCAGCATCACACAAGAACATACTTCGCTCAGTCATGGACTTCACCACGACCATGTTGCTGAAGAGGCCTTGGGTGGGCACAGAGCTGATCTGGGCAAGTCATACTTTACAAGCTTTAATTTCATCGGTACTGTTATTGTATGTTATAGCGGTTGTGGCCCTGACATCAACTCACATCAGACAGGCTACATGCCTAGCACAGATATCGGGGTAGGTGCACATAAAGCAAATACCAAGGAAACCACTGACGACTTTCAGATACTTGGGATGGGTTCTACCAGCTAATACCTTGAGTCTCATCAACGCCTCCATCGGGCCGTCGCCAAACATCATTTGGGTCAGCATCTCGTGGACTGCCGGATTTGCCATTGGCTTTACGCTGGTTGGACGATTATCGGACATATTCGGCCGTAGATGGTTCTTCATCTGCTCATCCCTGTTTGGGCTTATTGGGAACATCATTGGATCAAGCGCACAAAGTATCAACATGTTAATCGTGAGTAAGACGAATTCCGGGGCTGTGACTAGTGCTCACGATGCAATTGTAGGCCACCAATTCCATCAATGGCCTAGCTGCTGCTGGCCAGCTATCATTCCACATCATCCTTGGCGAACTTGTTCCGAACGCACTCAGAGGTCCAGTGAATGCATTCGTGCTGTTCACCTCTGTTCCATTCGCCGTATTTGGTCCTCCGGTTGCCCGCTCTCTGTACCAAACCACTGCTCTGCAGTGGCGATGGTGTTACATTTTGGGCTGTATCGTCAATGTACTCGCTATGGTCTTGTACTTTTTCTTCTATTTCCCACCAACATATGTAAGCCAGAAAAGCCTTCAGCACTGATGACTCAGCTAACAGCAAAGGAAATGCTCCACGTTGGTGGCAAGTCTAAATTGAGACAACTCAAGACCCTGGACTGGATGGGGATTTTTCTCTTTTCAACTGGCCTTGTCGTTTTCCTGATTGGCATGAACTGGGGCGGCTCTGCATATCCGTGGAAGAGCGGGCACGTGCTAGGAGCACTTTTCTCTGGATTCGCCACCATGGTTGCTTTTTGCTTCTGGGAAGCCTATGCGCCGGGTCTGGAATATCCACTGATTCCCTTGCGTCTATTCAGAAATGTTCAATACGATGCCAATGTCGCATGTGCTAGCTTGGCGGCCATCGTCTACTACGCCAACACGGTCATATGGCCTACGATGGTCTCTTCGCTCTTTACGACTGACATTACAAGAATTGGGTGGCTCTCGGTAAGTGCTGGGCTGAAGCGAGTTTTCGGAATTAATTGTAGCTAAAACCTTCCAGTGTGCTGTTGGTGGCGGTCTACTCTTGGGACAGATACTTGGTGGCGCCGGTGTCCGATACCTCCCTCGCATGAAGGTTCAGATGACGGTTGCAGCAGTCTTTACCACAGCCTTTGTTGCCGCCGTCTCGGCTTCCAACCACAATACAGAACAGCGAACGACCGCCTTTTTGTTGATTGGCACCATCGCTGCAGGCTACATTGAGAATCTCACTCTCTCTAGTACAGCGTATCTCTGGGACCCAGCGGATATCGGGTTAGTCACTGGCGTCATGGGTGCCATTCGTACAGGCCTTTCCGCAATCGCGACGAGCATGTATTCATCCATCTTGACTACTGAAGCTTCAAAGTATATCCCGCAAAAGGTCATACCTGCTGCGCTGGCTGCCGGGCTTCCGGAGGCCTCTATACCGGAACTTCTGTCTAGCATTTCTCTCGGTGACTTCACTGCTGTTCCCGGAATTACCCCCAATATTGTTGCAGCAACGGGAGACGCTGTCAAAGCTGCGTACGCACTGTCTTTTAGGACCATCTACCTTTGTACTCTGCCATTTGGCGTACTACTCATTGCTGCTGCGCTACTTTCTCCAAATGTGGAGCCCTACCTGACCGATGAAGTGGCAAGGAAGATGCACGATAGGACAGAAGAGAAGAAGGATCAGGTAGTGAAGAAGGAGTTTGTCGACGCTTAGCCTGTGTTACCAATCAGAGTTTTGAATTGCTACTAAAAAAAAACCCTCGAAGTCACGATTTGTATCATCGATTCGGCTTAACTAATGCCTACCACATGAATCTTTGGACTTATCCTGTTATCAAATCTCGGTGACATAGGCTCGGTGACATAGGCTACCTGACAGATACAATGCGAATTAACCCCTCTATTCTAGTTCAAACAGGCATATCTGGAGCCTACAAAGAGTTTTGTATACTAGGATAAGAAGTATCTTACGTTACCCAGGCGATTGCTATGTCTTCAGTTTCAGTGACTATGATGCTATACTAGAGCGTGCCACACGCGCGGTAGGACGACGAGAGTGCGGGAAGAAGGAAAAATGTTATCAAGACTAAGAAATATACTACAGAAGGTGCTATCAAAGCTTTGCTTTCGGCATTCTTAGCGCTGGATGCCTGTCGTTAATCTTGGGCAGCTTATCGCTCCATGTCCTCCCATTCCTCATGAACACACGCCTCCAATCAGTAGGATTCAAGGGCGCCTGAGCCCATCTTCTCCCTCTCTTCGCCCCCACCTTCGCCCGCTTTCCTTCTGCAATTCCACTAGCAGCTGCAACCTTCTTTCCCCTCTCCGCACCGAAATTACTAGGTATAGCTTGGCTAAACTCTTTCGCACTGACTTCGAGCAGCGCTTCTGTGTCGGATTTAATACGGTCCGCAAGCAGACGCACAGAAGACTCTGCGCAATGCGAGTCATCACGGCGTTGCCAGTATTCCAGGAACCGATACGCGTGCCCTAGCATACCGCACATGGCACCTGCTGAATGCAGAAAGTGACCATTGCCAAATGAGTCACCCGCCACGACGGCATTTGTTGCGACGCGAGCATTGGTTCCAATGCGCTCGACAAGACTGAAGGGTTTGGGGCCATAAACCATGCTCACGCGGCGGAGCTCGTCAGTCGGGATCTCGAGAACAAGCGAAGCTTGCGAGATGTAGTAGTCGTACAGCAAGATTTGGTAGCTTGCAAAGTATTCGGCAGATTCTTTGCTTGTATGCTCGCCCACCAGCCCACGCTCGATGGGACACAAGGATACAAACTCAGGCACTTCAACAATGAGCCACGACACTCGGGGATCACCCTCATGACCAACAGCTATTTGACGCACCCAGGACTCATTCCCATGTTGATCGAACTCGGAAGCGATGCGGCGGCGCAAGCGCCCGTCGACCAGGATGTTGAACTGCCCAGCGACAAAGTCTGCTTGTGCTACTTTCGGACCTTGACCATCACCATGGTCTACTTCCACATCATGCTGTTGGAATCCCAACTGCTCCGCTTCACGGCAATTTATGCCTGTTGCAAAGCTACAGAGTTCGGAAACGCCAAGGTCAATGAAGTTGCTTCCTGGAGTACGGATCCGTTGGAGATCATTAATATACTGAAGCTCCATAACTTCTTCAATGCGTATGCTTATCTTGCCGCACGGCAGGTGCACTAGACCGCTTCCGTCCTGAACTACGCGATGCTTAGTGAACAGACGACACCTAGGGGTTCTTTCGGCCGCGAGGTCAATCTTCTCAAGCGCCTCGAGATATCGGCGGAGGAGTAACTGGATAGAAAACGCAGCGGCCTGCCACGTTGAAGGTCCATCAAGCACTTCTGCCATATTGGTCCGTATCTTGCTCGGATCCGGATGAGTCGGAATAGTCGGAGGCGGAACCGTGGTAACTGTGCGATGTGGCTTTCCATTCTTCCAGCGATCATCAATATACTCGATGTTGTGGATGTCGCCAGTCATGTGATGTGATCTGTCATAGCCTTCGATGATTGCTCCCGGTATTATGTCCCGAGACTTGGTCGACTTGTGGTAGAACAGGTCAGCTAGTTTGAGGAGTGACCCATCAAGTCTCTTTGGGAGGATATCCGCCCCGTAACGGTCCATCATCATCCTATCAATGAGCCCCAGCTGGTGGTACATGTCTTCGCGTATGTTCCAATGTACTCCCAGGAATGGATCACCACGCAAATCGACGCCGACTGCACGACGGCCCATGGCTATGGCCCACAACATGGCCAGCATGTTTGTGCCCCCAAGCCCGATCGCAACAAAGTCGGCATCTTTGACTCCTGAGAGTGTTGTTGACCGACTGCCGCCTGGAATAGTGGTGTTTTGAGTCCGCTCCTGGGCCAGATACTTGGTTGTAGAGTACGAGTTGCTGTTGGGAGAAGCCATTTGGAAGGTATAATAAGCTGGTGTTCTCTGCAGGTGGAGCGCTTGTCATCGAGTCAGCCTGCGGTGGCAAGTAATAAATTCAAATGCATGGGAAATGTAGCTAATTACTATCCTACCCACAAAAGGACGCACGCCCGTTAAGTAACGCCCTGAAATGCTCCATTGGTCCGGTTTTCTCGTATCCTAGCAAGCGCCATTCCTCCAGGATGCCATCATGCAAGCTTATGTGGCATTTCCAGTAACTGCATTAGTCGTCCCATAACTGGACATAGTCGCATGTACCGTGAATTAATCATGAGAGGTGCCGGTTCGGCCTACTGCTTTCCCAGTCAGTACCATCAATGCCAGGAATCGGAATCTGAGGCGATGCTCTAACATAGCACCGATACTCGTTACACGGCATGGTGGCATTAGTGCCGTAACTGATGCCTCGTACCAAAATGTCTGGCAAGTCCACGTTGTACGGCTTCGTCTGTGTCTCGGCTGAGATGCCAGGCTGCTGTAGTTAAAAACGCGCGCAAGTCGATCGTCCGACGACCTGTGAGTGCTATTGCCAATGACCCGTACAATACCTGTGTCTCTCCCACATCATCCAATTGTCCATTGTTAACTGGTCCTGTCCTATCGGTCGCGTGTTCCACATTTTTTGGTCGTATTGTAACCCCGCCTCGAGTCGACGTGTCTTTATCTGGTTTATTCCAGTGGTATCGAGAACCCCGCAGCTCTCCACCTCTAAAATCAGAGAATTTTGCGTGAGCCGCCCGGACATTTTGACCACTGCAGGAGAGGGCGCTTCCGACCGAGCAAAAAATGCAGGCGCGTGGAATCGATGCGGCGTTCGGATAGATTGTGGTGCATTGCAGAAGGATGCAGCAGCGTCGCCCTACAGAAAGCCACGATATGTTGCTGTGGGTCAGGACTAAAGACACGCGAAGCAATGAGTATCGATAAGGAAACTACCGCGAGCTGGCCTAGGATGAAATCTGTTTGGTTGTTGTCGCGATAGGCTATTGAACAAGTGATCACCAATTCGCTGGCACAGCAGGTGACTGTCGCATCTCAAGATTTCGTGTGCGGCCTAACGTGTTCCACCACCGAGTGCACGGCCCCACCGAATGCATGAACTTAGCATCCACGCCCACCGCAAATATGAGGCTATATAGCCACCCACAATAGCTATTATCACGGGATTTTGTAGTGTTAAGTTTCTGTAATATAGAGAAGTATATTAGGAGCTTTATATTACATAAGGAGCTTTATAGGTAGCTTAATTAGCTAGCCGCGTTAGGTAAGCTGTAGAGCAGCCTCATTAATAACATAAGTAATCTTATCTACTTTAACGATCTCCGTAGCTTTAGCAGGCTTAAGGCTTTACCTCTTAACGTACCTCACGGGTTGGCGAGACACCCAGGTTAGTGAGACACTTTTGCTAAGCCCTCACCAAACTCTACCTTCCTACGCAATGCCTCAACAACAACACTAGATAGAGCCTTCTAATAAACGTCAGATACAGACTGCCCTTTAAGCTCTTAAATAAGACGCGACATTCTCCCTACGACGCGCTGCAGCTATCTATAACGTCTCTCTAGTAACTCTAGGTTATCGACGCGCTAGACGACCTTTACAAGCAGATTGCTAGCCTAAATTAATACATCTAACTAAGATTAAGGAGGGCGTAGTTATTACGCGCGGATTTCCTCCTAGGCTCGCAGCTGTAGCTAATATAGCTAATTCCCTGCGCGTAAAGTACAATCTAGGCTAAGTTAGCTTAAACTAGCCTAGTATGTAGGCTAAGAGCCGCCCTAAGCTTATAATGAAGTTTAATCGCAAGTACGATTACAAGAGAGCGCTTTGCGAGGATCTAGAGGTTATCTAAGGCTAGTTTAGCCTGGTAGCTAATATAAAAGCTAAGTATAGTATCTAGAATAAAGACACGTATAACCTCAATAAATCAGGCTTTATAATAGGTTAGATATTAACTAGAGCAGTTATTATAGCTTTAGAGAGACGAGGACAGCTAAAGGTAGTATAGCAAGGCAATAGGAAGTGGATAATAGTTATCTAAGGCATTAACGCGACAGGGTAGGCTATTGTAAGGGGCTACGCTCAGGGAGCAATCGCACAGGTATACTGGAGTTGTATTCGATGGGGAAGAGAACTACAAGCTATCTCGTGCTAAAGGTTATTCAGAGAGCGGCTCGGAATAATCTTCTGCCTATGGACTGTGCGGATGGTCTGAGCGTCGTTCAGACCGAGATATCATCGAGGATTCACCAACTGGGCTCTAGCCCATCACAGCTATTCTACCCTTTATTATCTTTAAGGGCCGCTATTACCTCTCTGCCTAGTATAAGGAGAATAGCCTACCCTATAATTAGGTTATTACAGTCTCTAAGAACAGCTAGACTATGAATAAGCTTAGCCTATAGTAGTTAAAGCACTTTAATAAGCATATAAAGAAGAGGATCGTTAGTAGCTACTAACTACATATAATTAATAGCTATAAGAGCTATAACTCGCTTAAATTCTAGTAATACTATAAGTAGAATAAGATTATTACTATCTATATACCTCCGCACTTATCGCACCTCTTATAGCCTCTTAATATAGGTTATTTTACTCCTTTAAAGAAGGCGTATAGGCGCTAAGTCGAAGATCTTATACGTAACTAGATTGCTTATATTACGAAACTTAAGTTTCTACTATGCTTTATAGGCGCCTATAATGCAGCAATTACTCCTAGTAATATCTAAGGAGGGTTTTAAGGCGCTAGATTAGTCCTATTTAACCTAGAACGGGTTATAATAGCCCTTGACGTCTGGCTATGTACTCTATTATTACTACCTATGAGCAACTCGCCCTAGCAGTCGCAAATCCCTAGCAATACCCTAGAATTAGGGTCGCAATGAATGCTAGTAAAGTGGAGGATTTAGAGGCATATAGATAGCTCACTAATAAATATTATTAAGTAATTTAAACAAACACCTTACTAAAGGCGCAGCATTAATAGCGCATAAGCTAGTACTAGCCTAAAAGGAGATTACTAAGCTTTAAGCGGCTAATAAGGCTGCTACGCAACGTAGATTATATAAAAGAAAGCAGATTTAGGTAAAAGGGTCTATAATAGTAGAGGATGGCTAGCGTAAGACTACTCTACAGGAGCTTAGGGCGCGTAGTAATAGGAAGAAGCTAAAGACACGTGTGCGCGCTAAAGGAGGTGAGCTAACTTAAAGGTGATGCAGATGGTGTAATTAGGTTAGTTATAACGCGCGTACGTGTAAGCAAGCAGCAGAAGTAGAGTCTAAATAATATCTTGTGTTGTATTATAGTATACTAGGCTAAAGTAGGCTATTTTGCGCTAGAATAGAGGTGGTTTTGGTGAGGGCTTGGCAAAAGTGTCTCGCTAACCTGGGTGTCTCGCCAACCTGTGAGGTACGTTATCTTTTAAAATTAATTTAATATCGCTTTAGAGTTATTTGTTAAGCTACTTAACGTACCACACGGGTTAATCGGACGCCCGGGTGAGTCGGTTACGATGCTAACACCCTGCCAAAGTCAGTACTATATACGACAGTAAAGCGTAGTTTAGGATAGTAGTTAAGGATTGTTGAAAGCTAATCTATTTAGAAACTATCTCTACTTCTTACTTAACATGCCCCACTATCGAAATGCGCACGAAATACAGCAATCCATGTTCGCATGCGAACAACTCAACACCACAACAAGCTATCTACGCGTTTAATAGCTAGAATTAATCCTCTACTTCTACTGCTTCTTTCTTGCATGCGCGCTTGTTATGTTCTGCCTCGCCGCAGTTCTTGCAGCGTCGAATACCTCCTGCACTACCACCTACGCGCACCCTCTCCTGACGCCTCTCTACCTCTAACTGGATCTTAACATCCCTTTGCTCAACTATATCTGCATCTGCCTGCGATAGGGTCCCTCCCTTCTAGATTCGCTTTTTCTTGCGCTTTTTACGTTCAGATGCTGCCTAGTTTACCTCCTTAAGGTTAGCTATTCTAGCCTTAAGGAACGTGTGTAAGTGCACCTTTAAAGTTAATCCCTTTTTAACCTACAACACTATCTTAATAATAGAATTAGGTAATATTTCTTTGCAATCTGTATCCTCTTAATAATTAGCGTGTTTAAGCCTCTAGCTCCTAGGCGTTACTTAGTGGTTT